GACGGCTATTTTGAATCTCTTCGAACACTGAAGTTAGAGATTATTGAAATGAAATGTTTATTTCGCTCACAGACATATCTGTGGCGTGGAGGAAGAGAACCATGAAAGTTATATATTCATTACATTATTCCAACAGAAATAGTTAATATAAGGATACAGGTCCTTGCGTAGCTGGAGTGGTAGGTCTGAGCATGCCGAGGTACTGTTTATTCGGCGACACAGTCAATACGGCTTCCCGAATGGAAAGTAATGGAAAAGGTTGGATTCTGGACTTTGCAAAATTCAAATTTATTTTCAGCATCTCACATTCACCTTTCCGGCGCGGCTCACAATCTCCTCGTTACACAGTACCCTCAACAGTATGAGACTCAAAGTCGTGGTGACGTCATTATCAAGGTAAAATCAATAAATTGATGGAAAAAGCTTCTAACTTGAAAAAAAGCATTTTTGTTGTTCTCTATTTTTTCTTATAGGGTTTCAATCAATATAAATTTGATTGAAAGACAGAAAAGAAGAAATTTTGCAGGGCAAAGGAGTGATGGAAACTTTTTGGGTCCTTGGAAGGAAAGGTAACACTCATAGTCGTGCCACCGACACTCCTCCAGCTCACAAAGTGAGATTTTTTCTCGTTTCCAAGTCGTGTGATCCATATAGAAGAATAGAGATAATAATTGTAATGAGATTTCCTATAGTTTTGACAAAAAGAAGTGATTCACACGTCGATACGGCTTTTCAAATTCATTTTCTTACTTCATTTACTTTTTCGTTCATTTGAATTTCATTTAAACACATTTTATTTTCGCCATTCCGCAATCTGCACGACAAATACAAAAAATAAAACATTAGAACAATCAAATAAATCCAAAAGATGATCTGTGGAAAGGATTGTCTGAATAGACGGTGCCCACTCCCATTTGGTATTAAGGTTGATTCTTTGTTTTTTTAATTATTCATGATGTTTATACTATTCAATTATGTAAGTAGTTAATATTTGGAGTTTTAGATTATATTAGGATTTAGTGATTTTAAAAACGTCATTTTGCTCTTTTTTTGCGAATTTATGTAGCTTGAAGTAGCCGCAAGAATCTCTACAAACTCGTGGTCTTCTTCAAAATTTTTAATTCTCAAAAAGTAGAATTTCCAGGTGGCTTTGCGTACCAAGAAGCAAAACCGACTGACGACTCCAGAATCTGAGCTGGCGACGGAACGATCCGTCAGCCCGATCGTCCAGAAGTTGGACGACGAAGACGTCGACGAGGCTCTGTATCGGAAGTTCAGGCGAAGCGACACTGTTCAAGCAAATTGACCCTTTTTCTGTATGTACCGTACTCTGTTCCCCACGCCTTGAAAATTTCTTATTGCTTGTAAATTGGCTCAGCTTCGAGATTTTTCCCCTGCACCCGACTAGAAACGACTCGCGCCTAAAAGTATTGGTGAAAAGTCGCTTTTCTCGGGCGCAGCTGTAGGTACCGATTTAATTTAACAAGAAACTCTAAAAGTCGTTTTTCGCGATTCCAAATCTTCCAGAAGAATTTTTTAATGTTTCAAGGCAAACTTTTCATCAGTTCCTATAGCTCTGAAGTATTCGGACGAAGGCCATTTTTCGAATAATAGCATCATATGGAAAAATCTGGGCATATTTTACAGCCTAAATCAAAAATTGAATAATTTATAAATAATCCCTGGCTGAGAAAAAATCAGAGCCCTTTAAACGATAAGAGAAATAGTTTACGAAAAGTGGAAGTTTAGACGTCATGATACTGTTTTTTTGTTCAAAGATAGCTATGAATGGAATATATAGTATATCGAAATAAGGCTAAATATGAGAAATTCAAGAAAAAAATCGAAACTTTTTTTCAAGTGATGATGAGGAAAAATTCGAAAAAAATGATGTCATTCGAAACCTGAAAAAAATTTCAAAATTGCTTAAAAAGTTTGTCCAAACGTTCCGAAATGCATTTTCAAGTCATGGTGAATAGAGTATCATGAGAAAAAGTCCAAAAAGCCGCCTCTAACTAAAAATTTTTTTAAGGCTCTTAATAAGGGTCTGAAAGCTTCTTTTTCACTCGTTTAAAGAAAAAAAGGGGTTTTTATGGTTTTTTTAATAGACTTTTTCCGAACTTTCTGCCGTTTTTAAAAAGACATTTTTTTATTACCCAATATTTAAAAAAATTTAAAACAGGAAGATCTTTTCTCAAAAAAATCACTTTTTTTGATAAAAAAAGTCCCTAATTTAGGCGCCTCGTCCCCCCTAATTGCTTGTGTCATCCCGAGAAAACTTTAATAAAGATGTTTTAGTGGATCCAAAGCCATACAACAAGATATTTGAAGTCTCACTGAAATTTCGGGAAGCCCCAAAGTTTCGAAAACGCGGCTTCTTCTCACGCGGCCCGACCCCCACAGACAACCAATTTCCCGAGACAACTTCTAGTATTTCCATGTTGGATGAGGTTCTTTTCCTGCTTACTGTATTTCTGAATACCGTGACCGCGCAGTTGGGCACGGTCACAGTTCCTACAACGCTAGCGCCGTCGAATAGGACATTGGTGAGGGTTTTTTGAAGAAGAGTGTGGTTTTTAAAGGGCTTTCTGAGTCAAATTAAAAACCTTTTGTTCTGATTTTTTGCCCAGTTGAACTTTTAAAAATCAATTTTTGAATCTGTAGTATTCCCAGATCATCCCAGGGGTTGCGAAAAAGAAAAAAATAATTCCAGTAACTCTGATAATTTTAAAACAAAGAGATTGGACCAGTTATGTTGTTCCATGGACCCCTAAAGTGGCCACTAAAATTTTGAGTAGTCTAGTAGTAGCACTTAGACCTCTATAGTGGCCACTAATTTTTAACCCCTTAAGTGGCCACTAATTTGATCACTATACTGGCCACTAAAACGTCAAAACCCTATAGTGGCCACTAAAAATTTTCCCAGTGTTTCCTCATCAAAAAAAAATACTTTATGCCGAAAAAATCCATTTTTTTAAAAACATACTCGTTTCTTGGATAATCTTAGGGTTTGCAGCTTTCCAAAAAAATCTCATTTTTTTATCTGAAAAAAAGTTCAGTTTTTTTCTAATATATAACTATACTAGATCGTAGCAGAAATAACGGCTTTTCAAAAAATCTCAGTTTTGTTCTGAAATACTCGTTTTCTTTATTTATGACCAATTCCTGTATAACCTTACATGTTAAGAGTTTCAAATTTACAAAAAAAATCGTTTTGTTCTGGAAAAAACCTCACTTTCCAAGTTATTCTAGACCACCGAAGCTTTTGCGTCCTTATAAAAAATCTGACTGCTTCCCCGAAATTTTTCGAATCATACCCACTTCTAGATCACCGTAGGAGTAGCCGCGGCTCAGCAGATCCAATCAGGCTCCATCGGATTCGCCCAATGCGGCGGAGCCTTGACTTTGGCCGTGGAACGGCTCCGAAGAGACGGCTACGCCATGGAGTTCGACTTCCAGCAAGTCTCCACCCAATTACCTTTCTGAGGTTAATTCCAGGTACATCGTCAATTATACAGAGTGCGATCGAGCTCTTGCGGTCGCTGCCGGCTTGGATTTCATGAAAAATCGGAAAGTCGACGTCATTTTCGGACCTCCTTGCCAGAGCCGTCAGTGTTATTTAGGAAAAATCATCATAAATAGTAGATTTTCCAGCTCTGGTCGTGATGGGAGCCTTGTCGAGCCTGTACAAAACTCCATTGATGGCCTGGGGCTATGTCTCGGCTTCTGAATTTACCGACGCCACCAGATTTCCATACTTGACCACAGTTAATCCGAATTCTTTATCGTGAGTGTAATATTGATTTCTTTTTTCAGCTATGATATGAGCCTTTTTTTAGCCTTGTATCGAGCCACTAGAGAAAAATCCTGAAAACCTTTCCTAACTGGGAAAATTTTCAGTGGCCCCTATAGAGGCTCGCCCAGGACCACTTGGAAAGGACACTAAAGTGGCCACTAAACCCACCTCTATAGTGGCCACTATTATCCGTTTTAGTGGCCACTTCAGTAGTTTTTCATATAGTACTCCTTCCAATAACTCTGATAAATTTAAAACCAACAGATTGGACCAGTTATGACGATCCAGACCCCTAAAGTGACTAAAGCCCCTAAAGGGGCCACTTAAATGTTTAGTGGTCTAGTAGCATCACTTAGACTTCTATAGTGGCCACTTATTTTTAACTTCTAAGTGGCCACTAAGTTGACTACTATAGTGGCCATTAAAACTTCAAAACCCTATAGTGGCCACTAAAAAGTTTCCCAGTAGTCTATCGAAAAATGATTAAATATGAGAAGCTTGCAAAAGTGGCCCCTATAGTGGACATAGTCAATTAATGTTATGAACTTTATGAGAAGAAGTATTAAAAACTCAATCAAAAAACGTGTAATTAAAAAAAACCCCTATAGGGACCACTTGATCTTCAAGGACCCATTGATCAGGCACTTAACTCCTATAGGGTCCACTTAATTTTTACCCTTAGAGATAGGACTTTTTAGTCTCTTGAAGAAGCTCTTTTTAGCTTTTGAAATTTTATTGAACTTTTTTTTTTCACATCATCTATAAACGCTTCGAAACAGTAAGTTCCGCGAAAAATTGAATAAAACCGCGATGCGACCGCAACGCATTGAGCCATTCTTTCTGAAAACTTGATTGATTCCAACAAATTTCAGACTCGGTTACTGTGTCGTCAAAGTGTTGGAGACGTTCAAATGGAACAAAGTCGCACTGTTTTCCGCGAATGACGAGATGAACTATTGCGGTTCGGTTGTCGACGACGTCGAGGTCAGGATTCAGAATCCCATGACCTTCAACGTCTTCCTGTCTTGCAGAGGGCGATGAACGACGCGCAGACTTATCAAATCGATGTTTCACTAAAGTTGACCCTTCCGGCCAATGATGACGTCCTTTATGAAAGTACCTTGAGTCGGGCTAAAAGTCGGGTTCGGAGTGGGTTTTTTTTTATAGAATTTCAGGTTTTGGAAAATTTAAAGGGGACGTTATAGTTATCGTAAATGAAGAACAATTTTCCGTTATCAAATATTGAAAAAAATTGAGAAAAAAATGAGCAAAAAAATGGGTCAAAAAAATAAAAATTTTTTTGATGCATAATTCAGTTGAAAAAAATTCAGAAAAAAGATCTTTATTAATGACTCAAGCGGTTACTGCACCCGACCTCAAGCGACTTGCGCTCTTTGCCATCAACCGATTCTTAAAATTAAAATTTTGAATATTTAAAACGAATCTCAAAGCTTTCAGCCATTCTAAATGCGACCAAAAAACTTGAAATCGACTATAATTTTTTTTTAGTAATACTATTCTGTGCATACGGCGGACCAGACCGACGAAAATATTTGACCAAAATCGCCAAACTCAACATGACGACTAATGAATACGTTCACATATACCTCTCACTTCGGAGCAGCGGTTATGGTCAGTAAAAAATCAAAAAAGGAGCTTAAAAATAATTTTTCAGGTCAGGTCGTCGTCACGGACACTGTTTGTAAGTTTCGCAGCATTTCTGAAAATTTCTGTGGTTTTTCTTAAAAAATGTGCTAGAGTCATTAAAGGAGCAGGGGCAATTTTTTAAAGGTCTCGAGACGAAAAGCCGTTTTTAATGTTTTTTAAGGTCTTTCAAGACTTTTTCGCTTTGAAAAACATCATCAAGATGTTTCTGATCAACTTTTTAGGATTTCCAGAGTGGTCACTTTAGGGACATCCTTCAGGATTTTTGAAGGTTCCCCTCTAAGGACCACTTTACATTGCCGGGGGCCACTGAAGCTTGTTAAAGTGATCCCTTTAAGGTTTTAGTTAGTAGGCCGAGCTCTATGAAGTAGCATCTTCATGCGAAAAATTAGATAAAATAGCTTAATTTGAGAAAAAAAAATCAATAGAAGATGATTAAACGTTTTAAAAGACCCTATAGGGGCCACTTGAACTCTAGTGGTCAGGCCCTAGAGCCTTACAGGAGCCATCTCAATTTTTAACCGTTCAGAAAGCTTTTCTTCCCCCCTTACAAGGGCCTTTTTCCCGTAACCTCTATAGGGACCACTATGGGGCTCAAAAAAAGCTCCCGTCTTTTAAAAAAAACCTTGAAAATTGTTCGATTTCTAGTATCAAACGGCTTGTCCCCATTCTGGCTCGATATTTCGAAAAATAATGCGGACGGATTGGACGCCGTCGCCCGGGAAGCAGCCCCGTCCACGTTCATGGTCGGTTTGGCTTCTTTCCAAGTTTTCTTCCTCTTTCAGATTTTCCCGAAAAGGTCTTTTTGTTTATATTTTCAGAAGAGTTTTTTGGCTTCTTTCAGTTTACTTCCTGAAGAAAATTGTTATGAAATATTTCAGTTCACATGATTTTTATCTGGTTCAAGTTCAGCTATGTTAAAAAAAGAGTGATATTTGAAATACATTTTTTTAAAAATTAAGAACTATTTTTAAAAACACTATTATTCTGCCTGTATTTTTTTCAAAAAAATTCACTTTTTTTGAAAAGGGACCATAAAAATGTTCGGAATTGGCCGTTTCGAAACAGTTTTTTTCAAAAAGATTCTGAAAAAAAGTTTTTTTTACAAGTTTTTTTCTTCTTCAAATTTTCCTATAAACGATAGTTTTTTTGAACGGCTTAAAAATCTCAATTAGAAGCACAAAAAAATTCAGAAAAAAATATTTTCGAAAAAAATCTGAACAAATCATTCCACCAAATAATCATGAAAAAAATCTAATTTGCCATTTTTGAAAAAGACATCATTTTGAAGCGGCTTTATTGAAACCTTTCAAAAAAATATAAAAAAACCTTTACGGATTTTAAGACTTTAAAAAGAAATCACGTGATTTCACGTCACGATTTTGAAATTTTTTTCTTGAAACTTCCCTTTTTTTCAATTTTTTTCGAAAAAAATTAGCCAATAACGGTCTTGGGAAAGAATAGAAACTTTCAAATTATCAATAAATGAATAAAAATAAAAAAACGAACAGATCGACCTGCAAAACGAAGTGGCCGACCTCAATTACCTGCAATACTTCAAGTCGCACCTGGCCGACGCCGTCAAAAATCCGCCAATTTCTTGCGCCACTCAGGAATGTATCAATCTGAACCAGAATATGGTGAATAAGCTTTATTTGAAGATTCTTGGCCACATTTGGAATGGCTCGGATTGAGAAAGTAAAATCAAAAAATTGTAGCGAAAAAAACTCCAAGGAAAATTACGAAAGTTCGGACGGTGGTTATTTGGAAAATTAGGCCGTGTTTTGCATTTGTGAAATACGGCCTTTGAGGTAATAAGGACGTTTTTATTTAAATGAGTCCTTGCCCGCGGCGAAACTTCCATAATCGATCTTATAAAAAATTTTGAACGTATTGGGAAAATTATTAGAGGCCACCATAGGGTTTTGACGTTTTAGTGGCCACTATAGTAGTCGTAGACCACTAAAATTTTGAGTGGCCACTTTAGGGGTCAAGGGATCATCATAACTGATCCAATCTTTTTTGTTTTGAAATTATCAGAGTTACTGGAAGCAATACTGGATGAAAAAATACTGAAGTGGCCACAGAATAAAGAACCTCTATAGTGGCCACTAAAAATTTTCCCAGAAGTGAAACGTTTTTTTTGTAATAGAAGCTTATAGGCCTTTTAAAGTTTGTGCGAGAATTTTCAAATAAAGATGTATAAAGCACGTTGAAAGCTTCAAAAACGCTTCACAGCCGTCCCGCGCCGAGCCATTCCAAGTGCGACCATGAGCTTTTAAAAAGAAGACCTTTTAAAACGGTTTTTTAGTCGATGGGCGTTTTCGCACGACATTTGCACGACGCCATGTACTTATACGGAATGGCCCTGACGAATTTGGTTCGAAACGGATCCTCGATTCGAGATCCCGACGCGGTAGAACTCGCCATGCAGACCACGTTTCCCGGTCTTTTCAAAACCATTTTTTCGGACTCAAAGGGAAATTTTAGGACTGAGCGGAGAAGTGACAATAAACCAGAACAACACCCGACTCCCTCTGTTCGTTTTTTACGGGATCAACAATAAATACGACCAAGTCTCATTCATGAACGTCACCTACTTCTCCTCCGTGGCGGTGGGGAGTACACTACCTTAGCTCCGATCTCAAAAAATCGCCAGCCATTCTACGGATTCCGGTTTCAGACGGTCTCCCTGGCCTATTCGGACGAGTCTGTCATCTGGGCTCGACGAGGGGGAAAACGGCCGTTGACGACGCCGATCTGCGGGTTTTTGGGCGATAAGTGTCCGAAGAGCTTCATGGACCAGTATGGGACCCTTGTGATTATTTTGGGGGCTGTTCTTGGCGTCATTCTGATTGCTCTGATCTTCTTCGTCATCTACATCATCAGGTAGGATTCCGACCGTAGGAATCGGGAGTTTTCAATCAAAGTCTGGTTTACTTAGGATTGGCAGAGTGGTCCCTGAAGGGGTGAATTTAGGGGCCGTTGAAGGTTCACCTCTAGGGGCCACCTCACCTTCCCTCTATGGGGCATCAAAGCTGGGTCGTTTATTGTTGTTATACCCCTGTAGGGGCCACTTGAACTTGAGCTTCCTAGAGAGCCCTATTTTGTCCCCTCTAGGGGTTGTTTTCCTAGCCACTCTAAGGACCACTTCACCTTTCTTCTACGGGCATCAAAGCTTGCAAAACGAGGGAACTTCAAGAGAGCCCTGGTCGTTTATTGTTGTTAGTTATACCCCTATAGGGACCACTTAGGGAGCACTGTTTTTTTCTTCTGTAGTGGTTGTTTTCCTAGCCCCTCTAGGGACCACTCTAGCGTTTCTAAGCAATTTATCGAAATTATATCAAAATTTTAAAAAAATGAGCATTTTTTTACTGTCAGTTTTGGCTGAAAACTCGGAATACTGTGCTAAAAACTATTTTTCCTATTTTTCCTAAAACTCATGCAAAATATTGCTAGAACTCAAAAAATCTGCTCTTTTTGAACATCGACAAGAAAGTTATAGAAATTTTCGGTGCTTTCCATCCTTCTTTATAACTTGAATTTCAGATCAAAGCAACTGGAACAAGAGAGGATCAACTCGGAATGGCAAATCCCGATCACAAGGCTCCAAAAACCGCCTTCAAAGGTTCAGAAACTCAATTCCAGCTTGATTCTGGACTTTCAGAAAGAACGTGAACGTCAGAGCAAACGTTCCCTCCAATCCGGACCTTCCACGACGACTGGAGACACCAAATTCACATATGATGGAGAATTTAGTCATTATACCATCTTGTACCTGGAAAGGGAGCCCGTCATCACTACCAAGCATCCGGCTTCGACTTTGACTAAAATGGACTACGAGCGTTTCGTCAATGTTAGTATCTTCATTTCTTGTAACAGTCTGACCTGTCTGCGCCCTCTTTTCTCTCACCGTTTCAAGAAAAGAGCTTATTGAAAATGGTGGCGCTGAGAGATTAGAAGATTTCAAGGAAAATACATTTTGTTTTAAAGTTTTGAGACGAGAAGTCTTCCTCCCACACGGCGTTTTTGTTAGTGGAAGGAAATGCAAAACAAAAAATTAAGGGGGCTTGGCCGCTCCCATGTGACGTCATGAGAAAAACGCGTAAACAACAGGAAATATTAAAGGCGCATGTTCAATGGGTCCTGAGAGGAATCGATTTAAAAATTTAAAAAAACCTTGATTTTTTTCTGTTTTGTTTTAAAACGCATGCCGTGTTGAAAGTAATTCCGAGAAATTCAAAATAGCCAGCCGAGAGTGAAAAATGTAACTGAATTTCCGTTCGCGAAAATTACGCTGAACGCGACGTGTGCCAGAGCGCCGCAGTGTATGCACACGACACACTACATTTTACGGAAAAAATGTGGGCGAACAAAAAAAGGCCGTGCACAAGTAGTAGTGTGTGAACTAAAGTTTTTCGAAAAATAGGAAAAATTTTGGACATTCGAGTCCCCATGGGTGGTGCTGTTAAGGTTTTTAACTAATTCTACTGTTTTGGTAGGTTTTTGGGGGCGGCTCAGCGATTGGGACTGGACCTTTCGAAGCGACTTTCACCGCGGCAGCCAGTCCGGGCCGTCGGAAGTCACTGGCGGACTGTCTAAAGATACGGCATCAGAAATCGGCGATCATTCAGACGAAAATCGGGCAGCACCACCGATAGCACCGCCAGAAAGATCTGCCTTATATAGACGGCGATCTGGCTGCGGCCGACCTGGAACGGGTCCGCCGAGTTGTATATCGCTGTGTTGAGTGTTTGGAACGTCATCATATCTCTCTTTGTCGGGGAGATGAGAAGAGTAAACAATACAGAAGGCGATGTCGAGAGCGGTTAGAGAGCGTGGGGAAAGTAGAGAGGAGTCAGAGAAAAAGTTTTCGACTTGCTGTTCTTTAAAAAAATCGAAAATTCTTGGAATTAGATTAAAATTAAAACCGCTTCGCGACCGCGCGCGTCATGACGTCACCACGGCTTTTCGAATCGGTGAAATTTTAATAGAAAAGTATGCAAGTATGAGAAAAAGCGATTCATTTATAAGTGATGGAATTATTGGATTTGAAGGAAAAATATTCTCAACAAAAAAACTTTCAGATGCGAAAAATTGGACCACGACAACATCAACAAGTTCATCGGCTTGTCCATCGACGGCGCTGAATACGTCGTGGTTTTGGAAAAAATGTGCGCCAGGGGGAGCTTACAGGTGAAATTTAGCTTCATTAACAGGTGAGGTAAATTTTCCTGGAACTTTGAAATTTTTTAGAAAATGGTCTAAATTTTTTTTGACGGAAGATAGGGATTTTTCAATTTTTTCAGATTTCGAAAGAATAATTCGTCTTTTTCTGGACGCTTTGCCCTGAAAAAAATTTGATGATTCTGTTCAAAAATATAAGAAATCGAGAACTTTGAGACTTCAGAAAGAACGAAAATTCACATAAGCAAAGCAATTTTGGTCAATTTTCAGAAAAATTACCTCCCTTATGAAAAATCACTGTAAAACTCCTTTTCAGGACATAATTTCCCGAGGAAACTTTTCAATGGACCCTTTTTTCATGTTCTGCATCATTCGCGACATCGCCGAGGTAGGAAAATAAGAGAAATTTTGAAAAATTCCAATTTTCAGGGCCTGAAATTCCTTCATCACACTTTCCTGCCAAATCATGGAAATTTGAGATCCGGCACTTGTCTGGTCAACGACAGTTGGCAGGTTTTTTTAATCATAATTCTTGAAAAAAATCAGGCTTATATTTGAAGAAAAAAATAATGAGAAGGAAACTGTTTATTCGAAAAAAACTTTTAAAAAAATATTTCTTCGATTTTTTTTACAAATTTATCATTTTGAACGAAAAATTTAATATATAATATTATTTATTTACAGGCAGAACAAAAATAATATGTACAGAAAAAAAGAGAAAAAAATTTTGGCATTAAGCCTGAAATAAATAAATAAAAGGCACTTGAGGCCCTCACGAGCCTCTGAGCCAGTAATGAAAGAATAAGAGGTGAGGATTTCACAAAGGTAAAAAGTAAATAGAAAAAGAAAAGTATAAGTTATGACACAGTGTAGCACAGGTGAGTGGGGAATTTAATCGTTTGTAATGATATAGACGCGCATAAGATGGATTAGAGTAGGGCTGAAGCACGGGTGCCTGGTTCAACGGAGTCTGCTGGGAATAGATCCAAAAAAAGGAAATTGTTATCGAGGGATAGTAACAAAGACCTGAAACGTTCTGGAGAAACATTGAGGTTTCCCAATGTAGCCAGTTTATTCCAAAGAGGGATGAACGTCTCAAAGAAATTTTCGAAACGAATCCCTACTCTGATAAGACGTGATGGAGCACGTACCGAATTCGATCTCCTGAAAACACTGTGAGCAACTGGCAAATGACTCTCCTTAATATAAATTTTATGTAGTGTTCTTAGACAAAATTCGACTCGTCTTCTAAAAAGAGAGTTTGTGTTAATCTGAGCTAACCTGTCTTCATAACTAGAAAACCTAATGTTTGATCTCATGAATGTTTGGCGAGTAAATTGACGGAAGATGTTTTCGAGGGTGTAAGATAGTTCTGAAGCTAATTTCGTGATGCTTCATTAAAATTAACGTGAATTTGGTTAAATGTATCGTCATCTTTTTGAATTTTCCTCATTCTTCTTTTTACTTTTCTAATCTAAATTTGAATAATCTCGTTATCATAAAAAACTGGGCACTAAATGGAACTCAGTTTCAGAAATTCATGACCAGAATTGAAAAATTACTCATTTTTTTGAGTAGATGGGTGAAGTACTTGAAAAAAATCTTCAAGAATAAGCTTTTTATTTCAAGTTTCATATTTTCATTGGGAATTTAGTTAATCCTTTTCGACTTGAAAGGCAAAATTGGCAAGAATGGCGCGTTGCGTACGCGACGCGGTTTTTTGGCGCGAAACTCGAGGTCAAATTATGAAAAAATGTTCCGAAAAAATTCGTTTTTTGCTTTTATTTTGTTCAACTAAACCTTTTCAAAACAATAAAAATAGGAAATCATTGAAAAGCGTCAAAAAAAAAGGAAAAAAATGTCGAGTTCCCCGCCAGATAGCCGCGTCGCGTACGCAACGCGTCAACCTTGTCAATTTATAGTCCGACTTGCGCCTTCCTTATCTCCCGTCTCTCAATTTTATGTGCTCTTTTCATGTTTCTCTAATCTCGCCGGTGAGTGAACAGAGAGACGCAGACACGTGAAAAACTGTCAATTCACGGCAGACGGACCATACCCGTCTTGCCTTTCAGGCCCCCCAAAACTGACTATACGCTTGAAATTATAAATTTTTAGAAGTTTCCAAGTTTCAGGTGAAAATCACGGACTACGGTCTGGACAACCTTGCCGAAGAGTCGGCGCCGACGAAAAAAAGACAACTTTGGGTGGCGCCAGAAGTTCTTCGAAATAACACGCCGCGGAGTCAAATCGACAAGTCCGCCGACGTTTATTCCTTCGCCATCGTCTGTTCGGAAGTCCTGACCAGAAAACCGGCCTTCGATTGGAATGACCGGAAGGAAAGCGTTGATGGTGCTTTACTCTTCCAGATTTCTATGAAATTTGAAGCTTTCAGAATTGATTTATCTGATCAAAAAGGGCGGAAGGAACGCTTTGAGGCCAGAACTCGACATGGAAGGCGTCGAGATGAATCCGGCGGTGGTAAGATTGGAAAAAAAATTTCTTTTTGTCACAAAATCCATTTTCTTGAAAAACCTAGGTCAATTCAAAAAAAAAAATTAGTGTTTGTTGAATTTTTTGTGAGAGAAAGAAACGTAGGAAAATGTTGTATCTTGAAGTTTGATGCCTCAAAAAAATGAATCAACTGAGAAAAACTCAAGTGGTCCCTTAAGAGGTTTTTCTAGGATTTTTACTTTTCTACTAGGAGAGGACCCTAAAGTGGTCACTAAAACCATCTCTATAAAAGCCACTTCTCGTGTCTTAGTGGCCACTATAGTAGTTTTTAGTGGTCTGATAATACTAATTAGACTCCTAAAGGTGCCACTAAACTATAGCCACTTAAATGGCCATTCATGCGACTACTACAGGGGCCCCTCAAGCGTCAGAACCCTAAAGTGGCCACAAAAATTTTCTCAAAAGTTGAAAAAATTTTGATCTTTCTGCGCTCTAGTTACTGGCAACACTCTCACATTGTTTTTATTTCTATGACCTCTCAGACGAGAGAAAAGAGGGCGCAGACAAGTCAGAATTAGAAGGATGAAAGAAGGAAAATTTTCAGTTGCATCTGGTGAGAGATTGTTGGAGTGAAACGCCAGAAGAACGACCAATGATGGACGTGATCACGAATTTGCTCAGCGGAATGATGCCCAGGTTCAGTTTTTCATTTTTTGGTGAAAACGGGAGTTTTCTTCAATCTTTTTTTTAATATATTTCTACTCTGATTTAGGAAAATGTGGCTTTGTTTCCACTAGAAATCTCTCAAAATCGTGATATCAAGCTTCTTCCAGTAAGAAGTCTAACCTAATGGACCACGTGTTCAACATGCTGGAGGAGTACACGACAACGTTGGAACTGGAAGTCGAGGAACGGACCAAAGAACTGTCGGCGGAAAAGAAAAAGGCCGACGTCCTTCTGGGCAGAATGCTCCCCAAGTAGTCCCGATCTTCAAATTCCCCAAAATAAAAGGAAAATAGACAAGTGGCGGAACGACTGAAGCTGGGCCAAACCGTGGAGCCGGAAGGCTTCGACTCGGTCTCCGTCTTCTTCTCCGACGTCGTCAAGTTCACCATCCTCGCCACGAAATGCTCGCCTTTCCAGGTCCTCCTTCGAGACGTCGGATCATCTACAACCTCGTTTTCAGGTTGTTAACCTTCTCAACGACATGTACAGCAACTTTGACGCCATTATCGAAGAACATGGCGTCTACAAGGTGGAAAATCTTCAGAATAATCGATTAATTAAGGGTTTTCCAGGTAGAATCAATTGGAGACGGGTACCTTTGCGTTTCAGGTCTTCCTGTTAGAAATGGCTATGCCCATATTCGGTTTGACGGTGACTAGAATGCATTTCAAAAAGTGGTGGCTTTAGGGAAATCGTAGAGATGTCGCTAGACTTCATGTCCTACATCAAATCGTTCAAAATTCCTCACTTACCTCGGGAAACCGTCGAGCTGAGGATAGGAATCAATAGTGGTGAGTTATAGTCTATTAATAGCTTCTTCTGGATTGAAAGCTTTTTATTGCTCCAAAGGAGAGTTCTATCTTTGATTTTTACCGCAGCCAACCTTTTGAAAGTTTCCTCCTCTGTTTAAATATGCCAGAAAAAGTACGCTCAGAAATTTTCGCTTTGTTTTTTTCAAAGGAGCATAGCACAAAGTTTAGGTGTTTCTTTTTCAAAAGCTTTGAGAATTTTGTTCTTGTGATGGTAATTTTTAACATTAGTTCATTGGAGACGAAGAAATAATTCGAAAAATCGACTACTCTAGGGGTCACTAAAACGTCCAGACCCTAAAGATCCTACTGAAAATTTTTCCAGATGCTGTTTAAAAATTATCAGTGAAAATTTTTTTGAAAAGGCTTAAAGCTGGTTTAAAGTATATTTTCAGGTCCTTGCGTAGCTGGAGTGGTAGGTCTGAGCATGCCGAGGTACTGTTTATTCGGCGACACTGTCAATACGGCTTCCCGAATGGAAAGTAATGGAAAAGGTTGGATTAGGAACTTTGCAAAATTCAAGTTTATCTTCAGCTTCTCACATTCACCTTTCCGGCGCTGCTCATCATTTATTAGTTTCACAGTATCCCCATCAGTATGAGACCCAAAGTCGAGGCGACGTCATAATCAAGGTGATAATATACTGTTTCAAATTTCATTTTTCAAATTGAAAGTTCAAGATAAAACTAATGAGGCCAAATCCCACAACTTTTGATAAAAAGAACATTTTTTGAATCATGACCAGCTTCGTTCCATTCTTGCCACCACCTTACCTCCTCTATAGGAACACTTAAGCTTGAAAAAGGGGTCACTCTAGGGAGTGTCTTCATAGTTATGAACTTCCATGCGAAAAACTCAATAACTCAACTTAAAACTAGAAGACCCCTGTAGGGACCCCTTAAGCTTCATGGGCTTAGAAGTCAGACCACCCAGGCTTTACTCTCTCTGATATCTTCCTTGTATAGCTGATTCACGGCTAGCTTGGGACGCTAAGGGGGCGTGGCCTGTCTGCGCTCTCCACGAGCCAGGCGCTATCTCGTGCATTATCGTGACAGGACCCTTTTTTCGATGGCTCAAGTCAGCCGTGAACCAGCTATAGTGGCTGTTTTTCTTTTTCCTCTCCCCTCTAGGGAGCACTCTGGCGTCCCAAAAATCTGAATTATTTCAGGGAAAAGGAGTAATGGAGACTTTCTGGGTACATGGCCGCAAGGGAGACAAGACAGTGTATAATCGAGAGAGCACTCCGCCACAGAAAACGGTTAATTTTATTATTTTTTCAAACCTTCAATGATTTTTTGAGGTACTCGTGAAAACCCAACCGAAAGAGCGTCAAATCACACCGGATTCTCTGCTTTCAACAGAACGATCCGTCAGTCCGATCATGCAGAAACTGGACTACAATAATGAAGACGCCCTTTATCGGAAATTCAGGAAAAGCGAACCCACTTTAGCTTGATTTTCCTATCATTTATGAATAATACATTTCTTACCTCTTTGTTTTTTGTCTACAATAAATTGGCCCTTTTTCTAATTTTGTTCACATCGAAAATTTTTTTTAAACTTTTGCCGGTTCTAGACTCCTTCAAGCGGCGTTTAAAGGAGCATTGGCGAATATAATAAAGGTCTTGACACAAGAATCTTATTTCATTTTCAAATTTTGCATGCAAGTCTTCTGCGCCTTGGAAGAATTTTCAAAGAGGAAAAAATCTTCGAAGTCCAAATTTGATTAAACTTTTTGAAGGGAAGCGTTCAAAAGCGATGATTTTTTTGATGAGCGCAGGTGGAATGGCTCAACCGTGACGCGACCGCGACGCTTCGAGCCATTCCACGTGCGGCCTTCATTCAGCCGTTGCTCAAATTCTGATTTTATTTTTTGCAGCGATGTTTCATTTCTGGACTAAAATTTATCTTATGAATGATATCAAGACGTAAAATTAATAGTTCTGAATTATTCAGGAACAGTAAAAATCCGTCGGAAATTAAAAAAAGGAGGTCGAGAAAAATTCTTGATTTGAAAAAAAGAGAAGATTTCCTCGTTGTTAACTTAGTTTTATTACTGAAAATTTAAGCAAATAACTATTGCCTTGGAAAAATTTTCCGAATCGAATGGACCATTTTACTCAACCAAATTTAGTTAACAAAAAAATCTGTTATTTTTTTAAAAATCTTTTTGTCACCAGTAGTTGATAATTACGCGGTCAAATAAATCATGTGATCTTTTAAAAATGGCTAAAAGACGAATAAATCAATCAAGAAAAAGAAAAGGAATGATTATTGATTACTTCGTTGGCATCGACCCGGAATGTTCTTCGACTTTGTCGACGAGCCCGAATTCTTTCGCTTCCCAGGCGCTCATGAACCGATCACGGTCGAGTGCTTTTTCCACAGCCTGAATATTCATTAAAACTCTCAGAATTTCTTATTTGAAACCTCATAAGATTGGCCAGTGTGATGGACATAAATTTCCGTGGTTCTTTTCTTCAACCTGACGATTTCTTCAGCTCTGATCACGATGTCTGAGGCGGTTCCCTGCAAGGAGAGTGGTTCAAGTTGTAGTATCAGAAAAAAGACTTGTGAAAATATTTTAAAAAGAAATTTTTAACAGTTTTTTAATTTTTCGGCTGTCTCAATTGTTTTTGAAAAAAGAAAATCTTTAACTTCTTCTTATTTAACGAAGTTATGTCAATACTTGTACCATTGAGAACTTATTTTTTTTTTCTTTATTGATCAACTTTCAAAAGTGCATTCATATAAACAACTACAACTGAAAACAAAAATAGGAAAAGCCTTCGTTTATAAAAAAAAAAGCTTTGGAGTATGCATTTTGGCGTCAGGTCCGCAGACACCGAGCGTCTGCGATTTACGCAAAAGCGTTCAAAATTTTCCCAATTTTCTTTCGTTTCTCTCTGTAATTTTGATTCATTTTTGGTTTCAGTCATGTCAGCAGCTCCAGGAGCGGTAGGAAAAAAGAGCGGCGGCCGCACTATCGCTGCAAAAGCGCTGATCATCCAGGTGAAAGCAAAAGTTAACACAAAAACGATGTTGAACTTTTCCAGGAATTCAAGAGACGTCTCAGAGACAACGTCAAATCTCTCAACGACAACTTTTTCCACATTATCAACGCAGCCAAGGTTCTTTCATCTGTCACCTTAAACAATTTAATTCTTGTCAAAAAGTTCAGGTGACTGAAGATGCCTCGACGACAAAGAGCAGTTCGGGCAAAATGACCGAATTTTTCACTGCCAAAAATGAAATGGCTGTTCGGGCTGCTTTGATGGTATTATTGAAAATGTGAATATCTTATTGAATATTTGATAATTATAGGTGCGAGCAGCAGACGAACTGTACAAACTGACCAACGAATTGAAAGAATTTCTAGTCCTCCACGATTTCAACTTCCTCACTCAGTCTATAAAAAAACGTTTGTTCTTTTTTTGAATATTTTTTTCAAGGCTTTTTGTATTGATGAAAGAAATCAAGGAACTTAATACTTTTTTTCTCTATAAAAAAATAAACTTGAAAAAGCTTTTTACAAGTCTCGCGAAAATTGGGTTTTTTTCGATTATTTTTTTCTTGGGTTCCGATTTTTTTGTCACCTTTTTCATTTTTTTTTTAGAATGAAGGCCGGTATATACATTTTTTTTTCACTGAGTATTGAAGAAACTATTAGAAATAAAAAATCCAGATCATTTTTAAAAATTCGTTCCCTCTTCAAAAACATACTCTGAAAAAATTGTATTTCTTGAATTTTGAAATAATATTCAATTATTCCTGAAAGTAAGATTTATTCTATTTTTTTGTTACATTTTTATCAACTCGGTTCGTGTCTCATTACAACGGAAATTAACGCTGGATCACTGATAAGCGTCATTAATTTCTTATTAGCTAATTTCCAAAGTGCTAGATTCTCGGAGGTCGCAAAATATTCATTTTTCATTGGGTTCCTGATTCAAAATCTTCCAAAACTGTAAGAAAGTGTTTCATACGTTACATTTAGAAATATTATAAGATTCGAAGAAAATAGAACTTTGAGAAAGTTTTCCCAAGGTTGCAATAGAACGGGTTCATTCAGATTGAAACAAAATATATATTCTTATTTCAGGGCGGAACGGGAATGCGACGAAGCTTTACGGAAACAAACTTCGGCCTACACGGCCCTGAGACTCGAGGTCGCCGGAATCAACATGGATATCGATAGGGAACTCTCAGAGAACTTCAACTTTTTGTATTGATCAATTCCTCACAATTGTAACTTTTCCAATGTCTCGGGTTCATAAAAATCTCATTTTCCGGCATTTTTTGTTGTCCCATTCAAATATGAAATGAAAAAAAAACGCTCAAAAGGACGCTACCTGAAAAAAATTGATATTTTATTTCTTTTTTTCATGGAAAATAGTCTTTCGAAAAAAATCTGCCAGAGTTGTCAAAGCCCCAGAAAGAACTAATCCAACACTGGAAGCGTCTTTTCGCTTCAAGACCTGTGAAAAACTGATACTGTCTGCGCGATTTTAAATTTCCACAGATAGGCATCCCTATTACAAAAAAAAACTTCAATCAACTTTATGACCTCGATTGATTTTCTAGGGGTTTTAAAGACGCAGAATTTTTTTTTAAAAATATCCTCGACACCTTTTTTCTTCCCTGACAGGGGAGGTCATTTTACTTCGCGGTTGGGAATTTCCTGAAAATTGGCCAGAACACTTTTTGATGTACCAGATGATCATCCTGAAAGTCTTAACCGGCACAACTTCCTAATTTTTGAGAAATAAGGGCCTAAAGTCTCAAAATAGCCTATTTTTATGGATTTTGAGGGTTTCCTTTGACTTTGAGACTTCTTTTCTTGAAAACGAAGAAGTTGTGCAGGATGACACTCTCACGATTAACTTCTGGTACATCAAGGAGCTTTCTGGCCAATTTTCAGGAAAATCCCAAGCGTGTAGTAAAATGACCTTCCTTGTGAGTATCAATCAATCACATTTTACTTTCTAAAAAAGTCAACCTTCGGTTTCAAGAAATCTATTTATATTTCTTTTGAGAACGTGAGGCAATAATTCTAAACTATAAAAAAAATAAAAAAACGCAAAAAAGCAAAAATTCCTGTTCAGTTGGAAAGAAATGCCAAAATACACTCTGATAAGCTTCTTCCGCCAGCTTTTCTCTTTTTTTTCTGAAAAATTATGATTTTCATCTTTCCAACACCGTCTACATCCTAAAAAAGACCTTGCCGATGAAAATTCATGAAAACTAGCTAGGTAGTCTTTAACATTGAAATGAAGAAATTTTCTTTTTGATTTTTTTAAACCTGAGCCCCGCCGCTCGGCTGATGGATCATAATTCGGGCGTTCGGAAGGGCGGCCCTCATGCCTTTTTCGCCGGCGCAGAGAAGCAATGAGCCCATGCTCGAGGCCTGGAAACTTATTTCATGGATATTTCGATATTTGGAACCTGGCCGATGCACCAAGTGGCCACTGGAGCGCTGATCATCTGCATCGTGTCGTAGATGGCCAAACCGGCGGTCACACTTCCTCCTGAAAGTTTTTTCATTGGGAAGTCCCAGAAACGGGCGTAAACAGGGCGCTGAAAGGAGTCCCTTTTGTGCCCGATCATGCCCTTTATTTTTTCCAAGATTCGAAAGGCTCAAAAAAGCGTGGAATGACGAAGAGGCAGCAAAAAAGGCAGTGTTGTTAGGAATTTCAGAGTGGTCCCTAGAGTGGCAACTTTAGGGGCTCTTGGCCCCCTTTTGTGCCCGATCATGCCCTTTATTTTTTCCAGGGTCCGAAAGGCTCAAAAAAGCGTGGAATGACGAAGAGGCAGCAAAAAAGGCAGTGTTGTTAGGAATTTCAGAGTGGTCCCTAGAGTGGCAACTTTAGGGGCTCTTGGCCCCTTTTGTGCCCGATCATGCCCTTTATTTTTTCCAGGGTCCGAAAGGCTCAAAAAAGCGTGGAATGACGAAGAGGCAGCAAAAAAGGCAGTGTTGTTAGGAATTTCAGAGTGGTCCCTAGAGTGGCAACTTTAGGGGCTCTTGGCCCCCTTTTGTGCCCGATCATGCCCTTTATTTTTTCCAGGGTCCGAAAGGCTCAAAAAAGCGTGGAATGACGAAGAGGCAGCAAAAAAGGCAGTGTTGTTAGGAATTTCAGAGTGGTCCCTAGAGTGGCAACTTTAGGGGCTCTTGGCCCCCTTTTGTGCCCGATCATGCCCTTTATTTTTTCCAAGATTCGAAAGGCTCAAAAAAGCGTGGCATGGAAAAGAGGGGAGCAAGAACTTAGGAACTTCAGAGTGGTCCATAGAGTGCCCACTTTAGGGGCCCCCAAGGGACCTCTACCTAAGGAAAGCTCTAAAGTAGCCACTCTAGGGGAGCATACTAGTGGTCCCTATACGTTTTATTTTGAACTTCCAGAAAAAAAAAATTAAAAGACCACTATAAGGACCACTTATACCTCAGTGGTCAGGCACTAAACTTTTATAGGGAGCCTTTGAATTTTAGCCTTCTAGGGAGCACTATTTTGTCCACTATAGAGGTTTTTATTTTCCCTAGCCTCTATAGTGACCACTCTGGTGTCTCCAAGCTGTTGAAACAGCGAAAAAAAGGAATCTTTTCACCACCTTTTCAAAAAGAAAAACCTTAAAAAAATGTTTTTTTCTGAAAGGTGAAGTATATTTTTTTCAGGCGACACTTACCTGGGCTGTTGATGTACAACTGAATCGGTTTTTTTGCTGCTTTCACTCTGAAGGAACAAAAGCTGGGCGATCACTGCCGACGCTACGAAATCGTCGACCTGAAATGATATATCAACGTTCAAAATATTGAATTTGAAAAAGAAAATACAAGAAAAACCCGGATTTTTTCAAAGTTAGCGCATTAGTGATGGTTCTAGATCGAGCGAAAACTAAGGAAATATTTTTATTGCTTCAATTTTTCTTGTCATTTTTCTTATTAGAAATTCTTTCCTGACTTAAAAGTAGTGAGAAGAACCTGCATGGCGCTTTTCAAATAATTATTAAAATTAATAAGCCTCCAAAAAAATTTTTTTTTCCCTTTCTTTCTTCAGTTCATTCAGCGCCAATAAGAGACATTTACAAGGGTCTTGACACGATTAGCGATAGAGTGTACGGAAAGAAGAGGTTCAGACGTTTCTGCAGTATTTTCTCAAAAAGACAGCGATTTTCGTAAATTATATAGCTTATTCCGCGCCAGCTTGTCACGTTTTTCTTTCTGCCAAAAAGACCGTATACCAAATCAGATCAAACTTCTGCTTTTATAACGAGAAACAAAGGTCTTGAAGCGAAAGTTGGTCAAATTTGACCTGGCCTTTTGGCGGAAAGAAAAACGTGGCAAGCTGGCGCGGAATGGCCTATAACATGTTATTTTCAAACTGTGAAGCCCCAACGAACCGGCGTCATCAGACAAACGATGCGATCGCGAAGAAGTCGCGAATAAATGTCGTAGACGCGTTCGCCGCGGCCCTCGTTGTCGATGACGAACGGGACCGCGTTCCTGGCCGACGATGTCGCGGAAAACCCACGCGATGTCGCGTTTCCCAAAGAGGTTATCGCTCGTCGCAGCATCTTCAGATTTTTCGAGTCAATAAAAAATGCTTCACTTTAAAGAGAATTTTGGTACAGAAATTACTTTTTGAAATATTCCGAAATTCATTTTTTTCACATAGTTTTTCAACTTAGAAGTTGCTTAAAAAAATGTTCAAAACCATAAATTGAATTTTTCAAACTCTTGACGCGACGGTTTGAAAAAGTGATTTCTTACTAAAAAAATTACTGGAAACTTCTCTTCGAAATTTTGTGATTTCAACGTTTCAAAAAAATATTTCTTATATGTTTTTTTCTTTTTCCACATTACTAAAACACGGAAGCACAACGAAAATAATATTTCGAAGAAGATTTAAGAAGTTTTAAATTTTAAAAAAAGAGCTACTATTCAACGATACGATATTATATAAATTAAAAAAATTGAAATTATCAAAAATAAGCTACAAAAAGTCCCAAAACTTTCTGAGGTATGATTAACAGGAGATTCCAACAAAACGCACGAACTTCTGTCAAAAAACCCGGAAAACTATCATTATTTATTGCTGAAGCAAGGCGATTTTTGTACAATCGACAAAATTGATCGGAAAAGGACGTACACTAACTAATGATACGAATCACAGGAGAGAAAGGAATGTTCGGGGCGAGTTAATAGAAATTTATTGGTTTGAAAATATTTTTCGGGGCGTAAGAATTGTGCAAATCAAGTGACGAGATGCCGAGAACAGGGAGAAAATCCGAATTTATCGGAAATCTTCGGGGTTGAAGAGACCGCGCGCACGCCCCAAGATGCTGTCCTGGAAAAAGAAAAATTGAGTTTTTATAGCAAGAAATCATTTCAAAAGAACTCCTGGAAGATGAAAAATATAGAAATGTAGAAGAAAAACAAAAAATCTCTCATTTCAAGCAAATCTTTCTGAAAATTCATCAAATTCCATTCTCGAGCAAAGTCGGAATGGTGGATAATGGCCGCTAAAAAAGAGAGGCTCAAAAAAAAATCGCAGAAAGGCATAAAAAAGGTCCCTTTATCAAAATTTTCCTTTTTTCTAGAATTTTAAGGCTCAAGGAATGGTGGAAAAAGGAAGAGGCAGCAAAAATGGTGCATAAGAGACAAAAAAATGACGCAAAAAGGAGCCTTTTTCACCCCGAAAGGAACATTTTATGGAATCTTTTTCCAGTCTTTCTAACTTCGCCAATGTTTACAAGACGAAAAAAAAAAAACTATAACTCACAATTTCGATCAAATTTTGCTCACTTAGTCATAAACCCCATTGAAAATCAACTATAGCCAGTTTTGAATGAACTATAGACCATGGTCGCATTTGAAATGGTTCTACGCCTTGCTCCAAGCTTGCACCTGACTTAAAGTGACTTCCGCACGATAGCATGAGTATCATAAACATTTTTGAGCTAGACGGCACTTTACCCATCGAAACAGTGAAAAAGATCAAATTTTGACAAAGTCCGTATTTTTTTTTAACGAAACTTGGATTCGATGTAGATTTAAAAAATTTATATGGCTCACCTAACAAGGGAAAACTTTAGCTATATATGTTCGATTTAACGCTGTTTTTTTAACTGCAAATGATTAAAAAAACTAGAAAAATCGGAAAAAAATTCGAGAATAATTCCATTTTTTTCTGTAGAAAAATCTCACGTTGGAACGGGTACCAAATAGATTATACTTCAGACTTTTCATGAAGACCTACTGTTCTTGACAAAAATAAAAATAAAAATTACCTTGCTCGGGTCGTAGGGAGCCTCTTTGCTGGGAATTTCCAAAACAGCTGGGATCGAGGCCGTGTGTTGGTCGACCTTCAATTTGAATTTTCTTTTTCGGAATTCAAAAATGTCAGGGTGAAACAGTTCCTAACAATATATGCTACAAAATGTACTGGAAATTAAGAAAAATCGGGTTTTTTTGCGGTCTTTTTGAGTATTTTACCCTTTGCTCAAAACTTTGAAACTGCTATTATACCTATTCCATCAAAAAAATGTTACTCTTTTTAAATTTAAAATTATATAGTTTGTTCGAAAATCTTTTGCGAGTTGCGGCAAGGTCTCGAAGCGAAAAGCTTTTTTCAAATTTTTTTTTTCGAGAGTCGCAAGGTTTCATACGCTTCAATCACACCAGCAATGAAATTTAAGCAAAAATAGCATACAAACGAAAAAAAATCATATGATATCACAATATTTGAATCAAAAAAGTATGATAAAATTTGAAAAAAAGAAAGTTAAACTAGTTTAGTGTCGCGTGATAAAATTACAATAGGAACATTGCTAGAAATATATCGTTTATTAAAAAAAATTTCAAAAACTCAATGGTTTGATAAAAAAATATAGAACTTCAATAAAAAAATGAGCTCAGAATTATTATCAAAAATTTGACGAGCGAAACTCTGAAAGCTTTTTTCTCGAAAATTTCCTCTTTTTTCTTATGTTCCCTATCCATCCTACTCAAAAAATCCTGAACTTACAACAAAGCGGATCATTTCGGCAACATGCTGGTTGATCAGAATGATGGCGATGTCTTCGCGGGAGCAGAAAGTTTTGAAAGCATCCTCGATGGCTTGGAGCTCCGTCGACTTATCCACAATGAGATAATTCGGCTTTCTCGCCTGAAAATATGAGTTTCGAAATAGAAAAACCACTGAAAACTATTCAAAAAAGACCTTGTTCAACTCGCCGACGCCGCCGAGAAGAAATCCGACGACGGTGTCCTCGTCGCCGATCACGGCCATGATCTTTCCCTTAGCAGCGGAGGCCATCTCAATTCAAGCCAGATAGTTTTCAAACAATCAAAAATGAACGCAAAACAGTGAGAAACGCATAAAAAGTAGCGATTCACGAGACCAGCGGCCGAGGCGAAAAATCATTTTCCGTGGGCGTGGCTTAACTTGCAAAAGAGCGGCACGACTTTTTTGCAAGCACGGCGCCATTTTTCCAGTTCTGTTACGGAACACTTGAGGCAATTTTCATGGAAGTTTTTGAGAAGATTAGCGAAATTAAAGCAAAATTAGAGGTTTATAAGATTTTCAATAGTCATGTTAGCGTTGAAAAACCTAAATTTTCTCGCGATAATGGACCTAGTTACGGAATACCTTGAAGTGAGTATTTCTCAAAAAACTGAAAATTAAAAGGTTCAGAAGCCCTCAATACTACACATCGAAAGAGATTCTCACCAATTTTCAGGTGATTCTCAAACTTAGAGTACTTTTCTGTCATTAAACGGCTTGTTCTCTTAATCATAATTTTTTACCGAAAAAAAATATTTAAAATGATTATGTATGAATTTAAAATGAAAGGATCGTCGATCGCGCTACAGAGGATACATCATGACGCGGAAAATGGTGCGTTTTTGTTTCGAGAAACTGAGAAGCGAGAAAAAAAATGGAATGCGGAAAAATCCCGAAAAAATTATTCGGATGTCTGATCACTTCACTCCTTCGAGTTGCTACGATATATTCTTTTTTCACATGTTTGTTGGTCTTCTATTGAAATATATGGTCATTCTATAATTTTGAAATGAGCATAAGTCTATTTCTTCTCGCTTTCTTTTACAAGGCCTCCTTCACAGTAAGCTAAAGATTCCTAAAATCAAAAAAAAAGTTTCAAGTTCTCTCAAAGTATTCCAACTGTTGATGATCACTTCTTTGGTGTCAATGGGACGATGGTCACAAAAGGCACTTATACAGAAGTATCCATAAAAAACGGCTCAATTTTGGATTGCGTTTCAGCTTGTCGGTGTGACTTGGAATGTGTGGTAAGTTTATTTTTGTGACCCTCATTTTGACAAACAAAACTTTTGAAAAAAATAACTCAAGGAAAAATTTAATCAAAAAAACTGTCGAGTGTATACGGCAAGGATAAATGAGTGATCCAGGATCAGATTTAGGCATAGTTACCGCCAGAAAAAAATATAAAAAAAGAAAAATTTCTATTGAATAAATAGAAAACAATGAAATATTTGCTTTCGCGAATTTCGCGCAAAAATAAAAAAAAACTTAGCGGTTTCGTCGCGGTGTACACACACAGTTCTAAACTACAGACCCACCTTAAAAAAAAGTTTTTCCAATCCTTTTTGTGAGCTATTTTTTCCTCTTCTCAACACTTTTTGTTCAGTTCTAATTTCCAGGTGGTCGGGACTTCAGTCAACTCAACACATTCTCACTGTTTTTTCTATCCCATGGGACGTGTTTCGAAAATCCTGATAAGTTCCGAAAATACGAACCTTTTTGCGCTACGGGTACCATTTTGTCCTTTTTTCAAAGAGTTGAAGAAATTTTTTTTAGTACAAAGCCAAGAATTACAAATGTGCAAGTTCGTTGTCCGCGCTGAATAAAACTTTTGTGAGTTCTTTGTTTTTTTTGTTGATAAAAAATCACTTTTTTTCAGAAGCCACAACTGAACAGCAAGGATTCGTACACATTCCAGCCGTTTCTCCTGGGCAACGGCTCCTGGATTTATAATATTGTACCTGTTTGATTTGTGAGGTTTTTTCAAACTTTGTGAGAAAGTTTACTTAGTTTCTTTGTGGGCAAATTGAAAATAAGGAAGTGAAATTGCAAGAAAGAGTTAATAGCGATTACTCCTCCTCCGTTTGCAATTCATATTCCGTAGGATTTCTGAAAAATTTTGTGATTTTTTCAAAATTTAGGTTTTTTTAACCATAAGATCCCCTGCGATAATCTTTGATAATAAGAATGTTGAGTAATGGATCGATAGCCGGGTAGATATTGAAGAGAAAAGGAGCACAATAAACGGCCCAACTGAACTCGATATTAACGAATGAGAAGCCGAAAATCAGCGCCATCGGAAAGTTAACGAAAAATGTCGGTAGTAGAGCCTGAAAAAAATTAAAAGAAAGTCTTGTTTTTATTATTTTTAAACGTCTTGAAACTTTTTCCTTTCAAGTATCCTGATAGCAACTACTCTGAAATCAAATTCGGACTTCCAAATAAATTTAATTTCGAAAAATTTTTCACGCTTGTTCCAAATCTGAGCCTGAAATTTGACCCAGGAGTGTGTAAAGATAATTATGAGCCTCTCAAAATCAATAATCTCAATTTTTTACTTGAGGTAGTATTCGTGGAGTTCTCATCAATTTCATGGGCTCATAACTTTTTTCACAGTTCTTTGAGACATTTTTAAAGCTCAGATTTGAAATCAGCGTAAAAATTACATATGGTGGTCCCAGTCCTACTGGGAGTTCGGGAAATTTTCTGGTTGAAGAATATGAGAGAAAAGAGGGCGCAGACAGAGCAGACTTTGGCAAGTCATATTGAAAAATGTCTTACCTGGAAGACCAATGCGATAAAAAGCTGTTGCTGAAGACTTCTTGTCTTTTTGCTGACAATATTATAAGTTGTCCTCAAATTGCGGACGATTGTCGTTCCCAGTACAATGATTATAATGTAGGAACTGACATAAATTTAAAAATTTTTTGATATTCTTGATAAGATTTGAAATGGTCGCACGGGGAATGGCTCAAAGGGTCGGAATCTATGTCAAACTGCGCAAGTCGCTTTGAGTCGGGCGCGCTTTTCAACAAGCAACCATTGGTTTTCAAGTTGAGAAAATTGAGTAAAAAGGATTTTTAAATTCGTTACCATAGTCACCATCACAGTTGTAGCTCCAAAAAGCGCTTGAAAGTATGAAAAACGATTTTCATCGTAATCTTTAGAGCCCTAAAGATATTTCTCCTGCTTTGAAATCGTTTTTTCAAACCAGCAGTGTAGAGGCAAAATAAGCTTGTTTAGCGATCGGACGTTGAAAAATACGAAAGTACAGGTCCCTGAAAACAGAATTACTTAGTTTTTATAGTCCGTTTATCGAGATTTGAAAGACTTCTCTGCGCCCTCCTCGTCTCTCGGCGACCCTCTCAAGTTGATGTGCTATTTTTATGTTTCTCTGGCCTCGCCGGTGAGGGAAAAGAGACGCAGACACTCGAAAACTTTCAAGCCGCTTCGAATGAACTACATACTCATTTTGTCGATCAAGATAATCTGTAGGATAGAAAGACACGAGGCTACTGATCCACCATAGGAATTGGGTGAATACAATTGAGAGGGAAACTAAGGCGAGCCTCCAGCCGCGCAGCCAACCGTGTAGGGTTTTGCTGAATTTTTTCGAGATTTTTTTGGAAATCGCCTCTAGAAGATGTACCTACAAACGATGACATATCTGTAGAAAAAGTGGAAATTGATGAAACCCACGAAAGAGCCGATGAAAGAGGAATAACATGCTGAAAGTTATTATTTAATTTAGATAGGGACCGCAAGCCATTTCTTCAGAACGATTCAAAAAATATGTTCTTTACATTGTTCGATAGAGGAGACTGTCCATTTTCATAATCCGTTTAGTTTTTGAAAAAAGCTCCACTAAGAAAAAAGTTATGGCCAAAAAACTAGCGCGCGCGGCGTTCAACTGGAGGCAAAATCTCACGGTTTACCCGCTGCCGCACGCTTTCTTTTTAAATGTTTTTGCGCGTTTCTGGACCGTTTTCGAATCGGTTTTCTGTTCTGAGAGGTTGTCCGAACTGAGCCTCATGTTTTGGTATGAATCTTTTGTACAATCCTCATAAGGATTTTTTTAATAAAAATATCAAAAAAACTACTTAGAAAAAAAGTCAAAGGGATTTTTTTCAGCTTATTTTCTAGTCAGAAAAAAATTATTATCATTCGATTTGGAGAAAAAGAAAAAAATGAAAAAAATATTGTTATTTCGAAAAAAACAGGAAAAAAAGTGCAATTTGACTCCGAAAAAAACGGCTCCTGCGACATTTAAAAGGGCGCATCGGTGTGTTTGACGCAAACACTGCTACGGACACTTGCACGAAATCTTCCAAAATTTCAAAAAAAATTGACATTTTTTCGAGGTTTTCAAAGCCGTTGTTTTTTTTCGCGTCGATCGATTTTTTTCATAATTTTTTCATTGATAGAGTTTTGAACGCTTAATAACATAATCATAAGTATAGACGCGATCCTATTCTCTCATGCGTCAACGAGGCAGGCGAAAAAAGGAGGTTTTGGTAAAACTCAAATATAATTTGATTCGCTGTCCCAATGATTATTTTCATTTTGAATTTTTATTTTTGGACACACTGTTAGTTTTTAAACCAAATAAAAAAAGTATACCATGTCGCTGAAATTTTTTTTCGCATTTCAGCTTCAATTTTTGGTGTCACTTTACAAGCTTTTAATATTTTTTCGCGTCGGTAGATTTTTTCATTTTCACTCAAAAAAATAAAGAAAGTTTTTAATGTATAACATACTTAAAAATTTAGAAGCGTTCCTCACTTGGTTTTTCTGAAACGCGACGATTTTTGTGAAACTTGTCAGTTTTTTTCGTGTTAAATCTTACTTTTTCGCTTATTTTTGAAAAATACATAGTTTTAAAAATATTCAGTCTTGTAGAGCGTTGTCGATTACATAGATTAACAGAAACAGTTCATTTTTAAAGTGGGACTTTAGCTAGTATAAACGCCTCAAAACCGTTTCTGCAACAAAAAAATCGTCATTTTGGTGGCGTGAAGGGGCGGGGCTTTGCGCCCCCTAAATTTAGAAGTCGTATTTTTTTTAGATTTGTTTTATTGTTTCCTATGGAATCATGCGAAAAATATGAAAAGCGACGGCGAAGCGTGAGTCGGTTAAAGTCGGGTGCAGCTATAGGAAAGCAAAAAGTGGGGATTTAAATTTTATTAGCCAGCGCCATCATGAAATTTTGAATGTTTGGAATGGTTAGAAATCGAAACTTTAATGAAATACCTTTTGTGAATAATTCTTTTAGTCTATTTCAAGTAGGTAAAAAAATTAAAATGCTGGGAAAAATTTTTTTAAAAATGTCAAACCTAAGAGCAAACATCCGATAACTCGATCATCTCTCCAGTACCCATCACTAAAAATGAAAAATTGCGCGTGCTCTGCGTACATTATCTAAATCTCATCATTTTTCAACGTTAATAACTTGAAATAATCTACCGGCTTCGCTAGAATCAAAAAAACGCTGGCCAAACATTGGGCCAACGAATAAGATATCACCAAATATTTGTAGTTTCCAATTTCCGGAACCGATTTGAAAATGTAGACAAAAATAGCAAAGACATTGAAGATGATACAAGCCGAGAATTCGATGAAATGGGCGACCGACATTTGAATTCCTTCAGATCAAAATATGCGAGAAAATGACGAAGGATAATTCGATATTAGCGCCAGGAATAAATTGCACATGTGACTTTGTAAATATCATTTTGCAGCGTTTAATCAAAAGTTGTCCAATCAGAGTTCACTTTCATTTTTTTCTTCTAAGATTGCAAAGCATAACGACGTGGATCTGGACCAGTTGGTTCGCAAATCACAAGATTTGATTTGCTCTGGTACTGTTGATAAAGGGATGATAGAAAAGACAAAGGGATCACTGTAGGGATGAGAAAGTAGTCGATGGCGTAGAAAGGGTAGACAATCGGGGTTTGTCGGAAGGTCGAGTTCAGAAACCAAAAAGGCAGGACTAGAACTAGAAGGAGCTGTAAAAGACCAGAGAATAAATTATTAAAATGACCATAAGGCTTATTTGCTCTATTGACAAATCAAGTTTTTCCTCTTTTTTCAAATTTTTTAAAAAGTTTCTAGAGAGGGATTGAAGCAGAGGGCTGCAAATGAGTTTTCTCAAAAAAAAAAGGGAAAACTATATTTTTTTTTAAACTGGGAAAATTTTTTTAGTGGCCACTATAGAGGCTCGACAAAGACTACTTGGAGAGGACACTAAAGTGGCCACTAAACCCACCTCTATAGTGGCCATTATTTTCCGTTTTAGTGGCCACTATAGAGGCCCCCCTATGTTAGTGGCCACTTCAGTAGTTTTTCATCCAGTATTCCTTCCAGTAACTTTGATAATTTTAAAACAAACAGATTGGACCAATTATGTCGATCCATTGACCCCTAAAGTGGCCACTAAAATTTTTAGTGGTCTAGTAGTAGTCCTCAGACCTCTATAGTGGTCACTAATTTTTAACACCTAAGTGGCCACTAATTTGACTACTATAGTGGTCACTAAAACATTTCCCAGAATGAGATGAAATAGAGTTTTGTAGAAACCTTATCAGAGATCTAACTTTTTACAAAAACATTAATTTTATTTTAATCAGTCAAGAGGTTCAGGAACTTTTCAAAAAGTTAAATATTTATGGTCTTTGATTGGCCACTGATTCAGTAGAAGATACCAAACATTTTCAGGCGGGATTTTTTTTTTTGGTTACCTGAGTTTATTTTCAATCGATTACACTACCATTTTAGCGACCGTGAAAGGCAACGCCTGCTTCATAACTTTTTTCTCGGGTCGATATTGCTTCTTGGAAATCATGGCAGCCAAAAAATAGATTTTTCTGTAAATTAAATAGTATAAAACTATACTCAAGGCAGCCAGAAGCTTGTCACAGACGGCGACAGCCTGAAAAGTCAAGGTACAGGTGAAAATAAGGGAATAATCACGTAAACAATCAGAGCGTCTCTCCTCCTTTGGCAAGTCATTAATGGACTGCTCACAGGATCGTAGTCGCAAAAATCTGAAGAAAATTTTTCCAAATTTCCCTTCACTTCACTCACAGAAAAGAAATCCCAAATGGAAGAAGCAGAGTAGCCAAGCACAACTGACGCAAATTTTCAATTGTTTCCTGGATATTTCTTGATTTTTTGATTTTTAAAAAAGCTTTTCACCCTTTCAAGAGTTCGTGAAATCTTGGTGCGCAACAGACGATAAGATATCTTTGGATAGTCAGAACTGTCAGTAAAATATTGACATTCAGAGGGATCATCGGAACTGTTAAAAAATAATAAATATAACTAGCGCACGCTACAAAAACGGCATAGAACTGTCTTCTGAAAAAAAATATGAGTTTGGTCTTTGGGTTTGAATAATCTGGCCGCACGGGGAATGGCTCAAAGCGTCTCTGTTCAAAAATTGCCGACTTCAAAACGGTTTTCGCACCAATTAGTTGAAACTTTAAGAGCGTGGACAAAAAATCTGCAGCTATAGCCTATGTATCACGACTTGGAATTTCACCGAACGACATTCCGCTGTTCCGCTGCGCGCCTTTGCGAACCTTGGTCGCGTTTTTAATTTTTTTTTTTCTTTTATCAAGGTTTTAAACTTTCATGTGCTACCACAGCAATAACAATTAATTGAAAGCGTGATCTAGATTCGAAAGACGCTTCTCGAACGCAAGCCGCGGAACAGCGGAACGTCGTTCGGTGAAATTTCAAGTTGTGGCGATCTTCTGGCGCCCCGTTTCAATGAACCGCGACGCTTTGAGCCATTCCAAATGCGGGCAGAGTCGTCACGAATTAATCATATGTGGATTTTATTAAAAAGCTTTCGGAAATCATATCCCAAATTCAAAAAATTTAAATTTTTCCTTGCAATTTTCTTTCAAAACATACTCATCGACGCGGTCAAACATCATGATTACAACAAAAATAATGGATGCCAGAAAAAGAAAAAAGCCAAATTGTGTCATCGTAGTAGTCGCCGTCAAGCTGTTGATCAAGTAGTCATAAATATGCTGAATATTCCAATTTTTCCAGAGTATATTATCGTTTTTCTCACTTTTTCTCGACCGTCTTGGCTTCTCAGATAAAAGAAGAGATAGAAGGGTACGACAAGGACAATTGTCAGGGCCAAAGTTAGGAAACAAGAGAAGATCATTATAGCAATATAGTTTTCCGAAGCTTCTTTACCCTCGAACTGGGATGTTAAATTGCTGAAAGTGTCGAGAATATCCATCAGGCTAGGGATAAAAGTTGAAACTATGTAAAAGTGGCCGAATCTCAGAAAAAACATCTGCTCCCTGGTTTCCCAAAAAATGAATTATTCAAATTTCAATTTTCAACTTTGTCGCGATCAGAATCACATCATAATTTTGATCTCTGGTCGCGATTTTTCAAAATTAATTTCGAAAAAAATTCAAATTTTCATTGAATAAATGAATTTTCTGCGGTTTTTCAAGTTTTTATTTCATCAATGCAAAGCATAACGCCTTGAAGCCAGATTTCTCTTGGGAACAACGGTTTTGCTTTTGTACTGTTGATAAAGGGAAGAAAGGAATGACAAAGGGATAACTGTAGGGATCAGAAAATAGTCCAAGACGTAGAAAGTATACAGTACCGCTCAAAAGTCTATTAAGTTTTGGTTTTTTGGGGATATCTCAGCGAGTACTTATCCGATTTATATATAACTTTCAGGGATAATGTAAAATATACTTTGAAACATATACGGTATACAAAGACATGTCCGCAATGACTGTGACGCGTTTTAGGCATTTTTATTGAATTCCATTTTTTTGTTTTTTTATGCTTTTTATTTTTTTATTTATTTTTTTATTAAATTTTTTTAAAAATTAATAATGTTGCCATATGATTTTTTTCCATGTTTTCAGACATGGGAAGAACCTCTGGAAAAAAAGAATTTGACTGATAACGACAAAAGAGCCATCGTTGTGGGTCGTCAAAATGGACTGACCATGATGACGTTGGCAGGAATGTTCGGCGTGACAGAGGCGTGCATTTCTCAGTCCCTAAAGCGTTGGAAAGCTCAAGATGGCTCTACTAAGAGCCAACGCACTGGAAGACCACGTGTCACGGGTCTTAATGACGATATGAACATTTTGAAGACGTCTAGAACCAATCCAAGACTCACCGCCCCTGCGATCAGACGGGAAGTTTTCTTGAATTCGCCATCTCCGCCATCCGTCTCGACCGTGAAACGACGTCTGAATGCTGCTGGAATCATGGGAAGACGTCCAGTGAAGAAACCGCTGATTTCTGAAAAGAATCGAGCCGCCAGGGTGAAGTGGGCGAAGGAGCATCTCAACTGGACCCGTCAAGACTGGAACAAGATTCTGTGGTCCGACGAAAGCAAGTTCCTCCTCTTCGGGAGTGACGGAATTCAGTGGGTTCGTAGACCAATTGGGTCCAGATATCATCCGAAATACCAATTACCCACCGTGAAACATGGTGGAGGTTCTTGCATGGTGTGGGGCGCCTTCTCTGGAAGTGGCATCGGACCGCTTCATCGCGTGAACGGCATCATGGACAAGCACGTCTACAAAGACATTCTCCAGAACCAGATGTTGCCGCACTTGAGAGCCATGGGCCGTGGGAGTGTTTATCAACAGGATAACGATCCCAAGCACACTTCACTGTTCGTCAAGGTGAGAAAAATTGACAAGTAATTCGTATGGTTTTGAAACTCAGGACTGGTTCAAGAGCCGTCGGGTCAATGTCATGGGGTGGCCAAGTCAATCTCCGGACCTGAACCCGATCGAACATCTCTGGGAAGAGTTGGAGCGACGTTGTGCCAACAAAAGAGCCAAGAATTGCAACGAGAAGTTTGCTCAACTGCTGTCTGAATGGAATCAGATCCCCATGTCTACCATCGACACTTTGCTCAATTCTATGCAGAGAAGATGCCAGGCAGTGATTGACGCCAGGGGCTTCGCAACCAAGTACTAGGTCCCGAATATTGTTTTAACAATGTTTTGTGTTGATAAAAAAATTTTTTGTTGAGCTATGATTTTTTTAATTGAAAATAGCAAAAAATTCGATTTTTTTCGAAAAATTCGTTTTTTTCTCGAAAAAAATTATTATTCTTTGAGCTAGCAACTTGAAATTTTGCCAGAACACGTATGTCTCTCTCAGAAAAACTATGAAAAATTTGAATCGATATCGCATTTCAAAAAAATTTTTTTATCCCCAAAAAGCCAAAAACTTAATAGACTTTTTGAGCGGTACTGTAGATAATCGGAATTTGTCGGAAACTGTTGTTCAGAAACCAAAAAAGGCAGGACCAGGATCACTAGAAGCTACAAATTTTGAAATTATAAAAAAAGTTCAAAAATAATTATTCAAAAAAACTTCGTTTTCAAAAATAGACCAAAAAAGCTCATGCGCTCTTTGTAGAATTCAGAATTTTTCCCATTTTTGGTTTTTTTCAGGTACAGTACTGGCCATAAAGGTATTTCAAAGTGGTTATTCGAGCATAACTTCTCTGAAAGTGGCTCAAATGACTTGAAACTTTGCAAAAATTTCAAATAGCTACGCAGTAACTTTTTCCCAAAAAAAAAACACTTGTTTGCTCAAGTCAGACCGAATTTGAGAGCAAAAAACCAAAAATCGTGAAAATCAAGATTTTTCTCTTGAGATTCGAAAAATCATATCTTCAAAGAAACTTCGTTTTCGAACCAGAAACTTTTTTCCCCAGTAAAACAAGTCTTCGGCTTTCCAAAAAACCTAATCAGCCCCTCACCAACCCGATAGTAAGAGCGTAGTGACTTTTTCTTCGGAAGGCCTTTGCGTTTTGACGCCTCGTCATTCAGATGGACTATACGAGGTCATTTTTGTTTGAGGACACCCTGTATCATGTTGAAAAACTTCGAAACACCCTCAAAAAAAGTTTAACACTGATTTCTTAAGCTTTCTCACTTTATCTGCTCTCCAGAACTCACTAACTTCACTAGGACCGTTTTTGAAACCTCTGATTTGAAGCGGTTATGCTCCTTTTTCAAAATCAGAACATTCTCGATTTCTCATTTCAGATTTCAGAGCTTCTTTAGAACCTCGATGAATAAAAATAAAAGAAGACCCACTGTGTTTTGCTTACTTACTCAAAAGATATAGTGAGTTATAATGAGTTTCTTAAAGTTCTCAAAACTTCGTTTCAGCAAGTGTTGCTTAGAGGGCTCCAAATCTTGTGGAAGATGATAAAAACCCCTTTTTTCATATTTTTAATTGTTTTAGATCATGAGATAAGTTTGTAACTCCTTTTTCTAGCTCTCAGATCAAAGATAGGCACTGTAAAAAGTTTCTTTAAACTTTATGGGAAAATAAGTTTTTGATCTTGTGAAACTAATGCTTCAGCAAAAAAATTTAGCAGTCTTCAGGATGTAGGAGCCTGAAATTTAGCCATTAATTATTTTCAAATTCACGATTTAAAAAGCGATTGACCAGATAAAAAAACTATTTTTGAACGCCCGAAAGTCCAGAAAAAAACTGTTCAAATCAGAGGTTTCAAAAATCGGTCCTAGTGAAGTTAGTGAGTTCTGGAGAGCAGATAAAGTGAGAAAGCTTAAGAAATCAGTGTTAAACTTTTTTTGAGGGTGTTTCAAAGTTTTTCAACATGATACAGGGTGTCCTCAAACAAAAATGACCTCGTATAGTCCATCTGAATGACGAGGCGTCAAAACGCAAAGGCCTTCCGAAGAAAAAGTCACTACGCTCTTACTATCGGGTTGGTGAGGGGCTGATTAGGTTTTTTGGAAAGCCGAAGACTTGTTTTACTGGGGAAAAAAGTTTCTGGTTCGAAAACGAAGTTTCTTTGAAGATATGATTTTTCGAATCTCAAGAGAAAAATCTTGATTTTCACGATTTTTGGTTTTTTGCTCTCAAATCCGGTCTGACTTGAGCAAACAAGTGTTTTTTTTTGAGAAAAAGTTACTGCGTAGCTATTTGAAATTTTTGCAAAGTTTCAAGTCATTTGAGCCACTTTCAGAGAAGTTATGCTCGAATAACCACTTTGAAATACCTTTATGGCCAGTACTGTATTAGGAACGCCAGAGCGGTCCCTAAAAAAGCAACTTTCGGGGTTTTTTGTAAAGAACCACCTCAATTCCCCTTTCAAGGGCACTAAAACTTCCGAAGTGGTCACTGTAGGGAAGCATGCTTGTTCTTTATAGTTCTGAACTTTATAAGGCGAAAAAATCAATAGTTCAGCGATTTTCCAATGAAAAAGTATCGACAGAGGACTGATATATCAATTCTTACTAACCATTTATTTTTTAATTTAAAATCAGAACAAAGACTTAAAGACCCCTGGAGGGAGCACTCAAGCTTTAAGGGCTTAGATATTAAACCCAAAAAATCCGTATATGGAACATTAAGTTTTAGCCTTTAGCAATCATTCCGGTTTTCCTAAAAGTAGACATTGGGAAAAAATTTGGTTGTGAATGTTTTATTTGAAGCGCAGATTACAGAAATGGTTTTTTTAAATTAACTGTTTTGATTTTTTTTTTCATACTCTCACCACTTTAGCTATAGTAAAAGGCAACGCCTGCTTCATGATTTTTCTCTCGGGTCGATATTTCTTTCTCGATATCATCGAAGCCATCACATGGACTTTTCTGTAGATTAAATAGTATAATACTACGCACAAAATTGCGAAAAGCTTGTCACAAGTTGCAAAAGCCTGAACAAGAATGTTGAGATGAAATTGAAGAACAAGAAAAATATCACATGGATAATTAAAGCGTCTCTTTTTATCTGGCAATAGATGAGTGGAGTCAACGGAGTGTAGCGGCAAGAATCTAGAACAGGAAAAAAATTTGTTAAATTTATTTGGATTGCCCTTACAAATAAGAAACCCCAAATGAAAAAGGCAAAGGAGCCAAGCAATCCAAATTAAAAATATTAGTTTCTTCCTGAAATTCCTTCATTTTTTCGACTTCGAAATTATAGTCAATTTTTCCCGACCGGAAAAGTGAAAGAGGCGGGGCAGGGGGCGCGACGTGCGCGTTTGCGGTTCTTGGCACGAGTTCAATTCAATCGCCGCCGACTATTTAAAAATCTCGGCAACCGCTCTTTTTCATATGTTATACTATTTTTTGATGCACACATGAACATAATCAATAAAAATTTGAAAAAGGGGTGAAAAGAACGAGAAACGGGCTTTCCAAATAGTCGCTGGCAGCTGAATTGAACTCGTGCCAAGAACCGCATACGCACATGCTACGCGTTCCGCCCCTTTGCCCGCCTCCCTCGCCTTTTAAGTCGGGGAAAATTAACTATAAGCCTTACCCGGTCAGTATTCCGTGATAGGTTGGACGACAGCAGACCACAAAAAAGCGTTGCAAAGTTAAAATAGTCAGTAAAACATTGACATTCAAAGGAATTACTGGGATTGTCAGGAACGAATAAAAATAAGCAAGCACTGAAATTACAATCGCGAAAACTTGTTCGCTGAAAAGAAATATTAAAATGAAAAATATAATTTTTTTTTCAGTCGTATGGTCCATTTTCCATGGGTTTTTTTCACCTTCAAAAATGAAATGTAAAAAAATTACACTGTGTTTAAAAAATCCTGGTTCATGCGTCAAAAATAATTAACATACTGATTTATGGGTTCAGAAGTTTTGAGGAGAAAAAGAACGACTCCTGAGAGGAAAAGGACGAATCCGAAATGTGTCAGTGTGGTCGAAACCGTCAAATTGTTGATCAAAGGGTCGTAGACTCATTTTTCCGAAAAATTTATTCACTTTTTGTCCACTTTTTCCCGTTTGTCGAGACCTCTTAGGTAGAAGAAAAGATATTAGGGAACAGCAAGGACAACTGTCAGCGTCAAAATCAAAAAACAAGTCGAAAATACAAAAAGTAGATAACTACTTGAAGCAAATTTACTGTCGATTTGAGAAGTGAAGTTAGAGAATTCTCCGAGAAAATTCATTAGACAGAAACAAGATGAAACTGTGACCGAACCAGACGCCCAAAATAACATCTGCTCGGAAGTTTTACACGAAATGTCATAAGTTAGATCTATTTGGGCTATTTTCGCACTCAAAAGCACAAAGGAAAGGCCCCTCAGGCAACCGAAGAAATGCTTGTCAAAAGTTTTCCAGCGCGTATAGGACGGCGCTTGGAGCCTTCAGCTAGCAACTGGCGGCGTGGTGTAGTGGTAGTGGTCTTGTGAACTGCCAATATCGTGACCAAGGTTCGAATCCTTTTGGCGGCTGATTTTTTTGGGTTAGATAACATTTTTTTTTTTTTTACTTCTTTTTATTAATTCAGTGTACGAAGCCCTGAAGTTAGATTTCTGTTGGGAACTGAGATTTTGCTCTTGTACTGTTGATAAAGGGAAGAAAGAAAAGACAAAGGGATAACTGTAGGGATGAGGAAGTAGTCCAAGACGCAGAAAGTGAAGAAAATGGGAATTCGTCGAAAAGTCGCGTTCAGAAGCCAGAAAGGCAACACCAGAAGGAGTATGAGCTGTAAAACACTGTTAAGGTCAAAGATTGCATATTTCTAGTTTTTTTTTTGGTTTTTACCAACCATTTTTGCAACCGCAAAAGGCAATGCCTGTCTCATGACTTTGTTCTCTGGTCGATATTTCTTTCTCGATATCATTGAAGACATAACGTATATTTTTCTGTAGATAAAACAATATAAAAATATACTCAAGGCTGCTAAAAGCTTGTCACATATTGCAAAGGTCTGAAAAACAAAGGTACACGGAGAAAAAAGAAAAATTAACTCGCGTTTATAATCAAAGCGTCCCTGGTTCTCTCGCAATAAATAATTGGGCCCCCAATACGGTAGTCACAAAAGTCTGAAACAATAAGAAATTTGATGAATTTTTTTGGATTTCTTTTACACAGTAGGTATCCAAAATGGGAAAAGCAAAGTAGCCAAGCGCCACAAATGTAAAATTTCAACTTTTTCCTGAAAAGTACCCTGAGTCATAAAGTACTTGAAATGAATCTCACCCAGTCAATAAATCGTGATATTTAGGAGAGCAACATATAACAAAAAATCGTTGCAAAGTTAAGAAAGTTATTAGAATATTGACGTTGAGAGGAATAATTGGAACCGTTAGAAAATAATAAATGTAGCAAACCGTACCGATTATAAACACGACAGCTTTCCCACTAGAGAAAAAAAAGCGAATAAAAATTATTTCGAACGTTTGGAACGGATAGGCGAATCGAGAAAGGGTATTGCGACATAGGTGAATCGAGAGGTCGATACAAATAGCTACCGGGTAGCTACCTGACATTAGCGATTTCTACCGGGAAGTCTGGAATTGCTTTCCGGGTCGTTATTTTTTTTTTTAGCTTTATCCAATAAGACCCTGGAAGGCTTGGGACCCTGGAAGGCCCGGGGGCGGACGTGACTTATTCCTTGACTTTAGGTGACTTCAATGCAAAAGTTGGCAGTAAGATCGACACCGAATCCTCTCTCGGTTGCCATGGCGTTGGAGTCCGTAATAACCGTGGCGAAACTCTTTTAGAGTTCTGCGAGGCGAATGGGCTGAGGATCTGGAACACCTTCTTCAAAAAACGTGTTAACAGAAAGTGGTCCTGGAAATCTCCTGATGGCATCACACACAATTCAATAGACTACGTCCTCGCGGACCGTCGTTGCCCGATTTACGACGTCGATGTTATTGCCAATTTCCAGTATAACACCGACCACCGCCTCATACGAGCAAAAATGAGGCTGAGCTCACGTCACGTGAATAAACGCGCAACCTCTAAGCGTGTTTTTCACAAATCTCTCTTCGCGTATGCCGTCGAACAAATATCCAACGAACACAGACCGCATACGTATGAAAGATTGAGAAACGTTATGAGCAGAGCTTCAAAAATTGCAACGACCTACGAACCGATCCCTTGTCGGTTCTCCACGAAGACTCAAGGGCTCTTCAAGAAACGTCGTCTCCTTATGTCGAAAACCAACACGCCTTCTGGTCGACTCGAGTTCTGCTTAACTAACAAAGCACTCCGCATCTCGATGAAGGATGACATTGAAAGAAGACGTCACTCGAAGATTGACAATGCCATTGAAAAACATCGAAGCGTTCGAAAGGTTATGAAAGAAAGCCAAGTCTGTTCAACCGCTCTGACGCAACTTCAACGAGAAGATGGAACCATCGCTGCGTCAAAAGAAGATGTCGCGGAAACTGTTCAGAAGTTTTATAATACTCTCTACACCTCGTTGGACAGTTCTCCAGCCCAGATCTTACCATCTCAAGAAGACTTCCCTCCGATACTGGATGAAGAAGTCCGTGCGGCGTTGAAGAAAGCTAAAAGGAACAAGGCTCCTGGGCCGGATATGATCACTCTGGAGATGCTTCTCGCATGTGAAGATATCGTCGTTCCACACCTAGTGACGATGTTCAACGAAAGCCTCGCGAATGAAAGAGCTCCACAATCTATGCCGGACTCTGTCGTGCGACTGCTCCACAAGAAAGGAAACTGCCTGGACATAGGAAACTACCGACCAGTAGCACTATTGTCCGTCGTGTACAAATTGTTCACCTCGATACTTCGAAGAAGAGCTACGCGTGAACTAGAGGCTGCTCAACCCATCGAGCAAACTGGTTTCCGATCCGGATTCTCGACATCGGAAAACACCCTGGTCGTGACCGAGATGATCCAGAAGTCTCAGGAATACAAGTTCCCCTTGTACCTGATGTTCGTCGACTACAAGAAAGCCTTCGATTCTGTGGAGTTCGGCTCTCTCTGGACGGCTCTCAGCGAGTTTGGAGTCCATTCGAAGAGCGTTATGACTCTGAAAAACATCTACGAAGAAGCAGAAGTCTCTGTCAAAATTCGAGGACAAGATGTACCAGTTCGAATACAGAAAGGAGTGCGTCAAGGGGACACAATTTCCCCAGACTTGTTCAACGCCACCCTCGAGCACATTTTTCGAAGGCTTAATTGGGAGAGCTATGGATTTTCTGTGAACGGAACGACTTTGACGCACCTTCGTTTTGCGGATGACGTCGTACTGTTTGCATCCAGTGCGCAGAAGATCCAAGAAATGGCTAACGAGCTGGCAAAAGAGAGCAAGAAGGCCGGCTTGGAAATCAACTTCGCGAAAACGTTCATCATGGCTAATCGAGCCCAAAGAAATGTCGAGATTGATGGGAAAAGAATCGCCTACACGGATGGGTTCATCTACCTCGGTACCCATCTCCACTTCGCTGATGGCTCGAAAACCGAAATCCAACGCCGAATTCGTTCTGCATGGAGCGTCTTCCACAAGTTCAAAACGTACTTAATACGAAGAAACGTTTCCAATATACACAAAGCCAAGATATACAACATGTGTATTGAACCAGCTTTTCTCTATGGTTCGGAAACTTGGACTCTGAAGAAGAAAGAAAGGAACCTTCTGGCAACGGCACAGCGGAAAATGATGCGATGGATGCTCGGAGTAACATTGCTCGACAGAAGAAGAAACTCCTGGCTCTTTGAAAAGTTGAAGCTACGCGAAGTTCGGTCGGAAGCTGTGAAGAGAAAATGGCTTTTCGCAAAGAAGATCGCTACGGGAGAAGACACATGGGCGAAGAAAATCGTGGAATGGCGACCATGGGTGAAAACGCGTGGAGTTGGACGACCCAAACCCCGTTGGCGAGATGACCTACGAGCAGTTCTTGGTGAAAGATGGGCGACAGTTGCGCGAACCAACAAACATCTCTTCAAATATTCCATGATTCAGCAGATACAAGATTACTCTGAGGACTGAATAAATGTAAACACAAGGACTGAATTGGCGTAATAAATGTGAACACATGTAGGAAATGGGAATTTAAGGGATTTTCTGGTCTTGAAAATGATATATTCTTTTATAAAATTGAAAAAATGACAAAAAAAAAAATGATTACTCCCGGTTTTTTCGGAAACAAAGGAATACAAGTTTTTAAATTTTCGCCTTTTTTTCGATAAAATTATTGAAGTTTTTCAAGTTTGATGATGATCTGTACGCTATTAAAGTGCGGCCGAGAAACTACTAATAGAACTTTTTCTTCAAATCCCTCATTTTTTTCCTCAAAGAGCTTCATTAAAAACCCCAAAACAATATTTTTTTCATCATCTCCCTAATAATTGATTTTTTTCGGCTTCGGAGAAGTTCATTTTTCACGCTTTACCTTAAAAAAATCAACTCTCAAGAAAAAAATAAAGGTCAAAAAAACGTTAGGAAACTTTTTTAAACGCTACAATCCCCACTTTTTCAACCGATTATAACAATTAATAATCTCCTGCCAATCTTCCGGAAATCCCTCCAGAAATTTCTCGAGTAAAGCTGCCGGCGTATTTTCTGAAAAATCAAATATTATCATATTATTTATTATTTTCAAAACTTCTTTTATCTGGACAACTTCGGTCAATATTTCCAATCAAATCGTAAACTCGGCCATGAGAATCCAACAACGCTGTGGCGTTGATTCTAAAAAAATATAATCCCTTTTTTTCCGTTTTTTTAAGAGACGAACCTTAATATAATGCGATCAGATTGAACTCTGTTAAGTGTCGATGGGTCAGACACTTCAAAACCTTCAACAAAAATGGCTGGACCTTCAATCTAAAAAAAAGAAAATAATTTGATTTCAAGATTTTCAGATTTACCTTGATAGACCAATACTTTATTCGGAAACATTTAGCATTTTGAAGGCCTGAAACCCAAGCCGGAACTAGCTCTTTTGAAGCCATCTGCAAACATTTTTGATTTTGAACAAAATTATTGGAAAAACATAGCGGAATGGCGAGCAGGTCAGTGACAATAGCAACCAACAAGAAATTTAAGCAGTTCAGGGTATCGAAATCACGCAAATATTATAAATTTCATGGAAAAGATGAAAAGAATCGACGCTTTTTCGTAATCTCGGCTTTCGCGCGTTAATTTGTCGTTTGCAGTGGAGCGCACATGCCTTGCGCCTCTAATTTCTTGCCGCGTCGTGTTGACCGACGTCATCGTCGGCTCAAAATGGCATTCTTTTCGCGCAAATCGATAATTGTACTATTTCAAGCGATATGACAGCCGAATCTGGCTAGATCGGACTAATCTTTAGATTTTCTAGACATTTTTTGAAGGTATTTCATCGTTAAATTCTTTATTTACTTTTTATTAAAAAAATATGTTTGGTTTGATTTTTGTTTTAATGATTCTTTGCTTTTGCTTTTTCCGTTTCATGCTTTAAAGCTTTATATCAGTAGTCTTTTTAGCTTTTTTTAGGCCCCTTTTTTTGTTTCTTACCTTTATTATTATTTTTTTATATCCTGAAATATGTATCTATTTCATAAAAAAACGGTTTTTTTCTCTTCTCTTTATATTCACTTTTCAAATCTTAATTTTATCATTCATTTCTTTCATAAATTTCCTTCCTTTCATCGTAATCTTTTCAATCATGTTTCTCTCGATCATGTTGTTTTCTTTCGATTTTCTATTTCTTTTTTTCGTTTTACTAGGTTCTTTGCTAGAATTTATTCAATATTGAAATATTTCTAGATGACTTCAAAAGTGGAAACAGAGCCGGCGGCCTATGCCACGACGATTCTTCACTGTTTGAAGTATCCGTCAAAAGGTGTTCTTGGCCTTTTGATTGGTCAACGGAAAGGAGATAAATTTATAGTGAGTCGATAAGGTCCGAAAAATCCAAATTATCAACTTTTTGGATTCTTCCCATTTTATAAATATACACGAGATCGCGTGCCAGAATCGTAAGAGAAAGATGAAAAATTGATAGCTTGAAAATTTATGTTCATGCTTACAAAAAATTCAATTTATTGAAAAAATAAATTAAAGGTGAAAGAAGCGGTACCAATAACGCACGAATCGACGCCCTTGGCCCCAACTTTGGAGCTCGCCACGACTTTTGTCCATTCCAAATACGGCAATTCGCTGATTGGTGTTTATTTTGCCAACGAGTCTTGTCGGGATCACAGGTTAATTTTTTGCATTGAAATGAATGATTTTTGCTCTAATTTTATTAATTTTTTTAAAAATAAGGTTCTTGAAAATTTTAATTTTTTTGACAAATTGCAACTTTTTAAAAAATTATTTTTCTGTGTATGTATGGGAAAAATAGCTTTGATTTTCGTATTCTTAGTCCAAAAATTGATTTTTTTCGAATCATATGAAGAGGAAAAAGTCTTGTATGAGTTGAAAAAAAGGCTCTTCGCGCCGATACTTTTTTTGAAATTTTGGTTATGCTCCTTTAAATAAACCAAACAAGATTTTGACCAAAATATCTCTTTTTTCTAACTTTAATCGATAAAAATGGGAAACTCTCGAAAAAAAAAGCTGAAAAAGTGGTTCTCGCGTTAAGAAACATCATTAAATTCTAAAATTTTTGAAAAAAATAAATTCATCGATTTCTCCAGTCTGAATCCCTACGCAACTCGCCTAGCCGACAAAATTTCGTCTATTTGCGGCACCGTCCCACTTCTCATTCAGGTATTTACCCTTTGAAAAAAAAAACCAATTTGATGACCCGGAAAATTTTTCAAGGTCTTGAACGACAGGCTGATGACAGATTGCGAAGAGGAACGGCTAGAGGCCTACGAAAAGGACGGCGATAACTGGAAGGCTATCAAGTAAATCGATAATTTTTGATTTATGCTGGAAAACTCGGACGGTTCTTATTAAGGGCTATTTTTGAATATTTGAAAAAATTCTCGGTTCAAAGCTTCGAAAAATCCAGATTGCATATAGCTAATTCACGGCTGGCTTGAGCCATCGAAAAATAGGTCTTGACACGAAAATGGAAGAGAGAGAGAGAGAGAGAGTGTCTTTTTGGTGGAGAGCGCAGACAGGCCACGCCCCTTAGCGTCCCAAGCTAGCCGTGAATCGGCCATACAAATCGGATGAGTGGAACTTTCAAAAAGGTCAAAATTTTCAAATTCGCGCTTGAAAGGTCCGGAAATGCGTCTCAAAATAAAATTAATATCTCTAGGTTCTCGAAATTCCAATTTTGCCCATGTAGCAAAATTATTTCAAACGAATAACGCGTCAATTATCGCCGAAATTACTTTGAACACGGTGAAATTCAAAAAAAAAGCAACCGAATTCAATGTTTCCTCAATTTCCCGCCAAATCTAATATTTTCAATATTCCAGGTCCGGAAATGCGTCCTCAAGTACAATTCGTGGACTTCAACAACTCATCCAGGAAAAATTGTACCGCGAACTGAACGATTTCGAGAATCATCTCGACGCCCCCGAAAATGACTTCTACAACACCGAACTCGTCAGCAAAATTGTTCAAATAGGCGAATTGCGGGGATGAATCACTGTGTCACACTTCATAATCTCGCATTCCATTCAAAATAAAGCTTTATCCGAGAAGATTATCGTGGCGTCGTCATGGCAACTATATATATTTATGGTTAATTCATCGTTGCGTCAATACTGCGAGAACGCAGTTCCGAGAAAGTATTGATGATATTCAGAAAAGAAATACGGAGATTCACATGAGCATTTCAAAAATAACTGAAAATACTGTATTTGTTGTTGAAAAATCTTTTCGAGACATTTTCGAAACAAAAAAAAAAGAACCTTCAAAAAATAGATTAGAAAGGCATGTGAAAGCCGATGAAAAGTAGCTCGAGGTATCCTTCAAGGAAGCTAAAAATCATTTCGATAAACCTGACTTTGTATTGATGACAGAAAGCTTAATGCACCATCAAAATATTTTTCAAGGTTTAAATCAAAAATAAAAGAGGATCTTTTCAAAAAGCTAATTCGCCTTGTGTTCCTCTTCGATCCGTTAAGTAAATTTCTGAAATCAGCGTTTTTGGTTACAAAATAGCAGTGATAACACTGCACAAAAACTGCAAATATATAAAATATTTATTGAAATGAAAAACACACCGATAAAGACTACTTAACAGCAGCAAACACATTTGATTAATTTATTCGTAGACCCACGAGTTGATGAATGGGCTGTCGTAGTCGTTGATCTCCTCGTTCTTGAACCAGTGAGCGATCTCGCGGTTGGCGGAGTCGACGGCGTCGGATCCGTGGCAAATGTTGCGGCCGGTCTGGATGGCGTAGTCGCCGCGGATGGTTCCTGGGGCCGAGGCGAGCGGGTTGGTGGCTCCGAGCATGGCGCGTCCCTGCTTGACGACGTCGAGTCCTTGCCAGACCATGGCGACCACGGGTCCAGAGCTCATGTACTCGATGAGCGAGGGGAAGAACGGCTTGTCCTTCAGGTCTTGGTAGTGGACCTGGAAAAATTCAACTTGAAAAAATCTCCGAAAAGAGACTATTGAAACCTCAAGGTGTTCCTTGGAGGCAGTGATCTGCTTCAGAGCGATGAGCTTGAAGCCACGCTCCTCGAAACGGGCGATGATCTTTCCGACGAGGCCACTAAAAAGACGAAAAATTAATGTTGAGAAAGGGGAAGTAAAGAAAAAATCGAGAAAGTGAAAATGAAGCCGTTCAGAAAGCAACTTAGAACTCAAAATGATTTCATTTTTTTTAAAGTTAGAAGCTCAAAAAGTTATCGCTGTATTTAAAAATAACCTAAAGTAGTTGCATATAAGGGAAAGCATTTTACATGATTTTGTCTAGTTGCAAAAGGCCTTATTGACTTTGAGAACCGGGATTTACTAACTACGGAAGTCAACTGATTTCATTTCCCTTTCATCCAAGTAGATGAGTCACTGTTCAAAAAAATCTGATTATATTAATTAATTCTTTCTTCTGTTTGAAATGAAGTTCCTTGTTTTCAAACAGCTAAAAATAACTGAAAGAATCTCTCTAAATTCAAATAAAAGCCAACCAGCGAGAATATTTAGATAACGAAAGAAAAAAAAATCTGAAATTTGTATTCATATTATTAAATTTACAAACTTCAAATCATCTGGAAAAAAGCGCGTTATTCTTGAAACATTTTAAAAAGCACTAGAAACAATTTTGAACAATTTTGGGCTTCAAAAAAACCTCCAAGATCCATAAAACGGAGAAAAAAACGAACCGGTGGACACCATCGGGCTTGACAGCGATGAAGGTCCTCTCAGTGGTGCTCATTTTGTCGCAAAGTTCTTTTTTGGAGCAAGTGTCACCGCCACAAGCCACAACAGGAAGAAGAATGAGGCAAACAAAAATTCGCATTCGGGGAGGGCCGAGAAACACACGGAGATTTGCGCTACCGTAGCGGTCTTCCACTCGAGACCGCCCACATTGGCCAGGCGCCAGGAGTTCGAGACGATTGTGGGGTCAAAAATTTTCGCGCGGGGGTTTGAACGAGGATTGTAGATCAATTTATACAGTTAGTCCAGTAGAAAAATAGAAAAAGTCCAGAAGTTTTGTATCAGTTTCTTTTTTTTAATGTAGCGAATAACTTTTTCGCAAAAAAAAATTATAGAGAAAAATAAAATAAATAAATGAATATTATGAATAAAGCGCTGCTCCGATAACTCTAGATCAAAAAAAATACCCTGACCTTAAAAAAAATTGAAAAAAATAACTTCGAAAAATCCAATCTCCTCCAATAAAAAAAAATCAATAACGATATAGGTAAAACGAGTATTTATTGCTACTTAAAATATCAGTGGCTCTCCAAAAAGCCATCAGAAAGCTACAGAACCAATATGAGTTTACAAATAAAGCGAATTTAAGAAAAAAAAGTTTGAAATAGCGCGCTCAATGGCAAAAAAAACTGGCCCTTTAAAAAAATTACAAAAAAGACGTGGCTATGTATAAAACTGTGTTGGGAATCGATTTGATTAGGGTAATATTTACAAAAAACTGAAAATATGTGCAATCACAGAAAAAGAAAAGACAGAGCAGAAGGGTCACCGGGAGAACGTGAAGAGGTCCCTATAGAGGCTGGAGGGGTCAAAATTATTATTTTTTTTTCGATTTTTAAGCCTTATAGGTACCTTTTCAACAGAGAAAAGAAAAAGGTGATTATTTGTCATATTAATCATCAAGAATGAGCCATTTTTGAGGTAGGCTCTGCGCCTTGGCGTCACCAATCGGCTCCCGGATTCGCAATCGTGCCGAGACCAGTCCACCGACCGCTTTTCTTCCTTCCTGAAATTCGACGGGGGCACTTTAGGGGTTTTGACGTTTAAGTGGCCACTATAGTAGTCGAATTAATGGCCTTGTAGAAGTGTAAGTGGCACTACTAGAGCATTAAAGCTACTATAGTGGCCACTTGGACTCAAAATACTGGCTTTTATCTATGGAGGCGGCCTTAGTGATCACTTAAGAGTTTTCTCCAAGTGGTTTTTGAGGGACCTCTTAAGTGATAACGTGACTTTAATCTCAAGAAAAATTCATGGTCGCATTTGGAATGGCTTTGGGTGCTGTAATCTACAGCGAAATCGATTTCAAGTCATTCAAGTCATTTTTTTAATAATTCAACCGCTTCGCATCCGCTCCGCGAGCCATTCCAAATGCGACCGAAGGCTTTAGAAACGAGTCTATTTTGAAATAAAATGGAAAATCGTTTTTCATTGTAGTTCTCATGTGAATTATTGGCCAAAATTTGAAACTGTCTGACCTGTCTGCGCCCTCTTCTCTCTCACCAGCGAGGTCATAGAAATGTGAAAAAAGCACGTGGGAGAGAGGAGAGCGCAGACAAATCAGAACTTTTCAAGCCTTGCTAAAAAGTGAGCGCCAAAAGGGCGTCTTGCAGCAAAGTTGCTCTATGGACAACAATTTCTGGTTTTCGCTTTTTTTTTCCCCCTTTTTCAGTTTTTTATCACTGATTTTGAGAGTTTAAAGCAATTTTAACTCAAAACCAAGCATAAAAATAATTTTTCAAATTGTTTTTTCATACCTTCAAGGGCAAAGACTCCTCTAGCTCTGCAGCCGACTCAAGGGCGTCAATTTTCCACTCAGCCGTCCCGAGAAGCTTGTCACTTCTCATAAATCCTCCTTTTTGGAAGACCTGAAGCACTGGAAGTTTTTTCTTTCAGGGATTCAAACCTCGAATTTCACAGTTCCACGTTTGAAGGCTCGCAAAAGTTTGCTATTTCGGGATTTTCCGCTCCCGATTTGCAACATTACGCTTTCATTGAAGGCTGAAAAAGGCAAGGGGGATTATTTGAAAGAGATAAAAAAACATTATTCAATGCCAACTGTTCAATAAATCAGAAGATCTGGTAATTTTCGAAAAACCCTTTTTCATAATAACAAACTGATGATGAATGTAGCTTGAACAACAAGAACTGAAAATCGAAAATTCGTCAGGAAAATTGAGCCTCGTCCTCTTGTGCAACCGTGCTCTACGGAGAATACCCAACACCTTGTTGGACGATAGTAATCCCGGATAATAGTCAGAAACTAGAACTTTGATTATTACTAAATAGAGCCGTGAAAACTGAAAACTAAAATAAGTCATTCCATTTTTTAGATAAAACATTTTTCAGCTTTTTCTAAGCGGATTTCTACTGAATCTTCGTCTAGATGAATTTTTCGACGCTGATTTCAAATCTGCGCTCAAAAATGTCCAAGAAGATCTGTGAACAAAGTTATAGGCGCTTAAAAAATGAAAAATTCAATCAAGCTCTTCTTAGGATTTCAAGCCAAACCAGACTACAAAAAATCGATCGCAGTGATTTTTTAAATTTTTTCCTGAATCAAGAAATTTTTCAAAAACTTTGAAACTTCTGAGGATATCTGAAAATCAAGCTTTTGAGGTTTCGACAAACCATATCGCTTTTAAAATCAACTCTGAAAAGAGATATGATTTTTCAAAAACTCCAAAACTCTCAAACTAACCTAAAAATCAAATTTTACGTGTCTGGCCAGTTCTATTTACTTCTGAAATTAATTCTAAGTCAAGATATGATTTTTCAAAGACTCTAAAATGTTCAAGGTATCCTAAACAGCGAGCTTTTACTATTTCGAAAAGTTCCCAAAAATGGTTCGAAACTTTTTTAACAGGCTTCATCTACAGCTTTGTACACATTTCGATAAATTCTATAAAACTTCATGAGAATAACTTATTTTCATCGTAATATAGTCCGTTTTTCGCCACTTGACGGGACTTCTCTGGGCCCTCCTTATCTCTCGACGTCTCTCTCATGTTTACGTGCTATTTCCATGTTTCTCTGACCTTGCCGGTGAGGGAACAGAGAGACGCAGACACGCGAAAACACTCTTTCCTCTTTCTCTGCGCTCTCCTTATCTCTCGACGTCTCTCTCATGTTAACGTGCTATTTCCATGTTTCTCTGACCTCGCCGGTGAGGGAACAGAGAGACGCAGACACGCGAAAACAGAACACCCCCCCTCCCCAAAAAAAAACGGACCAGGACTCGTCGTGTCGGCCACGTATTTCGTTTTTCCGGTTTGCGGCGTCTCAGTCGGGTAGGGAAACGTGTATTTTATGTATAAATTCGCGTGATGAGGCTCATATCCGGACGGCAAGGGGACGTCTCTGAAAACCATTTTTCAGAAGAGTTGTGAACTTTTGGAAATGTCGTGTTAGTTGCTCGAATTATGTCTACCGAAGAAGTTTGTAATTTGAAGAAATCCTAGAACAGTAAAGTGAAAAACGCCATTTTCTCAGCCCGGGCCAGCCCCACACGGAAGGTCATTCTACCTTAAACTCGGGATTTCCCCGAAAGTTGGCCTGAAAACTCCTTGATGTACTAGAAGAAGAACCTGAAAGTCATAATCTTCAAAAATTTCTGTTTTTCGAAAAAGAGCACCCGGAAGTCGAAGAAAACCCTCAAAATGGGCCATTTTCGGGCTTTGAGCCCTCGTTTCTCGGAAAATAGGAATTCTTGCAGGTTAAGACTTTCAAAATCTAGTTTAAGTACATCAAGAAGTGTTTTGGCCAATTTTAAGAAAGTTTCAAAAAAAAGCAAGATGAACTCACAAGGGACCCCCCCTTGAAAACTTCTGATTAAACTTGAACTTTTTCGAAACAAAAACCAAACCAAAATTGAGAACTCTACGCGTTTTGTGCACTTAAACAATTTAGAACAGGAAAAACTTTGAAATTTTCAAAAAATGGCCACTTCGAATAATTGGGGGCGGGGCAAAAAAAGTTCCCTTGTTAGTTGAGTATTTCCCTCACGTCACACCCATTACGTGCACCGAAATATTTTGTATTATCAAGAAACCCTAAAACAGTAAAGTGAAAGTTCTAACTTTTTTACCCAACAGACCCTTCCGGTAACCGTTCTCAAGTCTGAGTTCGATAAATATTTTTTGCTAAAGTATTCATCCTAAATTAATTTCATATGGCTATTTCTAGACCAACTACTATACTTATTCTAATGACTCGAAATCGATTCGAAAGCCCTAAAAATAATTCTAAGGGAGTAATATAGAATTTAAGTAAATCTCCATAGAGCGCACAAGGACCAGAAAAAAATGAACCAAAAGATTATTTTTTTGATCTGAAAAAAACGGGCTTTCAGTTTCAGAAAAAAAGGCCGTTTTTGTGAGTTAGAAGTTAATAAATCTTGAAAAAAAGCTTCAAAAAAAGTTTTTGAGTCATTAAACGCAAAAAAATAATTTTCCTTTAACGGTTCTTAACATATTGATTAAATATTCAACTTTTTTTTTTCTTACCGACAACCGCTGATTTTGAGCTCGATCACGTCTTCAGCCAGGTCGGGAAACATGTCGGCCGACGGGATTTGTCGCATTTCGTAGTGGAATCTTCAAGAAAAAGGTAATTTTCGGGCGATTTTCATGTCTTTTATCGGGTCGGAATGGTGGATAATGGCCGCTGAAAGAGAGAGGCTCAAAAAAAAGCCGCAAAAAGGTCGCAAAAAGGCTGCAAAAAGGCCGCAAAAAGGCTGCAAAAAGGCCTCAAAAAGGCAGCAAAAAAGGTCCCTTTATCGAACCTTCCATTTTTTCTGCGATTTTAAAGACTCAAGAAATTTTAAAAAAGAGAGAGGCTGCAAAAATGGTGAATAACAGCCAATGAAATGGCGCAAAAAGGAACATTTTTATGAACTTTTCCCGACTTTGCCTATTTTTTCATCGCTTAATTTTTCCTAAAACGAACTTGGGAACATTGTGTCCACCCTGTGCGACGGCGCGAACTAGCAACAAGTCTTGTTTGGAAGCTTTGGCCCAAGTTTCGAATAGGCGGACCTGAAATTATCGAATAGTAACTCTTCAAAATCAAGATCTTTTCATTTGATATTTCATTTTATTTGAAAATTATGATAAAATCTTGAAAATTATGAAAATCAGAAAAAAAAAATCGAAAATGGATGCAATGCGATTTATAATTAAGGATAAACCAAATTCAAGATTTTAAAACCCGTCAAGAAACGGTAAACTAATTGATTTTTCGAGAGAAAAGGACAAGCTTGAGCGATATTATTGTTGTAAAACGCTTCGTAGAACAGGTGCTACTACAAGAGCGAGTTTTTCCATTTTCGAGGATTACTGTATGCGGATATGCGCATACACTTCGCGTGTTTACACTTTTGTTGCGTGACGTCACCGGGTTGGAGATCTCCGGGTTTTTTGTTTCCGAGTTTTTTTTTTCGAATATTTTTCAATTTTTTTTTCTTGGTACTGTTTTTTATCGTGCAATATCATCGAGAGAAATGCAAATCTTACAAAACCAAGAAATTGTTGAAAAATAATCGAAAAAAAACTCGGAAAAAAAAAACCCGGTGACGTCACGCAACGAAAGTGTAAATACACAAAGTGTATGCACGCAATGCGCATACAGTACTCCCCGCAAATGGAAAACTCGCTCTTGTCGTGTGCCGAAGATTAAAACTTCAGAATACCTAGTAATCCCAAACAAAACGATTATAATATTATAAATCGTTTAGAAAAAAACTATCCGAGAAACGGTAAACATAGATAAAATAAGTTCCTTTGACAGGTTAGGTCATTTTACTTTGCGGTTGAGATTTTTCTGAGAACTGCCCAAAACACTCCTTGATGTACCAGAAAAAGATTCTGAAAGTCTTAAACCTACACAACTTCCTAGTTTTTGAGATACGTTTCAAAGAAAACGCTTAAAATCCATTAAAATGAGCTATTTTGAGGCTTTACATGGAAGTTCATTTTTGCGTAGGGTTTGGAATTTTCTATAAACTTGGTCAAACAATCTTTGATAAACTGGGAATCGATCCCGCATAGTCGCTATCTGCGCAAACTTTTCGTTTTGGAGATATGATTTTTCAAAGTTTTCGTCCTTAAACACGTGACACTGTTCGGAAGGAATGTGTCCGCAGCACAAGTCATTGCATGGCAGCTAGGAGCGTGGTGCAATGGCTAGCGCGGTAGCCTGCGAACCCTATGATGAAGGTTCGAATCTTTTTGCGGCTATCGTTTATTGCCATTACTTTTTTGACGGAATATGATGAACATGTCGAAATTTCATGACTGAAAACGTTCCAAAATTGTTCGACGGCTATTTTCTTCCAAAAATAACTTTTTTGAAGTTGCGGCATGCTTCACATCATCAAAAAATATTTTTTCTTCGAATTTATTTGCAAAAAAACCTTTTGGAAAACGAAATTTTGAAGAACATCACTTTTATTGAAATAAAAAAAGGAGAATTGAAGAAAAATTTTTTTCAATTAAGCTCGTTTGCCAGGTATTTATTCATATTTCGTATGGACTTTTCCGTAGAAAAAAAGGCAAACCAAACTCTTATTTATCTCAACCAGAGCGTGCCAAGGTCTTTGATAAAGTTTTAACGCTTCTTTTAAATGGTGTGTGATGTTCTTCAAAAAAAAAAGTATCTGATGATGTGATTGTCGGTCATAACTTCAAAAAAATTTCAAAAAAAAATTATTGTCAAAAAAATTATTTTTGGAAGAAAATGGCCGTCGAACGATTTTGGAACGTTCTCAGTTATGAAATTTCGACATGTTCATCATACTCCGTCAAAAAAGTAATGGCAAAAAACGATAACCGCAAAAAGATTCGAACCTTCATCATAGGGTTCGCAGGCTACCGCGCTAGCCATTGCACCACGCTCCTAGCTGCCATGCAATGACTTGTGCTGCGGACATATTCCTTCCGAACAGTGTCACGTGTTTTAGGACAAAATCTTTGAAAAATCATATCTCCAAAACAAAAAGTTTGCGCAGATAGCGACTATGCGGGATCGATTCCCAGTTCATCAAAGATTGTTTGACCAAGTTTATAGAAAATTCCCAACCCTACGCAAAAATGACCTTCCATGTTAGACCCTTATTCCTTGAGACCTGGGAAGTTGTGCAGGTTGAGACTTGCAGAATCTTCTTCTGGTGCACCAAGGAAAGTTCTGGCCAATTTTTAGAAGAACTCCAACCTTTGAGTGGAATTAACTTCCTTGTGAGAACCCTCAGAGGAGCTGAAAAGGTTCCGAAAAGGCTTCAAAAAGGTTCGAGAAAAGGTCTTCCTTAGGGGACCCTTTTTGAGTCCTCTGGAACCTTTCTAATTTTTTTTTTCAAGTAAAGAAAGTGAAAAAGATCTTTTATTGACCCTTAAAAGCTCTTTTTCAATAGTAGCTATTGAAAAACTACTATTTTCCCCAAAAACCACATATTTTTCCACCATACTTTTTAAATTCTCGTACAAAAATCCTCTTAATTATCGATTTTTTTCTACCTTTCCAACGTCTCCAAGCCTTGTGAAACGCATCTGATTGGTTTCGGCCAGACGGACTTGTTCGATCAACGTCTTTTCCATCAGGGCCAATCTCTCGCCTCTTCCTGGAAAAAAATTACGATTTTTTTCACGAAAAAAATCACGAAAAAAATTACGATTTAAAAATTACGATTTTTTTGGCCTTGATGCGCATGAAAAATAAAAAGGTTTACAGGTTGAGGCTTTCAAGATGTGATTTCAGTACATGTAGACAGTTTTTCGCCTAGTTCCGATGAAAATCTGAGCAAAAAAAGTTGTATTACTTTCCTTTTTTGTTCCAGTTAAATAAAGAAAAAATTACAAAAAATGAAATTTTCAAATGTTCTTCGGTGGTATGAAAAGAACACCAGCGCAAATTCAAACGGCGACTTTTCCGATTTTTCGCTAGGGAAATTTCCGACGGCCACCTTTCCGACGAAATTTTTTCCGACTTTTTTCCTTTATATTTTTTTCGGTTTATAAGACAACTATTTACTTTTTTTTCCTATGTCTTTGTGTTTTAATCATGAACCAACTACCTACTTTATATAGGAAAATTTAAAACGAAGATTTTATCGAGAAAAAAAGTCGGAAAAAAAGATTCTTCGGAAAGTTCCCTAGCGATATGAAAAAATCGGAAAAGTCGCCGTTTGAATTTTCGCTGGTGTTTTTTTCATACCACCTGTTCTTCGTTTTCAATTTAGACGCATTTGGCTTGTATTTAATTCAAATCAATAATCTGTATTTTGAGGAAATGCACGAAAACGATGGATTTGATCACCCCGCCTCTGAAAGTCCGAAAAGTGGTACTTAAAAATGAATGTTTCTGACCGTCTAGCCAAGCTTGAAAAAATCACAGACAATGTTTTTCGGATTCAATCTCAATAAGAAAATCATGAAAAAACTTTACTAGAAGGGTCATTTTACTTTGCAGCTGGTATAGCTAGGGGGCGCAAAGCCCCGCCCCTTCACGCCACCAAAATGACGATTTTTTTGTTGCAAAAACGGTTTTGAGGCGTTTATACTAGCTAAAGTCCCACTTTAAAAAAATGAACTGTTTCTGTTAATCTATGTAATCGACAACGCTCTACAAGACTGAATATTTTTTTAAAAACTATGTATTCTTCAAAAAAATAAGCGAAAAAAAGTAAGATTTAACACGAAAGAAACTGACAAGTTTCACAAAAATCGTCGCGTTTCAGAAAAACCAAGTGAGGAACGCTTCTAAATTTTTTTAGTATGTTATACATTAACACTTTCTTTATTTTTTTGAGTGAAAATGAAAAAAATCTACCGACGCGAAAAAAATATTAAAAGCTTGTAAAGTGACACCAAACTTTGAAGCTGAAATGCGGAAAAAAATTTCAGCGACATGGTATACTTTTTATTTGATTTAAAAAAACTAACAGTGTGTCCAAAAAAATAAAAAAATTCAAAATGAAAAATAATTATTGGGACAGCGAATCAAATTATATTTGAGTTTTACCAAAACCTCCTTTTTTTCGTCTGCCTCGTTGACGCATGAGAGAATAGGATCGCGTCTATATTTTTTTGATTATGTTATTAAGCGTTCAAAAACTCTATCAATGAAAAAAATTATGAAAAAAATCGATCGACGCGAAAAAAATAACGGCTTTGAAAAACCTCGAAAAAAATGGCAATTTTTTTGAAATTTCGGAAGATTTCGTGCAAGTGTCCGTAGCAGTGTTTGCGTCAAACACACCGATGCGCCCTTTTTAAATGTCGCAGGAGCCGTTTTTCGGAGTCAAATTGTACTTTTTTTCCTGTTTTATTTCGAAATAACATTATTTTTTTCATTTTTTTCTTTTTTTCCAAATCGAATGATAATAATTTTTTTCTGAGTAGAAAAAAAGAAAAAAATAAGCTGAAAAAAATCCCTTTGACCTTTTTTTTCTAGGTAGTTTTTTTGATATTTTATCAAAAAAATTCTTATGAGGATTGTACAAAAGATTCATACCAAAACATGAGGCTCAGTTCGGACAACCTCTCAGAGCAGAAAAACCGATTTAAAAAAACGGTCCAGAAACGCGCAAAAACATTTAAAAAGAAAGCGTGCGGCAGCGGGTAAACCGTGAGATTTTGCCTCCAGTTGTACGCCGCGCGCGCTCGTTTTTTGGCCATAACTTTTTTCTTAGTGAACCTTTTTTCAAAAACTAAACGGATTATGAAAATGGACAGTCTCCTCTATCGAACAATGTAAAAAACATATTTTTTGAATCGTTCTGAAGAAATGGCTTGCGGACCCTAGGTATAGCTGATTCACGGTTAGCTTGGGACGCTAAGGGGCGTGGTCTCTTTGCGCTCTCCACGATCCAGGCACTATCTCGTGCATTATCGTGTCAGGACCCTTTTTCCGATGGCTCAAGCCAGCCGTGAATCAGCTATAAACCTCTGAAAATTGATCAGAACACTTCTTGAAGTACCAGGGCGCGCCGTAGCGCAACAGATTGAGTGCCTGTACTCGGCCCACAGGGTCACAAGTTCGATCCTCGCCTCGACCCAACCAAGGGGTTTAAGAAATATTGGTACGCTTCATAATCCCCAGCCGTCACACACAAAGACGGATATGTCACTGGAGCCAGTTCACTGATTATCAGGATAGGACCTCGGCTAATCGACTTTGGGCGCCGACGCCGCTCAAGGCGTAAAAAGAAGAAGTTGACTTTTTGAAGTACCAAAAAAAATTCGGAATGCCCCAACCAACCCAACGTTTTAGTATATATTTGCAGGATGTTTATACTTCAGAATGAAACTAAAAATAATACCTTCAACACCGCTGACACTGGTGCTGGAAGGCTGGATCCGTGGCTGGAGGGTGGCCGAGGCCGTGTGGGCTTGTGGCGGTATCGGTGTCTGTTTGATGGAGACCGGGAGTCCCGCTCGGGCCGCTTGGATCATCTTGTCGAAGCCCTGGGAATGAAGAACGAGTTGAAAAATGAAAACATTTTTTTTTGTACCAACCTTGGCCTCAAGAAGATATTTCTTCGCCGTTTCAATATCCCCACGAGTTTTGGCATGGATCGCCGCCTGCTTGAACTCCTCCTGGCGTTGAAGTAGAAACTCCAGTTGGTTGGAGTTCCGGGACTTCCCCTCGACTCCAGAAGGGGCCAGAGGACCGACGGCCGGTGGGGGTTTCACTAAAATTGGATACTAAGTTCTTATAATTCTCCAGCTTGTTTGTCATCCATTCACTTCATTTCTACTTGTTTTCAACGGTCGGGTCGCCCCATGGCAGCCCTGAGGAGGCCCTGAAGTATCCTTAAAAAAAGTTTCATCAGTGTTTGTTGCCCGTTTTTTGCCCGAATTTCGCCCGAAAATTTCGAAAGATACTTTAATCTTATTTTTCGACTTGGGAGCTCCAACTAACCCTGAATAAAGTTCCCCCATTTTTTGCCCGTTTTTTGCCTGAGTCATTTTTTTTTGCCCTATTTTCGCCCTCTTTTCCATTTCATTTTGCCCGTTTTTTGCCCGAACCCTTTTAAGCCCGATTTTCGCCCGAAAACTTTGAAGGATTCCTTAATCTTATTCTTTGAGTTGGGAGCTCCAACTAACCCTAACTATTTCTTCGCGCGTTGTTTGCTTGCGTCATTTTTTGCCCTATTTTCGCCCGAATCAATTTTTAGCCTTTTTTTGCCCGAAAACTTCGAAGAATTCTTCAAACTCATTGTTTCTGGAAGCTCCAACTAACTTCCAGGAGCTGGTCCAGCTTTCGGAGGAGCTCCAGCCGTCTGAGGTGGCAGGGGCGGCATGTCAGGGGTGGCCGGGGGCAGTTCACTGATGTCCACGGGTCGGCCGGCTTTTGCCTCTTTCACAGCATCTCCATATTGCCCAGCCAAACGGGAGTTCATCCTAAATATCAGAAAAGTTAGCTTGAATATTCTGTTTTCTGTATTTTTAAGCTCTTTTTTGAGTTTCTGAAAAAGTGTCAAAAATTTCTCGGAACCTCCTTTTTTCGGCCTTCTTTTTTTACACCTCCTTAAAAGGTCCTTTTCGGAAAAAAGGTCGAAAAAATGCGCTTTTGAGGCCTTTTACAGACCTTTTGGACTTTGCCCCTGTATGTATTCTATTAATCTGTTCATTTTGTATTTTAAACACATGTTTTTCGAATGAAAGAAGTAAAAAATCCTGAAAAATCGTCCAAAAAAATGAGAATCCCTGGACGTTCCACTACTGAGAAACACAAAAAAAGATCGTTTTCAGTAGAATTTTCCAATTTTTTTCATCAATTTTTTTGTAGTTAATTTTTTTGAAAAATATCTTCGAAAAACTTCTCAAAATTACTCTTAGAACTTAAAAAAACTCAATATTGAACCGAAATTTTTTTCAAAAAATCATGAAATCTTCAATTTTTTTGACTTTTTATTTTCAAATTTTGATCTTTAATTATCAAGCTTCTCATTGCAATTTTTTTGAAAAAAATACCATTTTTTTGAATTTTTTTGTAGTCAAATTTCAGTAAAATCCTCTTCAAAAACAGTCAAAAATGGCCAAAATACATTTAAAAACAGTTTTCAGTCCCAAAAAACCTTCGTGAATCACAGAAAAACCCAATTTCCTCAAAAACCCTACAGAAACTCCATTTTTCCCCATTTCTCACCTGTGTTTCCGATCATTGCCCTCACGTTTCGCCTTCTCGGCCATTTCCAGGTATTTCGCCTGTCGTTGTTGTAAAGCTTCGATGAAGGTCGCCGGCTTCTTTGGAGCTGCCGCAGGAGCTGGAGCAGCTCTGGGCTGAGCTGGAGGTGGAGCTGAAGGGGCTGAAGATCCCGGGGCGTCCATTGCCTTTCTGAAGTCAAATCAAGAATAAATTGATGCTAAACTTGTTTGGGTAGTTAACGGCTAAAAAGCAGCTCCTTTATTACGCGCCCGACCTAAAACGACTTTCGCACAAATGCACTGAAATACATAAAAGTCGGATTTAGAGCCTATTTCAGCCGCAACGCGACCGCGACGCTTCAGGCCATTCTGAATGCGACCAATGGCCTTTCGTGTCAAAGATCCTCATCGCGATTCTGGATCCACCTGGTCGCATTGGGAATGGCTCAAGATGTGATCAATCCATTCTAGAGCCCCATGGTTGCATTTGGAATCGCTTGAAGTGTAGCGGCTTCTTTAAACGCGCCCGACTTTAAACGACTTTCGCAAAGCCCGACTTTAAACGACTTTTGCACTAAAATCTATAAAAGTCGCCTGTAAAGCCTATTTAGGCCGCAACGCGACCGCGACGCTTCAGGCCATTCTGAATGCGACCACTGTCTTCCAGGAGACCTTCTGTGTCAGAGCTTCAATGCATTTGGGGTCCTACAGACGCATTTGGAATGCCTTGACATGTGACGGCTGAGAATCGGTTACTTCAAGACGCGCCGGACCCTAAACGGCTTACGCTCTAACGCACTGAATCTATAAAAGCCGGCTGTAGATCCTAATACAACCGCAACAAGGTGTCCATCTCTGTCAAAGCTCATGGTCGCAATTGGAATGGCTCGACGTGAAGCGACTTCGAAACAGCTTGTTTGAAATGCACCCGACCAGAAACAACTTGCGCGCAAATGCACTAAAATCTACTATGAAGCTGGCTGTAGAGCCTGTTCCAACTGCAACGCGACCGGGACGCTCTGTGACATCCTTCCAAGGACCTCCCATTACGAAAAATGAAGTTCATCTCGACCTGTAAGGCTGCGGGCTGGGCGGGATCTCGTTCAAGTCCAAATCATCGGCCGATACCGTATCCAAGGCCGCCAAGGCTTCATCGAACGCCTTGGCCGTCGTGACGGCTTCCTTGGCGGCCATTTTGTCCTTGGCAGCAATGGCAGCCTGGAAAAACTTCTCGTATCCTTCAGAACTTGAAATTTCCTCCCCTTGGGGGACCACTCTAGTTCTTAGTGATCCCTTAAGTGGAAAAACCTGAAATCACCTTTCCATTGGCCACGTAGAGATCCCTCCGATGCTGCAGGATGGCTCGGAATTTCTCCTTTTTGTCATCGCGAGGGACCGCCGCCGAGGATTGAGAAGAGGACGAGGCTGTCCGGCTGGGGATCGGCGGAGGCTGACGTGAAGGGGCCACTTGAGGGGCTGTTCGCGATTCTCCGCGCGCTGGGAGTGGCGGCGGGGCTGTCGTCGGTTCTGGCGCAGCGGCGGCTTCTCGGAGTGATGGAGCTGGAGCATGGTGAGCTGGATGAGCTGTTTCAGTGGTATCCGTTGTTGGTTTGGCCTCAAAATCAGGGAAGTTCATTCGCAACGTCTTGGAGGAGTATGACTTGTCTGCGCTCTCTTTTCTCTCACCGGTGAGGTCAGAAAAATAGGAAATGATCACTGGGATAAAGAGGGCGCAGAGAAATGAGAATTTTGCGCTTTTTGATTGATTTTACTAATAGTTTATTCACAACGGCTCAAAAAAGTCTGACCTGTCTGCGCTCTCTTCTCTCTCGCCACCGAGGCCATAGAAATAGGAAAACAGCCCAAAAGACGAGGGAAAAGAGGGTACAGAGAAGCGAGTCATTCTGGAGAAGTATAGAACGATGAATACCTGAAAATTCGGAGGTGGAACTGGAATCTCGCCCGGCATGATTGTCTTCCCGCGTTCGGCGCTCGAAATCAGTTCAACCAACTTCTCCACCGTCCTTTTGTACCTCAAAATTTAGAGCTCACAATGAAAAAAAAAACTTTCTTTATCACAAAAAATTTTTTTTCTACAGCCTTCCGTTCAAAGATATAATTATTTCATGAGTAAATTTGCTTTTTAGGTGACTTTTTAGCCGAGTCGTTTATGACAGATTTTTGGAGTCTCTTAGAAAGCTTTTCAAGATTTTTCGGCAGCTAATTAGGGTCCCCTAAGGAATATTTTAATGGTCTATTTTGGAAGCTTCTTGGAGTCCTTTCAGGAAGCTTCTTAGGGCTTTTCTGGTAGTTTCTTAGAGTTCTCTTAGGAATATTTTTAGGGCTTTTTTGGCAGTTTTTTAGGGTCTTTTTAGAAGCTTTTTCGGAGCTTCCTAGGGGTCTTTTTGGTGACTTCTTAGAGTCCCCTCGGAAAGCTTCTCAAGGTCTTTTTTGGAAGCTTTTCAGAGTTTTTTTAGGTACCTTTTTAGGGTCTTTTAGGTATCTTTTCAGAGTCTCTTTTACCAGCTTTTTGGGGTTTTTTTGGTAGCTTTTTGGGGTTTTTTAGGAGCTTTTCGGGAGCTTCCTGGGAGCCTTTTTGGTGACTTCGTGGAGTCCCCTCGGAAAAATTTTCGAGGTCTTTTTATCTACCTTAAAAGGGGTTTTTTTTGCCAGATTTTTGGGGTCTTTTTTTAGGAGCTCTTTGGGGCCTTTTTGCCAGCTTTCTAGGCTTTTTTTGCCAGTTATTTGAAATCTCTTTTGGCAGCTTCTTAGGGCCCTTTCTACCAGCTTTTTGAAGACTTTAGCCTGCTTCTTAGAGTCTTTTCAGGTTTCTTTTCCAGCTTTTTGAGGTATTTTTCGCCAAATTTTTAGGGCCTTTTCGCCAGCTTTTAAGGGTGTTTTTGCAGCTTCTTAGGCTTCCCTCAGGACGCTTCTCTTCTTAGAGTCTTTTTTGCCAGCTTTTAGGGTTTCTTAAAGTCTTTTTGGCCAGCTTTCTAGTCGAGAATTTTGAATAAAAAAATTGTCTGTACTCCTCCTCTCTACTAGTCCTTTGAAAACCTGATCCTTTTTCAATTTTCTAGACGACTCAAACCTCCGAGCTTTCGCTCCCTCGCCAGCCTTCTCGCTCTGGGCCGCACATTCGGAATAAGCTTTGTGGAGCTGTCGGAGCTGGGCGATCTGCGGATTTGTCGTCGGACCAGCTTTCGTCGGGAGAGGAGGCGCCGCCGTGGTCGCCGGCGCCTCTCCGCCTACCAAACCCGATAATTCGTTCTGAAATCAACAACTCGCTTCAGAAATAAGTTATTTCAAAACCATCAAATCGTCATCCATCTCCAGGGCGTCATCATCAACGTCTTCTGGATCGTCGGCCAAAGCGGCGGCCAAGGCTTTTGGATCGAGGCCGGGGACGGCTTGGACGCCTCCAACGGGTGCTTTTGGACCTGAAAAATTATTGTTGGGGGAAATGAATCTTCGAAAGAAATTGATTTGATTTTTAAGTCGGAGTGGTGAGTAGAGGCTAGAAAAAGGCCGCAAAATGGATTTTTTTTAAAATCGAGTCTTCCTTTTTCTTGGATTTCAAAGCCCAGGAAATGGTGAAAAAAGGGAGAAGTGGTAAAAATGGCGGCACACGGCGACACCACGCAAGCAAACTGATGTAAAAAAAAAAACGCCACGCGACGCACACGCGCACTCGTCTGACGGGGCGCGCTTGCTGTTTTTCGCATTTTTTCGTGATCTTGATTTGGATTGGTAAATTTTGTTTGGGTTTTTCTTTAAATATAGAGCGTTTCACGAAAATCCCCGCCATAGAATTGTAAAGGGCTCGCTCATGTTTCGATTGCTACCGAGCATGCATTTTTCAGTTTAGTATACTGTTAGAAAAACGATGATTACAAATTTGGCTTGAAAAGGGACATAAACTCAATTTTTCTCAGCGGCTAGAGCGAATCTTGAAAAATTTATTGTATGTTTGAGCTTTTCACGAGTGTTTAGAGGTCAGAAAACAATTTTGAAGGTTGAAATAGAAAATTAGCTCTAAAAAGAGGTTATGTCTGCATTTTGGTTTTTAGATGGGATTTTTTAAAATAATTATATTGTATAAAATTTTCCGGCGATCCTGGGTGAATAGCAGCCAGAAAATTGATTTTATTCACTATATACGTACAATCTCGCTTTTAGCGCGTCGCTTTTTATGCATCGCGTGCACTGCGTAAAACACATTTTATTTTCCGCTGTTTTGGTGGGCGTGGCGTCGATTTGGTGTCGCCGTGCGGCAAAAAGGTAGAAAAAGGAACATTTCTCGACCTTTTCCGACTTTTCCTATGCCCTTGAAACTACAAAGTCCTTATCAAATCCTTCAAAAAGTTTCTTTATAACTTTAACTTCCCGACACCAAATCGACGCCACACCCATCAATACGGCGGAAAATAAAATGTGTTGTACGCAATGCACGCGATGCATGAAAAGCGACGCGCAAAACGTTTATAGTAAATAAAATAAATTGTCCGGCTGGTATTTATCCAGGGATCGCTGGAAAAAAACTTCTAAAATATTAATATTATAAAAAAATAATCCCATCTAGAACTAAAATGAAAAGAAATAACTCCTTTTAGAACTAATATTCTATTTCAACCTCCAAAATTTTTTTTCTTTCAGTTATTGGCTGACCTCGTTGCGGAGGTTGTGCAGCTGCAGGACGACCTGTCGGTCTGGTCGGCTCAGGTGGTCTGGAAGAGGATTCAATAAACATGAAATTTCCAAAAAAATTGAAAAAAATTATTTCATTCCATCAAGGGAAAAAAACATTGAAAAAAAGACAGGCAAAAATCTAAAAAAATTGGAGAATTTTCCGAAAGATCCTTTCAAAAATTCAGGAATTTTTTTATTTTACAAGTATAATGTCAAAAAAACCAGAATAGATCAGAAAATGGGCTTCCTTATGTTAAACGAACACAGAAAAAATCAATAAAATAAACATTTCATTCAAAACGGAAAAAACAGCTTTTTTCATCGATTTCAAGACGAAAATCCATAGAAACCTATAACGAATACACTATCATTCCCAGCGTGAAATGATCACTGATAAGGGAAATAATCAGGAAACCTCCTTGCGCCCATTTCCTCCTCTTGGAGGGCGGCCAGCTCGGCGAGCAACTCCTCGTCTTCCTCGACGTTCCCGCCGTAGACCGACTTTTCCATGTCGGCAAAGTTCAAATTGCTTAAATTCATCTGAAAATCTGAAATCGACATGTACCGAAAAGGTTCAAAATTGACTCAAAAGTGAGAAAATAAGAGTTCTGAACGGCTAAAATTGAAGAAGAAGCTTGAAAAATTGATCGAAAAGCGAGAGATCACAAAAGTCCTCAGAGACGGCAGAGAAGCCAATTTTCTCTCGTTCTCTGGCGTCTTTTCAGGACACTGCTGATCTCTCGATTTCATTCTTTTCCATACCATATAAACCACAAGGAACGAAGCTTTCAAAAAAGTTCAACTGTTCAAGAAATGGAAGCGAGGGATCAGAAAATCCCGAAGAGACTTCAGAGAAAGAGAGAAAATTGGTTGGTAAAGATGAGAGAACAATTGAAGTCCGAAGAGACGCCAGAGAATCCGTTTTTCTCTCTTTCTCTGGCGTCTCTTCAGACTTTTCTCTCTCTCCCTCAACTTAACTCACTCCTAGCCCCCCTACAAAGAAGGGATTTTGTACAAGAAACTGAGAAATTTCAGAGTGGTCCCTATAGGATTTTTTTGTTTCAAGGATTACTATAGAGGTCTAAATTCGAGTTACCACTATAGTATTTTTGGGCGGTTCACTGAAACCCTGAAGCTTAAGCGATCCCTCTAGGGGCCACTCCAAGATTTTCGATTGGTCAAAAAAGGTGAAAAATATATATTCAGGATCCACAACCCTCATATGGTAGAAAAAGCATAAAATAAATCGAAAAAAATAAATTTTTTTATAATCCTTTAAAAAGCCCGAATGAAACTGTAAATCCAACAAAAAAACAACAAACTCAACAAGAAATTCCCTTTAGGGGTCACTTCAAAATTTAAAGAATATATATTCAGGATCCGCAACCCTCATAAGATAGAGAAACATACAAAAGAATCAAAAAATAACATTTTTATATTTTTTAAAAAAGCCGAATGAAACGGTAAATCGAACAAAAGTGTCAAAATCAACAAGAAATTCCCTCTAGGGGCCACTCCAAAATTTAAAGTATATATATTCAGGATCCACAACCCTCATAAGATGGAGAAACATACAAAAAGAATCAAAAAAATAAATTTTTTTATAATCCTTAAAAAAAGCCCGAATGAAACGGTAAACCAACAAAAGTGTCAAAATCAACAAGAAATTCCCTCTAGGGGTCACTCCAAAGTTTTCAAATGGTCAAAAAAATAAAAATAAATATATATATTCAGGATCCACAACCCTCATGAGGTAGACAAGCATAAAGAGAAATCAAAAAATAAATTTTTATAATCGTTTAAAAGCCCGAATGAAACTGTAAATCCAACAAAACAACAAGAAATTTACAAACAACAACAAAAATTTTCATTCAGCCAATCGTAACACGCCGGTGACGTCATCTCGCGTCACTTTGACCCCCAATTCATTTAACAGCTTCTCACGGTTGATTATCTTGCTGGGTCCCTGAAAAAATGATTTTTTCTTTCAGAACATTTTCAGTTTCTCACATCGTTCAAATTCAGCAAAATCTCCTTGTTTTTGCGATTCCCGACCGTCAAGTTGCGAATTGCGGTCAGGGCCCAATTCGACTGAAAATTTGAATTTTTTTTTTAATTCGTCAATTAATTCTTCTCGACTTGAAAGGGGAGATGGGTTGATTGGCTTAGGGATTCCCGAGTGGGCCCTTTAGGGATTAGGGAGAAAAACAGCCCTAGGGACTGAAAAAGGGGTCTCAGTGTTGGTTAAGGGAAAAAAAAGTTCTTGAAGGGGGCCCAAAAAGAGGTCCCTATAGGGGTAACATGAAGATGGTCCCTTTAGAGTCCGACCCCTAAGCCCGTCAAGGTTAATTGGTCCCTATAGGGATTAGATAGAGAGACAAAAGCCTTTTGAAGGGGCCCAAGAAGTGGTCCCTTTAGGGGTTAGATGGAAAAACAGCCTTTCGAGGGGCCGAAAAAGTGGTCCCTATAGGGACTAGAAAAAAAAACAGCCTTTGGAAGGGGCCGAAAAAGTGGTCCCTATAGGGGTTTAGAGTCTGACCTCTTGAAGATTAAGTGGTTCCTATAGGGGTCTCTCTATTTTTCATTCAATTTGAAAATTATCAAGACAAAGATGGTAATTTTATCCTACTTTAAAATTTTTCCTCCGGAAAACGCTATTTTATTGAATTTTTCCGCATGGATAGGCACCATTTGCAAGCTTTACTTGCCCCTATAGGGGTTGTTAAAGTGGTCCCTAAAGGGGAAATATTCACGCTCCATTAAAATTGCCCTCTAGGGAAAACTCTCGCGTTCCTAAGCGCGGAAACGTAAATTTGAACGCAAGTCGATTTTTTTTCAACTAAAGCCGCGTCGCACACGCAACGCGTCACCCTTGCAAATCTACCAATCTCGTTTTTCAATTCGGTGAAAATGGACGACCCAACGGAACTAAAAGTTCTGAAACATATAAGAACTTGAATCGAAACGTATCTTGTTCGGCTTTTCGAATTTTTACCAATCATTCTAAAATCTCAACAAAAATTGAAAGAACCCTACAGGGACCACTTGAAGTTCAGAAGCTACGAGTCCCGATCCTAAACCCCTGAAGGTACCACCTAAATTTTACCCCTATAAGGACCATTTTTTGCTGCCCCTGTAGGAACCACTATGTAATTCCTAAGTGTGTTCCCTCACCAACAAGGACAGAGAAACGCGAAAAAAGCACAACAACTTGAGAGGGTGGCCGAGAGACGAGGAGGGTACAGAGAAAACAGCATCTCAACTTGAGAGGGTGGCCGAGAGACGAGGAGGGTACAGAGAAAACAGCATGTCAACTTGAGAGGGTGGCCGAGAGACGAGGAGGGTATAGACGATTCACGGCTAGCTTGGGACGCAAAAAGGCGTGGCCTGTCTGCACTCTCCACCATCCAGGGCACTGTCTCGTCTCTTTTCGTGGCAGGACCCTTTTCTCGATGACTCAAGCCAGCCGTGAATTAACTATACAGAGAAAACAGCCAAGTCGGGAAAATGAAACTCTTCCTTTTTCTTACCGTCAAGGGATTATGAATTATAAGTTCCATCGGCCTGGCGGTACACTGCAGGGCGGCAATCAGTCCATTACGGGGCGGATTTGTCGCGGCTTCTTGGTTTTTCTCACAATCCGCTACCAGATTACCTAGAAACCAGGAAATAAGTAGAGAATGCTCAATTTCAGTTCAAGAAAATGGCTCTGAAGCGAAAAATCGCGTTCAACTTTCTCAGAAACGCCAGAGTGGCCCCTAGAGGGATTTTAGATAAGCAACGTACTCAGACGTTGGTAACGCGATTTGGACGTGTCGGACCATTTAAAGTGACCACTTTAGTAGCCTCAGCCTTCTTAAGTAATCCCTAGAATCGCTGGAGCGTTATATATGTCCGAGGTATATTTTAGTGTTTCTTCTTATAGAGTTCATACCAAGAAACGACTAGCATGCTTCCCTAGAGTGGTCACTTCCTAAGAACCCTAGAGTAGCCCCTTTTGCAAGCTTTAGTGACCCCTGTAGGGGATGGTAAAGTGGCTACTAAAGGGGAACGCTTAAGCTCGCCCCTCTGGGGACCACTCTGGCTTTACTAACGAAAATTTGAACTTATACTGTCATGTCGAAGATATCTTGTTAAGAATACCACTATTGGATTTCGGTTTTCAGTATGAAAAAGGTTTTGGAGAAACAGTAAAGTGATGAAAAAAAAAAAACGAAAAGTTCCGAAATTTTGAATTTTTTGGCAAAGTAGATCGTTTTTTGTACCTTTTCCAAAACTCACCCAAACAAGCCAAAAGCGTCGTTTTCATTCCATATAGATTCTCATTGAAAATCTCCATTTGGTCAGCGAAAATGATCGAAAGTCGAGATAATCCAGGATCTTCTTCGATTCTCGAGTACCGAGGAGTGGGCTCAAAAAATGTTTTATTGAAGTTCATTCACCACTATTTAAAACAGCCTGACTTCTCTGCGCCCTCTTTTCTCTCACAGCAGAAGTCGAAACTAACAGCACGTGAAAATTAGAGAGTATCGGTGAGACGAAAGAGGGCGCAGAGAAGACAGAGAAATCACTTTTTATCAAGTTTTGGCGATGCACTGTACATTGGATCCATCGAAACTCTGTTTTCTCTGCGTTCTCTCATTTTCACGTCCTATTTTCCTGTTTCTCTAGCTTGGTGAGAGATAGGAGAGCGCAGAGAAGTTAGAGAAAAAACTCTTTAAACTGTGTGAAATCGAGTATATAGTTCATTTTCCACAACTTGAAATTTTTTTTTCTCTCTGCTCCCTCTCTTCTCTCTTCTGTTTATGTGCTCTTTCGACGTTTCTCTTACCTGGTGAGAGAGAAGAGGGAGCAGAGAAATCAGAGGAGAATATCTTTAAGCTGCGGCGAATGGAGTTAATAGTTCATTCAAAAAATTTGAAATTTTTCTTTTTCTCTGCTCCCTCTTCTCTCATCGACTCTCTCATTTATACGTGCTCTTTCCACTTTTCTTTGACATCCCGGCGAGAGATAAGAGAGCGCAGAGAAGTCAGTGAAAACTTCAAATGGAGTATATTCTCATTTCTCTGCTCCTCTCTTCTCTCACCGACTCTCTCATGTTTACGAGCTATTTTTTTACTTTTCTGCGCTCTCTCGTTCCCTGATCCTCCGACCTCGCCGGTGAGAGAAAAGAGAGCGCAGACAGGTCAGACATTTTCAAGTCGCGGTGAATGGACTATAACTATTAACACTAACAGGAATGACAGGTCGATCGGGAGGAGGTATAGAACTGATTCTTTGATGAAATTTCGCCCTGGCTTCGATTAAATCTTCACGATTCGAGTGAATTTCCGGAAAAGACGGTCCATTTTCTCGGCATCGCTTTTCGAAGATTGCTTCGGCGTTGAGGATCTGGAATAAATTCGGAAATTTGATAAGTTTGATTAGTTCGGCCTGCCTAAGAATCTCATAGAATTAGAAGGAAGAGCTCAAAAACCGAAAAAAAGTGCGCCCGACCATAAAACGACTTTCGCCGAATGAATATTTTGCGAAATATTGAGCTTGAATATGAACTGAAGCATCACAAATCTTTGAAGATATATTTTCGGCTCACAATCAAGAATATATAGATTTTTTTGGTTTTTTATATTAAAAAAATAGAATAAGCAGCACAAATTTGCGCCCGACCATAAAACGACTTTCGCCTCGAAAAAATGCGAATAATTTTTGAGCGGGCGAATCAAATTTTGTGAGAGAAAAGTGTATTTTTTAGGTTTACAACTAAAATAAAAATGAATTTGGGCTCCAAAAATCATTCAGATATGGAAAAATGACTTTTTTTTGATTAGAAGGTTTAGAAATTATTACCGTTTCAAGTAGATCCACGACAATTTCAACGGCTTCGGTTCTTTCGAAAAGTTGTAAAGTGCAGTCGGATTTTCGTAGAGCTGTGTGATCTGAAACAAATATTTTTTTTTTCTGCGTAAAATTCCTTACTTCTTATTTCCACAGCCAATTTTCACGCAATATAATTTTTTTCAGAAACTCCAGAGTGATCCCTATAGGGGAAACCTCAAGGACCACTGTACCAAACCCTATAGGGGCCACTCAAGCTTGCAAAAGTGGCCCCTATAGGGGACATGCTAGTCGATAATCGTTATGAACTCTAAGCGAAGAAGCATTTCCATGAGAAAAACCCAATAAATAAACATTTTTGAATAAAATTTAGAGACCCCTATAGGGTCCACTTGAGCTTTTGGCGCTAAGGGGTCAGATCCTACGCCACTGTAGGGACAACTTTTTCGACCCCCATAGGGGTTGTTTTCCCTCCTAATCCCTATAGGGACCACTCTAAATATTTCCAAAAACCCAAAAATTTTGATCGTCAGTGAAAAATTGAGAGGAATCGCCTGCATATGATCACCTTGAATATCTGAAAATACTGTTTCAGACTGAAAATTTGAATCGAAACCGTTTGTTCGAAGTTATTTTATATTCCACACTCAAAAACACCCTTTCACTGATTTTTCCCTTGAGAATCACTTAAGGGCACCAAAGTGGCTCCTAGAGGGGTTGGGGGTGAAAAACAGTCCCTATAGTGGAAAAGGTGCTCCCTATAAAGTTATAATTCAGGTAGTCCCTATAGGGGTTTAGGGTCGGACTCTTACTCAGAAGCCCAGAGTGGTATAGGAGCAACCTAAGGGGCCCCTCTAGGGGCCACTACAGCTTGCAAAAATGGCCTCTATAGAGGCTTCAGTTAGCGGCCTCTATACGGGAAACGCTGATCGTAAATTGTTGAAAAAAGAAAGTCGGAAGACCCTATAGGGACCCCTTGAGCATTAGGGGCTAAGGGGTCAGAAGCCCCTATAGAGACCGCTTTTTCGGCCCCTGAAGAGAATGTTTGTTCCCGTAAACCCTATAGGGGCCGCTTTGGAATACCTAAGTGAGCCTCTCAGGATGGAGTAGTCCCTCTAGTGACCTTTGAAATTTTTTTTACTGCTTTTTAAGTTGAAAAGACATTCAAAAACGCTAATTTATCGATTTTTTCGCATGAAAATACTTCTTCTAATATAGTTACAATAAAAACAAAAATAAACGACTTGTATGTCCCCTAGAGTGACCACTAACTAAAGCTTCCATAGGGACCAATTTTGCTAGCTCAGATAAACTTAATAACTCTGAAGCGGTCCCTATAGGGGCCACATTAGGAGCTCATGGAGGGTCCCCTCGAGGGACCACTTTCCTAATCCCTACAAGGGCTCTTTTCCTCTAACCCCTACAGTGACCACTTGAGATTTAGGAGCCTGAATTCTACCCCTATAGAGACCACTTTTTCGTCCCTTATAAGGGCTGTTTTTTGCCGTGACCGCTATAGGGACCACTCGAGAACTCCTAAGAAGGGAGGTGAAGTGGTCCCTAAAGGGGATTCTTCAAACACGCCTAAAGTGGCCCCTATAGGGACCACTTTTCAAGCTTTAGGGACCTCTATGGAGTTGATGAGGTGGTCCTTTCAGGAGAGGCGGGGAAGAAAAAGAGATCCCTATTGGGAAGGTGGAGTGGCCCCTAGAGGGAACCCTTCAAACGCCCCTAAATTTCCCCTAAAGGGACCACTTTGGCCTTTAAAAATCAGTGAAATTTCGCACTTTTTGCATGTTAAATATTAAAGGAATCTGAAAATTTCCTATCTTGATTTTTTTTTTTCGACAAACCGATGATTTGAACGGTCCAAAGCATCGCAGAAGTGAGCCATTTTTGGGTGTCAATTTTTTCTTCCTTCATTTTTTTCTCGCCCAGGTCGGAGATGATCCTTTGCAGGTAGTTTAGGCAAAAGTTCAAGTTGTTAGGATGAAGCTGAAAATTTTTTTTCTTCGTAAAACGTTGAAAGATCGCGAAAATTCAGAAAATCTCATTGAAAAATCATTTTTCTATCGATTTTTTCGATTCCAAAACAATTTTGAAACCTTAAATGCATATCCGGTCGTGTCGAGGTCCATCAAAACCTCAGTAATGTGCAAAATTTGGCAAAATGCGATGGAATCAACTTCTCCGAACGTGTTTGCCAAGAAGGCGCCATCCTGAAAAGCGGAATTTCGTGGTTTTTTTTTTCATTTTTCGTAATTTCGGCACATTTTGTTGATTTTTTTTTCACTATTGATTCATTTCGCTTCAGAGGGCATCTTAGATAAATTAGAAAAAAATGGATTATTTAAAAAAATTCAAATCCAAATGCTCACAATTTTTTTAAAAAAATCAAATTTTCAAAATTAATTTTTTTAAAAATCTCTATTAACGAGTTCGCAATGCTTTTTCGGAACCTAATTGACATCACAAATAGTCCCTTGAAACCGGAAGTTCATATAAGTTTCGAATAAAGTTTCGAAGCATATTTTTTTCCTCTAAATTTTAGTTTTCAAGCTTCAAAAACTCAAAATTTACGTTAAAAAAATAATTTATAGTCCACTTTCCCCGGGGTTTTATCGAAAAAAATGACAAAAAAACACCTATTTTACAAAAAGAAAAATCTCACAAATTCCAAAGGGATTCGCGAAAAAAAGCGCTGATAAACGACCGTTCAAAGTCCGGCACTTCATTGTCTTCGAAAATCGCGGCCAATTCCTCCAGAAGCTTGGGAAAAGTCGGGAAAAAGGGCCATTTCTGTGAACTTTTTTTCGATTTTTTTCGCTAAAAAAATCAAAAAAAACCTGAATAACACGAAATCGAGACTCCAGTCACCAGAGACACTGCCTGAAGATTCAAATTTTTTTGAAATTTTCATTGAAAAATTACAGCTTTCCGATAATGGGGATTTCTCAAGGCGCATCGTACAAGTTCTAGACAGGAAGGTGTGAAATTTTCGCGGACACTGAAAATTGGATAAAAATTATGGAATAATGATTGAAAAAAAGTGACAAGATTTAAAAAAAGGGTTTTTTTGATTAAAAAAATTTGTTCTTTAAACAAGAAAAAAACTGAAAAAAACCAAGAAAAAAACGGCCTTTTTTTATTGATAGCCTAATAATTAAAAAGTATCAATTGAAAAAAATTTAATTTTCGATGAATCGCTCAGAAAAAAATGACGAGAATGTGAAAAAAACGCTGTTTCCGATTGAAAAACTAGGTTTTTGAAAGAGAAAAAAATTAAACTTATCGCGAAAAAAATGAAGAAAAAAATGGCCTTATAATGAAATTTATCGTCTTAAAATTCCATTTTCAAATAAGAAAAAAATAAGTTAAAATGACTTTCCTTCTTTTTGAAATTAAACAACGAAATTATAATTAAAAAAATATGACAAATTTTGAAAAAAAGGCTCAGTAAATTGATTTTTTTGAAGAAGCTGACATTGAAAAATATTGCAAATAAATGAAAAATTTCTCTCGTGGAAAAATGAAATAAATTTCAAAATTGCATTTTCGAAAGATGGAAAAAAATGAAAAACGCTGCGATAAAATGAAGAAAAAAATGGCATTCTCTTCGATAAATCGAATAAAAAAATTAAAAAAATCCTTTGAGAAATTGAACTTTAAGTGAGAAAGTATTGAAAAATTTAGCGAAAAAAATGAATAAAAAAACACATTTTTTCATCCAATAAATAATATTTACTTATTTATAAATGTGATATTTGTATGAGAAAGCATTGAAATTATCGGAAGAATTAAAAAAACTAAATACTAGAAACAAAAAAAGGAAAAATTTTTCCGAACAATTATATGTTATCAATGGCAAAAAAATACAAAAAGAAAAAAATGAGATTTTTTTGATATAAATCAGTTTTTTTCTTCTTCAAAGCTTAAAAGAAAAATAAAATGAATGTTTTTTTCAAGATTAAAACCCAACCAATGATTCCGAAGCGCACAATTAGCCAACAATTTCAATCCTCTTCCGCCGACGCAACGTATTTTTTTCCTTCCTAAAAAAATCTTATAAGATTTAAAAAGCAAAAAAATGATAAACCTCTTCAAAGCAGTCGTGATTTTCGAGCGCATTGGACAGTAAAACAGTCAAGGAAGCTTGCAGGCACTGAAAAATGTAAAAAATTCTCTTAAATGACTATTAAAGGCGCAGAGATGGATTTTTAAAAATAGTATCAAAAATTGGAGCCGTTGTCTGTGCTACTTTCCTCCATTGAACACTCGGAAATAGATTTTTGAACATTAAAAGATAATTTTTTGGAAAAAAGCGTCGCGAAAAATTATAAAAAAATCTGCTTTTTTTATGTTTTTTTATTCTTGAAAATCCTGGCTACCTATTTTTTTTACGGCGCATAGACAGAAGTTTCAAAAAAATAGTTTCAGGAAAAGGAGTGTTGTTTTCTGTGTCATATTAAACCTGTTGAATTAAGAAATTAGTTTTTTTAATTATATAATATTAATCTAAAGACATAATGGAAGTTTCAAAAAAATTTTTTTTTCATGATTTTTTTTGAAGTTTTCTGTGCTTTTTCCATGCCTCGAAATCACGAAATTCTTCATAATTCGTCATATTTTTTTAAAAAAATCCAACCATTTATCATTTAATTTCCATCCTTTCGCAATTTTTCACATCATTTTTTTCGAAATATTTAATGAAACCATTATTTTTTTCAGTGTTAAGAAGAAGTTCAGGATCGAAATTTTTTTCAAGAAAAAAAGACAGTATTTATTCTTTTCAATGACCGTAACGGTAAATTTTGTTCCCTACCTTCAAAAAAATAATAAAAAAACTTCAAATCGCGTTGAATTTTTTTAGCCTAAAAAAAGTAATCATTATGAAAAATAACCTCAGGACTTTCCAAAAAACCTCAAAAAAGAAAAATCATCGCACATCTTTCTTTTCTTCGCAAATCGAAGCCACTTCGGCGACGAAATTCCGATCCGCCGTGTACAAAAACGCTTTTTGGAGTTTATTCTCGTCGAGTCGGTCGCCAATTTTTTCCGGTTTTTCCGAATCAATCCGCCTGCATTCTTCGAAGATGTCCCTTAAGCAGTTGGCGCCATCTTCTTCCATTTCTGGGAAAAAGAACATTATTTCACGAAGTCACTAAAAAATGCCTCATAGACACCATTTTAGAACCAATTTTTCTCAGTATTTTCTTCAGGAAGTCTTATAAAAAAGGTGATAATTTCTATGACAATTCGAAAAAAATGTTTATTTATTTAAAAAAAGCAAAAAAACTACAGGCCTCATTTTGGAGCAGTAAAAAAACAGTTGAAAATTACCGGAAAAAAATTCTTTAATAAAAAAATTTTTTTCAGGTCTACAACTAATCAAGCTTCAAAAAAACCTATTTTTTTATTCGAAATCTGAATTTTTTTCCAAATTTTACCTACTTCTTAACATAACATCTGAAAAAAAGTACAAAATTTCCAAAAAAACATGATTCGAAATCGGCTTTCACAACTTTTATCATTCTTCTTTGGTTCAAAAATAAAGTTCAAAAATAATTTTTTTCTCAAAAATCCCTAACCATTCCAATCGCTCCTTTCCCCCAAAATACTTCGAAATTCCCATATTCTTCAAAAAAATACACCGATGGTTGCAAAAAACAACACAAAAAACTGAAGAAAAACCAAGAAGCAAGAAATTTATACGCAAAAAAAACCCGGGAAAGACTAAAATTTGAAAAAAAGCTGAAATCATTAAAATTCTTTGGCTCATTTGACTACAATGGAATGTGTTCAACATTAAAGCAATGGGGAGAAAAAAAAACCGAAAAAAGACACAATTTGAGGGTAAAAAAGGTATTTTGTTCGCATTTGGAATGGCTTGATGCGTTGCGGTCGCGTCGCGGTTCAAAAACGAAGCGAAAATTTTCATTTGAAGCCATTTTCGACAAATTAACAACCGCTTCGCAGCTTGATGCGTTGCGGTATGAATTTTTCCCATCGGTATTTTTTCTAATGAAAACCGCTCCGCAGCCGCAACGCATCGAGCCATTCCCATGCGCCAAAAATTCAAAAAAGCATAAATAGACATTTGAAATGCGGGAGAAACACGATTATTTTCCAAGGTACAATCTTTCTGACAGAATTAATAAAGAAGTAGAGTTATATAATATATCAGAAAAAAATAGCATTATCAAGATTTTTGGGTGAATTGCTTGTAGAAACGGGCAAGTTCCGTCAAATCGTTACCGCCTAGACGATCCGATGAACCATTTTCGATCAATTTCTGGAAAAAAACGTACATTTCTTAATATAGTCCATTCGCCACGACGTGATGTTTTCTGCGTGTCTGCGTCTCTCTGTTCCCTCTTAGGTCAGAGAAACATGAAAATAGTGCATCAACATGAGATGGTCGCCGAGAGACGAGGAGGGAGCAGAGAAAAAAAAGCGCGGAAAAGTACAGTGACGTCATTAGAAAACGCTTTGGGGATAGCTCGCTCTCTGATTGGTTAATCTCGCAATTAGGGGCGGAGCTTGAGCTATGACTTGACATCCAAAATCTGGACAAACTAGATTTCTGAAGACCTCAAAGCAAAATGAGCTTTCAGGAATTTGACTTCTAGTGAAAGTCCATTCCTCATTGTTCAACTCATCAAGTGCGCTCCAGTGAGAAACGACTCTAATTGGCTAGCCACGCCCCTTTTTTCGGACTAATGCTAGTATCTAAGAAGTCATTCATCGGAACTACAGCTATCACTGCATTTTAGCTCAAAATTGATCAAAAATGGTGGAAATCTTAAAGGAGCAGGGCGGAGCCAATGAAATTAGTTTTAAGCCGATTTTAATAAAATAAATAGACGCTGTGCCTTTGAAAAACATCAAGAGCATTTTTTTTGCTAAGAAAATCCCCAATGCTCACAAACAACTTGCAAGCTATTTTGAAGGCGCAGGGCCAAATTAATCGCTTCGAGACCCTTTATTTCTCGTTGAATGCTGCGCCTTTGAATCAATCGGAGCGGATTTTCGAGAAAAATGTTTCACGTAAAGATCTAATTTTCTTTCAAAACGAACCTCCACGAAATTCCTCAGATACGCAGGATCCATGAATCCATCGGAAATGAGTCGAATGGCTGGGGTGAAATGGGCGGTCAAGGCTATCAAAGTCGGCAAAGAATGGTCGGCAAATCGTGAAACGACTAGCCAACGTAGGGGAAGGGCTGCCACCTGTGAAGTGATGCTCATTGTACGACTTCCCAGCAAGCAGAGGTTCTGTAAATATTTATGTTTAAACCTTTTTTTTTTGGGAAATCTGGGTTCTATATCGCGTTGGAAACACAGGAAATTCAAAACTTTGGGGAAAAGATCAATATTATAAAAATTCTCCATAGAGCGCCATTTCTCTTGACGTCACGGCTATTTTTCTTCCAATCGAGTTTTGATCAAGTACTAAGCTTTTCTAGGACAAAAATAACATTTTCGTTTCTTTTTCACTTGGAATTGAACATGATTAATAAATTTCGGGAAAAAAGACCATTTTTGAGAACTTTCAGTTAGAATGCGAATTTTTTAGGCGCCCGGCCCACGCCCGCGAATTTTTTTTTGGGAAAAATGAGGTCCTACGGCTATTTTTTCTGTCTCTTTTCGCCCGCGGCTCATTTTCCCCAACCTTCTTTTCATTATAAATTTTTTATTTTCCTTCATGATCGAATAAATTTTCCTAGCTTCTTTTGAGAAAGGGGTTATTCAACAATATTCAAAAAAAAAAAATTATTATAAACTCCCTCCGTAGTTCCTTAACTCAAAAATTCTCTACAGAGCATACTTTCCCGCCTTTTAACGGCTATTTTTCCAATTTTTTTCTGCTTCTTCCAACTACCCTCTTCTCAAATCAGCTACAACCAGTACCCCTAATATACTTTGAGCTTTCTCCCTCTTTTGGCCCTTTCCCAGGCGTCATTGGCCTTAGTACGAGCGTCACTGCCTCTGTATCTCTAACCAGAAACGCCCGCGCATCGATTAAAACCAAAAAATTTGTTTCTCGTCTTCTCCCGCACAAATTTGCAACAAAACAATAATGTCTTCAAAGGCCCTGAGTCTGCCTCCCAATTACCACCTATACTTAAGGGATGTCGTACAATTTCTGGAGAAAAACGAGGTTTGTGAGGATTTTTTTTTTTGATTTTTAGGGATCCCAGTAGCCGAGAAGCTTCAAAAAAACGCATTTACTACGGTTTTGTGAATCAAAAAACTTGAAAAAGCGAATTTCTATCAAAAAATGTGCGCATTTTCGTGAGAAATGTAGTTACCTTGTTCAAACTTTCGCTTTCAAACATGAACTCTTGATGTCAAAATACTGATCCTGTACTTTTCCAAGGGGAAAACCGCCATTCCTTCTTTCCAAGATTTAAAAAAAATCTTTGACAGTCCTGAAGCTGGCTGTAACTTAGATTCTCAAATTTTTTCATTCGTACATTTTCTTATTGCTGAGTCACACTTAGAATGGTTCAAAGTGCCGCTTTTAAAATATTGAATACCTCAGAGCCTTGTTCAAGCTTTCTCATGTGACAGGGCGTAATTCGTTTTTGGTCGGGCGCAATTATTAAAACAGTCATTCTAATCGCGAACATGTTCCTTCATGATCGGGTGGATAATTTATGAATTTTCCAAATATTTTTTTCAGGTTTGAAATGTGATCTTGAGAGACTTGACAAGCCATTTTGAATAGAAATTCTCTGGTCCTCTTGTTTTTGCTCACTATTTCGCAAAAAACTTTCTAAAATTTTTGAAAATCCTTACTCTGGTTTTCTGTACTAGCCGGAAAATGCTCGAAATGCTCATTTTTAGGGTTTCAAAACGACGACCCGAGGTTCGATGTACCAAACGGCGATCATTGGCGGGAGCACTTTGCTCGGAGGCCTGGCCGGCGGGAGAAATGGGGGACTTTGGGGTGCCCTTTTCGGCGCCGTTGCGGGAATGTACCTCGTCGAGGACTATCAAGTAAAAATCCCCATTATTTTCTTTTGAAGAAAACTAAAATTTCCAGGGCATTCCCCAGCAAGTCATGCAGTTATCCGACTACGAAAAGAAACAACTTGTCGAAAAAGTAGGTTCAATTTTTTTTTAATATTTTGGCTAAGGATGCCAAAATTCATTTGAAATCCTTGAAAATCCCGTAAGACGACAAAATAGCCGTCTTACTTTGGAGAAAGTGCGCCCCAGAGATAATTTGTTTTTTTTCGCGTCTTTTTTCAGTCAGTGATTGATTATCTTTTTAGGAAAGTGCGCTCCAGGGATAATTTGTACTTTTTGCGTGTTTTTTGTCAATAATTGACTTTTTCTTGAGGAAACTGCGCTGCACGGACCATTTTACTGACTTTTTTTGCGTGTTTTTAGTCACTAAATCATTTTTCTTGAGAAAATTGCGCTCTATGGATAATTCGAAAGTTTGCGTTTTTCTAGTCACTAGTTCATTTTTCTTAGGGAAATTGCGCTCCACGGACAATATCTACTGTTTTGCGTGTTTTTAGTCATTAAACCATTTTTCTTGGAGAAATTGCGCTCCACGGACAATATCTACTGTTTTGCGTGTTTTTAATCATTAAACCATTTTTCTTGGAGAAATTGCGCTCCACGGACAATATCTACTGTTTTGCGTGTTTTTAGTCAATAAATAATTTTATTGAGGAAATTGAGCTCCAGGGATAATATGAACTGTTTTGCGTGTTTTTAGTCATTAAACCATTTTTCTTGGGGAGATTGCGCTCCAGGGATAAAGTGTCCTTTTTGCGTATTTTTAGTCACTAAATCAATTCTCTCGGGAAAGTTTGCTCCAGGGTTAACATGAAATTTTCGCATATTTTTTAGTCACTGGTTCATTTTTCTTGGGGAAAACGCGCTTCAGGGATAATTTTTACTTTTTACGTGTTTTTATAGTTTCTATTAGAGCCTCGGCAAAGCAAATCGGACGTTTCTCAGCAACCTCAAGGGGTCACTTGAGAGTGACCGCTAAAGTGATCCCTAGAAACGCTCAGAAACGTCCGAGAAGCGTCCGGTTTGCATTACCGATGTTCAAATAGTTACATTTTTTGAAAAAGGCAAATTTCCAGATAACAAAGGCGGTCTGTTCGGTCAAATACTCGGACTTTCTCGATTGGGTCGTACTGGACAACAATAAATTCGAAATCGCCAGTCTGATGATAATGGCCGTCCAACATGTGGCTTCAGAGTGATATCCGAAAAATGCATTAATTTTTAAAAAAAATTGGTCGATTTTGTGGTGAAACTGATCTTCAAACTTCTCTTGTATTTTCGATTTGTTCATATCCTAATAAATTATTTGGAAAGAGCCCAAAAACTTGAAAATGTCAAATGATTGAAAAACCCTCAAGGGCCTGCTCAAAATAGACCGCGAAAACTTCAAATTCAAATTTTTTGGATCATTCCCCTTAGACCTTCTCCATAAAAAAAAGGGGGCCTTTTTATGAGCCAAGTGATCCCTTAAGTACAAAATTGAGTTTTTCGGTTCACATGAACTCAAAGCTTGAAAATGTCAACATATTGAATAAACCCTTAAAGACCTACTCTAAAGAGCTCGCGAAAACTTCAAATTCAAACTTTTTAGTCCATTCTCTAAAAGCCGTTTCTCTATGCCCTTTTTTACTGACTCAAAACTCAAACAAGGCCTTTTTTGAGGGCCAAGTGGTCCCTTAAGTAAAAAAATGAGTTTTTCGATTCACATGAATTTAAAGCTTGTAAAATGCCAACTGATTAAGAAATCACTCTAGGGCCTGCTCAAAATAGCCCGCGAAAACTTTAAATTAAAATTTTTTGGATCATCCCCCGTAGACTTTCTCCATATGCACATTTTTAACGACTTAAAATTCAAACAGGGCCTTTTTTGAGGGCCAAGTGGTCCCTTAAGTAAAAAAATGAGTTTTTCGATTCACATGAATTTAAAGCTTGTAAAATGCCAACTGATTAAGAAATCACTCTAGGGCCTGCTCAAAATAGCCCGCGAAAACTTTAAATTAAAATTTTTTGGATCATCCCCCGTAGACCTTCTCCATATGCCCATTTTTAACGACTTAAAATTCAAACAGGGCCTTTTTATGAGCCAAGTGGTCCCTTAAGTACAGAATTGAGTTTTCGCTTCACATAATTTTAAAGCTTAAAAATGTCAACTAATCAAGGAATCAATCAAGGGCCTACTCCGGGGAGCCCGCGAAAAATTGAATTCAAACTTTTTGGGTCATATTCTAATAACCGTTTCTTTATGCGCTTTTTTAAGGACCCGAAATTCAAACAGGGCCTTTTTTATAGATCAAGGAATCTCTTGAGAATTTCATTGACTGAGTGACCCCTTAAGTGAAAAAGTTCGGTTGAATTTTAAAGTTTAAAGCTTAACAAGGTCAACTCTTCTATGCCCTTTTTTGAAGGCTTAAAAAAACTTCCCGCTTCTTTTTTCAATGGATAAGTGACCTCTTAAGGGTAAAAAACGCTTATAAATTTTTTTCCCACGTATCAGCCAAACGTGGGAGCCAACAACTTTTCTAAAAATACTTCAAAATTGTCCAAATTCCCATGATCATTTCCCAGGCTTATCAGATCTAAAAATATTCCCGATAACCGACCTGATTTCCCGCGTTCGCAAAACACGCGATAAATTCGAGAAGTTTGACGAGCTCTGCTTCAGACGTCGTGAAATTGTTCGAAGACGCGGGATTTTGGCGATGTCGCGCATTTTTCGGTGGTTCAGACGCGGTGGCGGCAGAAATCGCAGATCGAAGGACATTTGATAGGATCAGGCGAATCATTAAGGCATTTTGCCCATTTTCAACGATCGTCTGGAATAAAATGATGATCCTCTTTCAAAGCATTTTGAAGCAAAAAAAATTATAGACCCTATCCATCACAAGCTTGACCTCCAAAAAGGGTACTTTAAAGGTTTCGAAAAACTTGGTATCCTACTCCAAAAATATCCCAAAAGGTTTTAGGTACCCTTTTTTCGAGAATCAGTTGGTTTTTCCGGTTTTTTGAGCAACGTGTTAGACGCTTCAGTGCCTAGCGAAACTTCAAAGTGGTCTCTATAGGGGCAACCTCAAAGGCCCTTGAAGCTTTCCCTCTAGGGATCACTTTGATTCCTCCTATAGGACTGAAGCTTGCAAAAGTGACCACTTTCGGAGTTTTAAGTAGTGGCCACTCTAGGGGACAGTCTTCTCAACTTTCAAAGCCTAAAAAAAAAAAACTTAAACCACTATAGGGCCCACTTAAGCTTCAGGGATTCAGGGGTCGGACTTTTAACCCCTGTAGGGACCATCTAAACTTACCTCTATAGGGGTTTTATTCTCCCTAACCCCTATAGAGACTACTTTGGCGTTCCTAAAACTCTCCAACAGAGAAATTTCTCTTGCAACTTGATAAATTTCAAAGTTTTGACCCTCATTCCCGAAATGAACGAACTTTCCAAACGTCCTCGAACTTCAAATCACTGGACAAGCTTTCTAAGGCCCGGACAACGATCACGGCAACATCGGTGGCGATTTTCTGATCCCTGGGACCATTTGAAGCCGATCGACCGCATTTTAAAGCGTGTTCCAGGGCGATCCTCATGAAAGTCGAGTAGAGAAGACGGCTGAACTTCCATCAATCAATGAATCAATCAATATCAATCGATATTGTTCAAAAAATTCAACTAAACATCGTTTTTGTGAAAATTCTGGTTTTTTTTTTCTTGCAATCTCCAAAAAACACTGAAGAACTTAGTGTTACAAAATTGATTTTTTTCATATTCCATTCTGAAAAATTCCACCTTCTAACCTAACCTACTATCAGAAAAAAATTGAAAAAAATAAAAGATTTTAGAGATTATTTCACTCCATACCGTGCGAACAAGCAACATTAAAAAATGTTTTGTAAATACTGATTTTGAAACTGTAAACTTGCGTAGAACGTCTAATTTTTCAGTCCTAGCTGAAAAAATCAAAATTCTCTGATTTTCAAGTCAAATAGTTGTAAATTTCTCGCTTTTTAAAGCATGAATTTATTTCTGAGACCATAAATTTTTCCTTCTCCGAATCATAATCTGAAACAATTTCACTTGAAAAATCCATTATTTGAGTCGAAAAGCAAGGAAAAATGGTGATTGAAGCAGAAAAATCCAAAAAAACCTCAATAAAAAAAATCAATATCACTCTTAAAAATTTATTTAAATCATTTTCGAACTGATAATTTCAACTATTTCACTACAGAAACTCAAAAATTTACCCATTATTCGAGTCGAGAAGCAAGGAAAAAAAGAGTATTGAGGCGGGAAATCAAAGCGACGCCATTGGTGGCTTCCACCGCGGCGACGATCGTTGAAGATTTCAAGGAGCATCGGTAAAATCTGAAAGAAATTCTTCGTGTCTCGGAAGGCGATACTTTAGTTACTTGCGTTGCGGTCGCGACGCGGTTTTTGGCGGGAAAAACGAGTTCAAAAAAGAAAAAATTATTTTTCGAGTCTCGATCTTTGGAAAATGTGGCCAAAAGCTAGAATGATGAGAAAAAAAACCATTGAAAAACTATCCGAAAGGCGGCTTAATTTTAATTTCATTTTCCCGCCAAAAACCGCGCCGCGACCGCAACGCTTCTCTATTGTATAAATGCGCATTTCAATTTTTTACAACTTAATTTTTTCCGCATAAAACATGAAAACCATTGGGATACTATGAAAAAAAGAAAAAATACGGCTCAAATTTGAATTTTTCTTTTCCCGCCAAAAACCGCGCCGCGACCGCAACGCCTCCTTACATGCGCATCTCAGCCTTTTTTAACCTATTTTTGCCGCATAAAACTTAAAAATCATGGAGATACTACGAATAAAGAAAAAAAGACGGCTCAATTTCAAATTTTCATTTTCCCGCCAAAAACCGCACCGCGACCGCGACGCTTCAAAACTGCCCAATTCTTCAAATTTCTGACCCGGCGATGACGTCGATGGTCTCCGGAGCATTGGAATCGAGACTTTTGAGCTCTTTCCAGGTTTTTTGATCAGTAGAAGTGGAAATTCGGCCGACTACAGTTTGAAGAAGGGCATTTAGAACGTCCAGAAGGGCCGAAAGCTGCGGCGCCGTTGGTTCGTTCTGTAATAGGACTTTGAAAAATTCAGAATTTTCAAAAATTGAGACTTTGAAAGATCCCTCTATGCTTCGAAGTTCCAAAATTCCTTAAAAAATGGTAAAAACCAGGCATTTTTCACTTATTTTCATGGGTTCCAAGCCTTTTTTGGGACAGAAAATACGACGAATTACCGTTAAAAGATGGACAATGAGTTCAACGATTTTCATCAATTGATTCTGATAGAGAATCGTGTAGGCGACGCGGATATCCCGGACGAAAAACGCTCAAAAAAAGTGAGCGTATTTGACGCATAATCTGAGAAAAAAATTGATTGAACGAGTTTTTTTTTATTTTTTTAAATTTTTTTGAGAAGAGGAGTAGTTCAAATTTATCAATGGAACGCAGATTCTTCCCCTGACCTTCTTAAAACTAAACTCGTGAGGAAAAATACACTAAAATTTCCTACTGATTTTTCAAATTTATCAATGGGGCGCACTTGATGAAAACTTAAGGCCTTTTTAGTCTCATTAAGGACTAGTTAAAATGCGCTTTTTTCTCACAATTTTTGAAAAATGCGATCGAAACTAATTTTGAAAAGACTTTTGCACCTCTAAAACATCAAAATTCAATATTTTCAGCATTCTCAATGGGGCGCACTTGAAATGACGCATTTTTTTACCCAATTTTTTTCTATCAACATCTTGAGAAAAGCTTGCCTTCCTGACCTTTTTAAAACTAAACTTGTGGGAAAAATACACCAAAAAAACAATTTCCTAGTGATTTTTCAAATTTATCAATGGGGCGCACTTGATGCGAATTTTAGGCCTTTTTAGTTTCATTTTTTTTTTCGACCTCAGAGAAATATTCATCAATAACTCAAAACATTAAATTTCGTTTTTATTCCTGCTCAAAAACCGGAAAATCTACTTTGAAGCCTGATTCTCAATGGAGCGCATTTGAACTCAATTTTCAGCCGTTCATTCTCATTCCTTACAGCAATGTTATTATTCATCAATAACTAAAAACATTAATTTTCGCTTTAATTTCTGCTCAAAACCGGAAAATCTACTTTGTAGCCTAATTCTCAATGGAGCGCATTTGAACTCCATTTTGAGCCAAATATAAATTGTAGCCTATTTCTCAACGGAGCGCATTTGAACTCAATTTTGAGCCACATTTAAATTGTAGCCTAATTCTCAATGGAGCGCATTTGAACTCCATTTTGAGCCAAATATAAATTGTAGCCTATTTCTCAACGGAGCGCATTTGAACTCAATTTTGAGCCACATTTAAATTGTAGCCTAATTCTCAATGGAGCGCATTTGAACTCCATTTTGAGCCAAATATAAATTGTAGCCTATTTCTCAACGGAGCGCATTTGAACTCAATTTTAAGCCATCTTTAAATCGAAGCCCATTTCTCAGTGGAGCGCATTTGACCTCAATTTTGAGCCACATTTAATTTGAAGCCTAATTCTCAATGGAGCGCATTTGAACTCAATTTTAAGCCATCTTTAAATCGAAGCCTATTTCTCAGTGGAGCGCATTTGACCTCAGTTTTCAGCCACTTCTATTTTTTGTACTATGTTTTGTAAATGGCTCAAAACCATCAAATTCCGTATTTTCTTTTGCTCAAACGCTAAAGTGAAGCTTAATTCTCAATGGAGCGCATTTTCCCCCAAATTTAAGCCACTTCTTCAAACCTTAATGAAGTACTATTTTTTGTCCAAGCCAACAAAGCGTCGCAAATCCTCAAAACGCCGCCGACGGCACAAAGTTGCTCAGCCGTGATCGCCGACTCGTTTCCATCGGATTTCTTCAAAAATTCATATGATTTTTCATAAAAATGATGGCTTTTCCACCTCGAAAGACGACAAAAGGTCGCCCAAAACCTTCTCCATCGACTTTTGAGTCGTTTCATCAACAATGGAACACCCAGACATCTAAAATTGATTTTTTAAAATGTTAAGTAGAAAAAAAACCTTGTCGAAAATATTCGCGATATCGCGAATTTGTCGCAGACGCGCCCGCGGCGATGAGAGCGGCAGGGGGACGGCGGTTCGAGTTTGGCTTGAAAAAAATTTCGTTTCCACTGGTCATTTCGAATAAATTTATGATTTTTTTGTGAGAGAAATTTCGCGATTTTGAAAAAGTTAATTCAATAAAATCTTTGAAAAAAACTGGATTTTTGATGAAAAAAATGGATCAAAAAGTCAGTATATTTTTCCAAAAATCTTACCATAAATTTTTCCAGGAAACTTTACATGGGCTCAAATGTTCGATATTAATAAATTTTTTTGAAGAAAAAACCAGTGACATTTAAAAAAATTCAAAAAAATCTCGCTGAAAAAAACCTTCGAAATTACGTATTTTCCGTAAGAAACTGAAAAAAAGTCATCATTTTTTTAGTTTTTCCCACTTTTTGAAATTCAGTTTATTTTTTTCACAAAAATTCTTCGTTTTGAAGGTTCTCAGTTCCTTAAAAAAATCAAATTCTGACCAAGAAGAAAAAAATATAATGAACATTTTTTTCTATATAAATCCTGTTTTTTTCCGGCTTAAAAATCTCCCATTTCATTCATTTTCTTTCACAATTTTTTTCTACATATTTCTCAAAAATTTTTCTTACTTTCTCATAAAAACTCTTCGTTTTTTTAAGGCACCTATTTAAAAAAACAAATTCTGACCAAGAAAAAAATAGATTATGAGGGTATTTCCATAGAAATCCTGTTTTTTTAAGCTCAAAAAGTTATTTTTTTGAAACTCACATTTTTCAATTTCTTTCAATTTTTCTACTTATTTTCTCAAAATTTTTTTATTTTCTTATAAAATTCTTCGTTTTGAAAGTACCCAATTTTTTAAAAACAAATTCTGAGCAAGAAAAAAAGTATTATGACGGTTTTTCCATAGAAATCCTTCGTTTAGGTCTAAAATTTCACATTTTTTTCATTTCTTTCAATTTTTCTACTTCTTTTCTCAAAATTTCCCTATTTTCTCATAAAAAAATCTTCGTTTTGAAGGCACCTATCTTTCGAAAAATCAAATTCTGACCGAGAAGAAAAATATAAAGAACATTTTTTTCCATATAAATCCTGTTTTTTTCCGGCTTAAAATCTCTCATTTTATTCATTTTATTTCACAATTTTTTTCTACATTTTTTTCTCAAATTTTTTTCCCATTTTCTCATGAAATCCTTTTGTTTTTGAAAGTACCCAATTTTTTTGAAAAACAAGTTCTGAGCAAGAAAAAAAGTATTATGACGGTTTTTTTCCACAGAAATATTTTTCGGCTTAAAATCTCACATTAAATTGTCTTTCTTTCAATTTTTTTCTACATTTTCCTTAAAAATTTTCCCTGTTTTCTCACAAAAATCCTTCGTTTTGAAGGCACCTAGATTTAAAAAAATCAAATTCTGACCAAAAAAAGGGATTTTTTTTAAAATAGAAACCATGCATTTTTCGGCCTAAAAACTCACAGTTTGTTCATTTTCTCGGTGGCATTGGCCAAGTTTTCATCGCCATCCAAAAAATTTCCGGTTTCGATTTTTTCCAGCGGCGCTGTTTTCAGTTGCACGAGGGCATCTTCCTGTTTTTTCTGGAATTTTTTTCGATCACAAATTCCAAAAAACTACTGACATAATCCGAAATTTTGCAGGAAACTTTCAGGGTTTTCGATTTTTCAACGTGATTTTTCGATAGGAGATGAGCCATGACGTCGAATTCCGAATTAAGCTGAAAATTTCGAGGTTTTCCTTTTCGAGGTTTTCCCATTTTTCAGAGAAATCTCTCACCTTGACCTGACAAATCTTGCAATTTTTCGTGAAATTCAAAGATTTTTGGCTCGGCCAGTGTGCGGGGTCGACAATGGCGGACCACCTAGAAACTCTTTTATGATGAGGAGAAAAATAATTATACTGTTGGCGATAGTACCAGCCCTTATTTGTGACGAATTTGGTCGCATTTGGAATGGCTAAACGTGTCAAAACTGTGTTGCGCCCGACTCGAAACGACTTCCGCGTTTCGGTATTTCAAATCTTTCAAATTGATCCGCAAAACGTCAAGCCATTCCAAATGCGACCAAATGTCGTGAAGCTCCTACTTCTATCCATTTCGGCTACCTTATTGTCCCAGAAACTTGAAAAACTCTCATTTCTCTAGGCGCTTTTATCTTCGCGCGCTATTTTTACGTTTTTTGCGCGGTAGAGCCATTCCAAATGCGGCTAGAAGTCGTGAAACGCTTCTTCCCCTCTATTCTGCACGCTTTCTATTGCAAAAACTGACAAACGCTCTTTTCTCTACGCGCTCTCGTCTTCAAGTACTATTTTCATGCTTTCACGACCTCACCGACGAGAGAAAAGAGAGCGCAGACAGGTCAGTCATTTTTTCCACCTACTTATCCGTATTCCCCTTGACCGCCACCGGCTCATTCGTCATTGCGGCGACCATTCCGAGCAATTTCCCGACGACATTTTCCACTTCATTTCTCGTCGAACTTCTCCGTCGTTTCAGCGATATTCGGGTTCGTCGGAATCACAGAAGCCTTGGGTCCATTTTTGGTCGATTCCCGTTTGATTCGCTTCTTTTCCTCCTGTTCGGCGGCTCGTTGGGAGATCCTCGCCTCTTTTTCCACCACCAAACTTTTCAGTCGGTTTTCTCGGGCCTGAAAAATTAGGCTTTCCATCATTAGAAGCATATAAATAGCTTGAGAAAATAGGAGAAAAAAAAACCAGAAAAATAAATTTTCTCCCCGTAGAGCGGGCAAATCGCTCCAACAAGGGCCAATTTTGAAGCAATTTTGGAGCAATTTTGAAGCCATTTTGAGGCCATTTTGAAGCAATTTCGAATTCATTTTTAAGCAACTCTGAAGCTATTATGAGGCAATTTTGAAGCCATTTTGAAGCCATTTTGAGGCCATTTTTAAGCAACTCTGAAGCTATTATGAGGCAATTTTGAAGCCATTTTGAGGCCATTTCAAAGCCATTTTGAAGCAACTCTGAAGCTATTATGAGGCCATTTTGAGGCCATTTTGAAGCAATTTTGAAGCCATTTCGGAGCCATTTTGAAGCCATTTTGAAGCTGTTTTGAAGCGATTTTAAAGCCATTTTGAGGCGATTTTTAAGCCATTTTTTAGGAATTTCGAAGCCATTTTAAAGGAATTTTTAAGCAATTTTGAAGCAGTTTTGAAGCCATTTTGAAGCCATTATGAAGCCGTTTGGAAGCAATTTTGAAACAATTTCGGAGCCATTTTGAAGCCAATTTTAAAGCCATTTTGAGGCTTTTTTTAAAGCCATTTTGAAGCTATTTTGAAGCCATTTTGAGGCGATTTTTTAAGCCATTTTGAAGCTATTTTAAAGCCATTTTGAGGCGATTTTTTAAGCCATTTTGAAGCCATTTTGAAGCACTTTTGAAACCATTTTGAGGCCATTTTGTAGCCATTTCGAAGCGATTTCGAAGCGATTTTGAAGCCATTTCGAAGCCATTTTAAGGCGATTTCTAAGCCATTTTTAAGCAATTTCAAAGTCATTTTGAAGCAATTTCGAACTAATTTTGAAAAAATTACAATTTCCAAGTCATTTCGGAGCAATTTTGAAGCCATTTTGAATCAATTTTGAAGTCATTTCGAAGCAATTTTGAAGCCATTTTGAATAAATTTTGAAGTCATTTCGGAGCAATTTTAAAGCCATTATGAAGCCGTATGGAAGCAATTTTGAAGTCATTTTGAACCAAGTTTGAAGTCATTTCGGAGCAATTTTTAAGGAATTTAAAACCTATTTCGAAGCCATTTTGAGCCATTTTTAAGCCATCTTCTACACAATTTTCAAGAATTATTTCTCCGATTCTCCCCCTCAAAAACCTCCTACCATGGCGACTTCTCGTCGGCGCGCAACTGCCGCCGCTTCTTTCGCCGCTTTTTCTTCCATTTTTCGGGCCCTTTCGTCGGCCAACTGCTTCTTCTTCTCCTGAATATTCAAAAAATTGCTTTTTTCGTTATTTCCATGAGAAAACCTCATGAGAAGCGTCGTCGGAGCGAGTTTTCATCATCAATTCGTGGCGTTTGGCGTCGCCTTGCAAGGTGTTGATGAACAAAACTTCGTGTACCTTAAAAAAAATTCCGTTTTTTTTTTTTTTCAAAAAAAATTTCCAGTAAAGTTCAATGTTTCCTCGTACAATTAAAAATTCATTCCTTAGCCATTATCAAAAAGTCCACGGTCCGAAAATTCTGAACTTAGGGGCACAATTTTATGCTTGAAAGCCTTTAAATTTCCAATTCATAAAAAAAAAGGTTTTTAACAGATTATGAAGAAGTAAAAAAGCGAAAAAATTCATTTTTCGAGAATCTTTCCAGGGGTTGCAGAAGTTTTACATGAGCCAGAAGAAACACTGTAAATGGCTATTCGTCTCGAGACCCTTATAAAAACCTTCTTGCTTCTTTAAGAGCCTTAGTGAGGATTCCCAACAAAGTTTTTAGCATCTTTTAAAATTTCAAAACAATTTTCTAGGGTAAGGATAAGATTCCTTCAAAAGCTCATTGAAATTCAGTTCTTTAACAAAAATTATCGATTAGATATGTGAAATATTCCTTACAAGTTGAGGTAAAAACTAAAAAGAATTGCGTTCATCTAATACTGAAGAAAAAAAAAAGTTTTTGACATTCTATGACAATTTTTATATACTATACAAGCGGCTCTATCTTCTGTCATTCATTTTTTTCGAATTTTCTGAAAAAAAATCACTTTCTGATCGTCATCCTTGGCTTTGCGGACGATTTCCGTCAAATGGGTTTCCCGATTTTCCGTCGCCCTTTGCATACGTTCTTCCAGCAATTTCCGCTTTTTCTCCTGGATCGCCAACTTCTTCGCGCGCACTTCTTCGACCTTAAAGAGAATCATTTAAAAATTTATAATAAATTCAATCTTTTTTTCACCTTATTTTCCAACACCTCTGAGATCTATAAAGGCGTAAGAGTCTTGCGATAGTTCAAAAGAAAAATATTCATCTTAATAATTTTCGAAATTTTTTTCCATGCTCCTTTAAGAACCTCCGAGAGCATTTCTCAACACACTTTAAAGGCGCAGGGAGGCAAAAAAGCTCTAAAAAATCAAGTTCAATCACGAAAATATTTATGGATCGTTTAGGAGTTTTTTTTAGAAGAGCATAAAACTACGAGACCTAAAATAACACTAGGAAAAGCTTTTCGCTTCGAGACCCTTACAAAATTTCGTCAATGTTTGTTTCAAAAGTTTTTTTCTGAGGCTTTTAAAGGAGCATACGCCTGCGAAATCCAAAGCTTTTCGTCCTGAGACCTTTAAAAATTTCGTGTATGCTCCTTTAACACTTTGTCCAGAAATTTAAGGGCACAGGGGCAAAAAAAGATAAAATTCCAGGAAATAAGTTTTTTGAAGAAATACTTTTGAAGGTTTTAGAAAAAGAGGGCTTCAATGTGTAAAAGGTTCTCTTTCAGGAGATCTGCTAGAAATTAGTCCATGCTCCTTTAAGCACTCCAGCAAGGAATTTGTCAACAGACTTTGAAGGCGCAGGGCAAAAAAAGCTCCAGAAGATGAATGTACTACTGCAATCATTTACCCTTTTAGTGAGCTCTTTAACTCGAGCCGCCCTTTCTTCCTGCAATTGGCTTCGAAGCTCATCAGCTCTTCTCAGCTTCTCCTCGTGCCTCCTGCCGAAATCGTCGTCGTCTTTGTCACACCTAAAAAATTCGATAAAATACACTGACGCCTTTTTGAAAAAGTTTTTTTTTTGATATTTTTATTGGATCTGTGATGATGCGAAATAATTTTCACTAAAGGATGCCTTCTGAACTGGCGCCAAAACCGCATCGCGACCGCTTCGCAAGCAAACTACTGCAAAGCCATTCCAAATGCGGCAAAAAAACTGCACACGGCTCATTTTCCACATGTGATCTACTTAAAGCACTCTTTCTCGGACTATAGTCTGTTCAGATTTTAAATTTCGAGTCCTCGCTCAAGCTCCGCCCCTAATTGCGCGATAAACCAGTCAGAGAGCGAGCCATCCACGAGCGTTTTCAAATGACGTCATTGCACTTGACATTCAAAATCTGAACGGACTATAGGTGCGCAATTTTCCGATGGCGCACCAAGTAACGTTATTTCATATCGCCTATTCTTCATCACTTGAAAGTGCGGAAAATTTCTCTGCGCCCTCTTTCTCTCTCGGCGGCTCTCTCATGTTTCCATGTTATTTCCGTGTTTCTCTGATCTCGCCGGTGAGGTTATAGAGAGACGCAGAAAGGATGAAAAATACAAGTCGCGTGAGAATTTCGAATCAAGCTCAAACCGCAGCGTTTTGAGCCATTCTAAATGCGGTCAGAGCTCAAAAAAAGCTGTCAACGGCTCATTTTTCATAAATTTCTACTCAAAACACCCTACTTCCAACTGGGGCTGCTCTTGTTCTCATTTCTACTGATCTTAGTGACATTATTTTAGGTCAAACTCTGCTAGAATCAATAAAACTTGAGAATGTTTCGATTCAAATCTAAACCGCGCCGTTTTGAACCATTCCAAGTGCGTCCGGAGCCCAAAAAAGCTGTCTACAACTCATTTTTCCCAAAATTCTACCTGAAACGTATTTCCTCCGTCTGGAGATTCTTATTTTCTCGTGCCTAATGAAAATTTTCAACTAAACTTCATTGAAAACTGCGCCTTGAGCCATTCCAAGTGCGACCGGAGCCCAAAAGATCTGTATCCGGCTCATTTTTCACAAATTTCTTCCTGAAACATTCCTCCTACGACTGGGGCTGCTCATTTTCGCATTCATATCCATCCTAGTAATATTATTTCAGGTCAAACTCTTCTAAAATCAATATAACTTGAGAGTTTTTCGATTCAAACTGATGTCTGAGCCATTCCAAATGCGACCATGACCTCAAAAAAGCTGTTTCCGGCTCATTTTTCACTCAAAGTACACGCAGAACACCCTTTCTGCGACTGAAGCTTCTTATTTTCTCATGTCTAATGGTCCCAGTCATGATATTTTCAACTTAACTCCATTCAAAACTGCGCTCTGAGCCATTCCAAGTGCGATCAGAGCCCAAAAAAAGCCTTCTACGACTCACTTTCTACAAATTTCTACTCAAAACACCCTTCTTCTGGCTGGGGCTGCCCATTTTCTCATGTCTAATGAATATCTTCAACTAAACTCCATTCAAAACTGCGCTCTGAGTCATTCCAAATGCGACCAGAGCCCAAAAAAACGCTGTTTACGGCTCATTTTTCACATAAAATTACGCCCAAAACACACTTCCTTCGATGAAAATTCTCATTTCATGACATTTTTGGCCGATACTTTTCCGAACCGGGATTTTCCGAATCGAAATCCGAACCGATACTTTTCCGAACCGTACTTTTCCGAATCGGGTGTATACTTTTCCGAACCCAAATTTATTATGCTTTTCCGAATCGTAATTCAATTAATTCTTTAGGTGGTACCGTCATTTTCAATCCGATTCTTTATAATTTTTTTCCTAGAGTGCAGCCTTCCGTCTGACCATTTTCGAAACTCGAATAGGATTCATTTTTCCTCGAGTGCTCTTTCAGAAACTTTTTTTCTTGGTTCTTTCGATTTCAGAACGGACTGTGGCATAGCCAATGCCAACGGTCCGCTCTGAAGTTGACTGGCCCAAAAGTTTCTGAAAAAGCACTCGCGGATTTAAAGTCCTTCCTGCACACCGAAATTTCGAATCTTGTTTTCCAAGTTCAAATTTTTAAGACGAGAACGGGCCAGTCAACTTCAGAGCTGACCGTTGGCATTGGCGATGCCGCAGTCCGTTCTGAAATCGAAAGAACCAAGAAAAAAAGTTTCTGAAAGAGCACTCGAGGAAAAATGAATCCTATTCGAGTTTCGGAAATGGTCAGACGGAAGGCTGCACTCTGGGAAAAAAATTATAAGGAATCGGATTGAAAATGACGGTACCACCTAAAGAATTAATTGAATTACGATTCGGAAAAGCATAATAAATTTGGGTTCGGAAAAGTACACAACCGATTCGGAAAAGTACGATTCGGAAAAGTATCGGTTCGGTTTTCGATTCGGAAAATCCCGGTTCGGAAAAGTATCGGCCACATTTTTGACTAAATTGTGCGCTCTGAGCCATTTCAAATGCGACCATGACCCCAAGGATCAGTTGTACAGCTCTTTCTACCACGCAAAACCCACTTCCTCCGACTGGGGCTGCTCATTTTCTCGTGGCGTTCGACCAGGGTTCCAGGTTCATGAACAGGGCCCATCGGGACCGACTGGTTCATCAGCTCCGACCAGGCGACCGTCGCCAGCGTTTGCAGTTCTTCTGAAACAAACTTTTTCCTTTTTCTTTCCGAAAAAATTTTTCTGAACTTTCGAAAAGCTCTGAAAACCTTAAAAGATCTATTTTTCATTAAATTTTGGGTGATATGAACCAAAAATGAGCGAATTTTCCGACTTACTAGTATTGATGCCTACTACGAACCTTATAAATGGATTTTTTTTTTAATATAGGGACCACTTTAGCATGTTTTAGTGACTCCTATAGGGGTTAGTAAAGCTGTCCCTAAAAGATTCAAAAACACCTATGATGTCCCTATAGTGACCACTTTAGCGTTCTTAACCTCAAATTTCTGTATCTTATCAATCTGTCTTCCTTCTTGGCCATGTATGTGCTTTTAAATATTCATATAGGGACCACTTTTGCAAGCTCTAGTAGCCCCTACAGGGGTTAGTAAAGTGGCCCCTAAAGGAGAGTTTTCAAAAGCGCCTACTGTGTCCCTATAGGGACCTCTCTCACATTCCTAACTTCGAAAAAAACACATTATTCCAATTTTTTTATAAAAAAATTCTGAATCCTATCCACTTTTCTAATCATTATTATAAACTAAATAAATATATTTTAAAAAAACCTTGAAAAAGCCTTTGTAAAATCCCTCGTACTCCAATGGGGTGGCGTCCGATGGCGGCGGCATGAAATGGCGCATTTCTCGGGGATTTCGCGCCTCTTTTTCGGTTTCTCGAGACCTTTTCACGTTCCGGCGCTGGAAAGGTTCATTTTTATTGTAATTTCGATTTTCTATAACATTCTAACCAGCAGAACTATTAAAAATATTGAAAAAAAACCTTCTCCCTACGGTGAAGCTTCTCCAATTGGGCCGCTTCCGAGCAAACTTGTTTCTCCAGTTCGACGTCGAAAGAAAGGGATTCAGCCTGAAATTTGGGACACTAGTAACACTGCAAAAGACGGAAAACGGGTGCAAAATGGCCGCTAAAGGGGTTTCGTTTTGCGGCCTTTATTGAGCCTTTCTTTCTTGGCGGGCTAAAAATCTCAAAAAGGGTGAAAAAAGGGTCCAAAAAGGGTGCTGAAAGGGTTCCGTTTTGCGGCCTTTATCGAGCCTTTCTTTCTTGGCGGGCTAAAAATCTCAAAAAGGGTGAAAAAAGGGTCCAAAAAGGGTGCTGAAAGGGTTCCGTTTTGAGGCCTTTATTGAGCCTTTCTTCCTTGGCGGGCTAAAAAGCCTCAAAAAGGGTGAAAAAAGGGTCCAAAAAGGGTGCTGAAAGGGTTCCGTTTTGAGGCCTTTATTGAGCCTTTCTTCCTTGGCGGGCTAAAAAGCCTCAAAAAGGGTGAAAAAAGGGTCTAAAAAGGGGTGCTGAAAGACTCGGCCATTGATAATTTCCGATTTTGTTACTTACTGTAGCACATTTTGGTGCATACACAGCCCCTGGTAAAGATTCTCACATTGAAAACTTTTTGTTTCCAAAAAGGGTCCAAAAATGGTCCAGAAAGGGCCCAAAAAAGGTGGATAAAGGCCGATGAAAGGGTGGAAAAAGGCAGTAAAAAGGAAACCTTTTGCACCCATAACGGACCCTGAAAAGGTTCCTATGATAATATATGCAGGTTCGAAAAAAAAAGTTCAAAAAAATCAAAAAACTAGTTAAAAATATGAATCAAAAAGAAGTCAAAACATAAATTCTTCCGATAAACCTTGTAAATCATATTTCTGTTTCCATATCCTTCTGACTAAGTCTCAAATTAAAAAATTGTATTCTTGAGCAGTACTGTTTAAAAAAAAAAAAAAGAAGCCCCAGAGTGGTCACTATAGGGGTTAGGGGGAAAAAACAACCCCTATAGGGGACTGAAAAGTGCTCCCTATAGGGGCTTACGGTCAAATCCCAAGCACCTAAAGCTCAAGTGGTCCCTTTAGTGGTTTTTCGAATTCTCCTTCTTTTTTGAGTTAAAAAAAGTGATAATGAGGCGTATAAGCTCCCCTAGAGCGGTCATTATTCAAAACCCCTAAAGTTGCCACTTTTGAGAACCAAAATACCCTCAAGTTGCCTTTCTAGTGGCTACTCTGGCGTTCGAAATTTCGCAAAAAGTTGAAAAATCGAGAAAAAAATTATTTCTACGGAAAAATTCCTCATTTTTCAGAAAAAGTCCCTCAAATCTTTTTCCAAGACCGACCTTCTCGATCTCGAACTTCAAGCTGTTCTCCTCGAGAGCCAGCGATTCCTCCTCCTCGGTCATTTCCCTCCAGACGACGTCGTCTTCCACGAACGCCGCCGACGTCTCCAGAAGGAGTACAGCTGGGGCAGAAGTCGTCGAGCCTTCGACGAAATTAGAAGACGTGCTTCCGGGGGTCGGCGCTCGGAGCGACTGCGAACTGCTTGGAAGCTCTTTTCTGCAAAATTACTTCTTCAACACAAACTTTTTGTTGGGGTTGGTGATGAGCTTAAAGTGAAAGTTAAGAAAAACGATTTTTATTAAACTGATCGGGACATAATTTCAGCTGGCAGAGGTGAGCAAAAAACCCCCTTGCGAAAAATTTTTCTCACAAAAGCTAGCAGTGAACAATGTAAAACTGTCTAGTACGGCGCGAGAAAAATGCGGTGTCGCTGGCTTTCAACGATATCGCAAACATGTCGCACTATTTTCGCGCGTGTCTCGAACTTTTTATGACGCAACCTCGCTTTTGTAATCTACACAGAAAACATTTGAAATTTCCCTTAATGCTAGATCGCAGCGAGAAAAACGCAAGACCGGCACGGCTACCGAGACTTTCGCGATATCGCGGAAACTTTTCGAGAGCTTTCTTGTTCCTCACCGTTTCTCCTGGTCCAAGACCACCAGAAATGCATCCTTAATGCGGGATCGCGCTGAGAAAAATGCAAGATAGCAGGCGGGACTTTCGCGATATCGCCAAAAATTTTTGAGAGTTGTCAAAGGTCCTCACTGCTTCTCCTGGTCTAAGACCTCCAGAAGTTCATCCTAAACGCGGAATCGCGCTGGGGAAAATGCGAGCTACCAAGCAGGACTTTCGCGATATCGCGAAAAATTTTCGAGAGCTTCTAAGGGTCCTCACCGCTTCTCCTGGTCCAGGACCCGCAGAAATTCATCCTTAATGCGGGATCGCGCTGAGAAAAATGCGAGATAGCAAGCGACATTTTTGCGCATCGGTCTATCATGCGGGACTTTTGCGATATCGCGAAAACTTTTCGAGAGCTGCCAAGGTTTTCACCGCTTCTCCTGGTCCAAGACCTAGAGGGGTTCCGGACTCTTCGTCTTGTGAGCGAGCGATCTCGCATTTCTCTCGCACTCATTAAAAAATTAGAAAATTCCAAAATGCGATATCGCGCTAAGAAAAATGCGAGATAGCAGGCGAGACTTTCGCGATATCGCGAAAACTTTTCGAGAGCTGTCAAGGTCCTCACCGCTTCTCCTGGTCTAAGACTTCGAGAAGTTCATCCTATATGCGAGCTACTAAGCAGGACTTTTGCGATATCGCTAAAACTTTTCGAAAGCTGTCAAGGTCCTCACCGCTTCTCCTGGTCCAAGACTTCGAGGGGTTCGGGACTCTTTGGTTTGGGATCGGCCGGGACCTCGTCGCTGGTCATGCTCGTCGACATGAGCTCCTTGGCCTCGGGCGGGGCGGCCGAAGTGGCCGGCTCGTCGTTCTCGTTGATCGACTGCAGGGCGTGCTCGGCTTCCGGGGCAGCGACGGCCTTCTGTTTGTGTTGCTGCTGTCGTTTCTGTTGGGTGTAGGCCTCGACGCTTTTCCGGACGGCGAGGGGGTCGGCGAAGGTGAACCCGCAGGTGGATCTGGCCCGGGAGACGTGGGTTCCGGGCTCCGTGGTGGCCACGACTGTCAGGGAGGTCGAGGATTGGTGATGTTGAGTGTTGGTAGCGACCTGGAACTCACCAATGACTATTTTCCCGCCAAAAAAAGTTTGAAAGGAACCTTTTCGCGTTTCTGTCGAGCCCTCAGCTTTTCGTACAGCGCGTGTTGATTCTTCTCCCATAAAAGTTGACGACTGTAGGCCATTTTGGCCATCGAGGCCTGAAATACTTTAATTTTTTTAAAAATTCAACGGGAAAAAGATTGAGAATGGATGGACAGACCATTTTTCAAGCCCTCTTCCCAAGTTTTCCTAAATTAGAGCTTATAATACATCCCTGAGGCTAAAACTTAAACTTCTGTGGCCGAAACTACTCTCCTGAAGTTGAAACTTGATTATATTTTTTTGATTTTCCAACATTTTTTTGTAAGCCAACCGCTTCTCCCGGGCGGGTGGAGTTCTGAACTTGCCAATCTGCGAGATTGAGATCTCTTTTTCAATTTTTTTATTTTTTTAAATGAGCTCTCGTGAAATTTTAATGCATAAAAAAACTACTTGGCGTCAGAAATCGATAATTACGTTTGATTTTACGATGATCTCACAAATATTTATTTCGCAAATTGGATTAAAAATATAGTCGAATCGCAAAAACCTTTAATTTTTTATAAACTTCAATAAAACTTTGAAAAACTGTATTTTTTTCTCTGTTACAAAAAAATTACAGAAATTATTCGAAAAAAATCGGTGATTTCAAGCCTTTATTTGAAGACTTCTAACCCTTTTTTCTTGCTATAACGTCACCTTTTTTGATGAAAATTTTCTAGGGCCCCCAATTTCCCCTATTTTCCGCTAGTGTACTATTCTTTGTTGTTTATATGTGTTTTGAAAGGCGGAAAATCTGTAAACCCACAAGCAATTCTGGCTTGTGCGCTCTACCGCACAACTTTCTACACACTGAGACGTTGGTAACTCAAAACAGACGCGAATCGGAAGAGTCGGGTGAACTTTTAGTGACCACTTTAGTAACGTCAGCACTCTTGAGTGAACCCTAGAATTTCTCAGCAACTTCCGGTTTTCGTTACCGAGGTCCGAGCATGACTTCTATTCGCCTAATTTTTTTTTATTCCGGTGTTTGGTTGGTAACTTTCCTATTGGTATGATCAAACAATACATATTATATGAATAAAGTGAGCCCTGTTCAAAAGGATCGTATGAAAACCAGCCTTGGTCTGCGGAAGATCCATGGCGCTCCTGGGACAGGTCAATCTCGCAGAAGAAGTCGTAGTCGGGGAAGGGATGTTCCTGGAGGAAGAGGCCGAATATTTTCCGCGGCGACATGAAGACGATCCGATTCCAGATGATAGTCTCTCATATACATTCAATGGGACCGTGGGCGCCTGGAAAAAAATTCTTTCAAAAAACATTTTGGTTGAAATATAGCCCATTTCCACTATTTTTCTTTTTTCCGAGCTACAGAGCCCTTCCAGGAAGCTTCTCTTCGATTTGCGCGGCATATCTCTACGTATGCGCCTTTAATATAACCGAAGTTTTCAGTATATATCAAGCTTCAGAAATCGTCTCCGTGCATGCGCCTTTATTATAACCAAAATTTTGGGCTGAATCGAGTTACAGAACCTTTCCGGAAAGCTTCCCTTCGATTTTGCGCGGCATATCTTTATGCATGCGCCTTTAATAAAATGAATAATTAGGCTAATCAAGCTACAGTACCCTTCCCGTCGATGCGCCTGCGCCTTTTATAGTGGTTTTTTTAGGATTCAAGCTACAGTACCCCTTTCTTCGAGACCCTCTGCCTGTCTGCGTACTTGTGCCTTTAATATAACCGGATTTGTAGGCTAAATTAAATGCGCATGGCCATAAATAGTCCACGCGCATCGGGCGGAAGGGTTCTGTAGCTTTCAGAAAACAGGCGCGGAATCGGCTCTAGGCTGATTTAAAACGGACATAATCGCTCTCCAAGCTCATTTCGCGGTCGAATTCGCTGGCCGTCGTGGAACTGGCGCTTTTCCTCCGGCGACTTCGAACCACCTGCCATCCGTCTTCTGAAAACCGAAGATGAACATGGTTTTGGAACTTTCTTTCCGACCATGATGCTGTTCGGAAGCATTGGCGGCGGCGGCGACCACAGCCACGGCGGCGGCGGTGATTCTCGCGTAGGAGATATTGTTGGGATTCAGATCCTTGATGGGCAAATAGGCAGGAGAAGACTGATCCGAGGCGTCTTCCTTGGAGACATTGGCATTACGGACCGCTTCGGCCAGGACGGATCTTTAAAAGGAACGGGATTTGGACAAGAAACAGCAACTTCAAACATGAATATAGCCCATTCCGCGCCAACGTGTTCCTTTTTTCTCGCAAAAAATACTATGTTGATCAAATTTCACCCTTTTTCCGGTGGTTTATAAGAGCAAAAATGCAAAAAAGCTGTATTTATGATAGATTTTTTCCTAGTGTGCTTTTAAAACGTGCGAAGAGCACAATACACTCAATTTATTTCCAGAAAACACCAATCAAATGAAAATTGATCTATTTTGTCCACATTTTCTGATCGGAGAAGCTCAAAAAATGCGAATTTTGAAAAAATTTCTCTTTTGAACCGTTCTAGAGCTGAAAATATCCATTTTTTTCATTCTTTTCGATTTCTTCCTCTTTTTTTCAAGCCAAAATCGAAAAAACAGAGATTATATAATTTTTGGTCATTTTTTATATGATAGAAGCTCGAAAAGTGTTATTTTTTCGGGTTTCAAACAGTCCTAGTTTCAAAAATATGCACTTCTTCTGAGTGAAAAATTTTTTTCAAACTAATTTTTTGAACCAAAAAGTTCTCTCCTTCAAAATCCAAGCTTTGAACATTATTTTATTCTTTTATTCGCATTTTTCGCTCCTTTTTCTTATTTATTATCAAAAATCACGTTGGTTTAGCCCCAAAATACCCATTTTTTCTGCTGAAAAATTGTTTCTCTTGAGATTTTTCCAAGGTAAACGATTATTTCTTACAAAATTCGATTTTTATGCATCATTTTCTTATTTTCTATCCCTTTTTCTCCGTTCTTTTCAAACTAACATCGGCAAAAGGGGGCTATTATTGACGAGCTTCTCGTTGATCACCATATGACTCGGGGAAGACATGGATTTTCGTATTTCCCAGGCGACTGAGGGGCGTCTTAAGTGAAACTTTTTGATGAATTCTGACAAAATGAATCTACTTTTCATTGCTGGCCGTGGTGAACTCGACTTCGACGTTGATACTCTCGATGAGGGATTTGAAATCGTTGCTGGCGCTTTGTAGGTAAAGCATAGCTTCCTAAAAATGATAAACCTTGAGAAAATTACTTTCAATTGAAATTCATCTCTTTAAAAATTATGTAAAAAGCTCTTTTCAAAACCAAATTAAAACATTTTCTCAAAAAAATTTGAAAAAACATTGATTTTTCAAGATCAAAAAATCACCCGACAACCGGCCACACTGTGCTCAGAACGGCAAATTTCATACAATCCATCGATCGCACTTTTCAGCGTATCAATATAATACGTCCATTGGCGAGCTCGTTTCTTTCTAAAAATAATATTTTTCAAAAAAAGTTGAAAAAAATTTTTCGCAAATCTTATTTTTCTGCTACTTCTCCTTTCAGAAAACTAGATTTTCCCTTTCAAAAAACATTAATAAAATCAAAAACCGCTTTCTCAGCACTTTTTCGTGGAATTATGGTGACATTACTGCCTTGAAAACACATAAAAAGTTTGGAAAAATGATTTTTCTACTGTTTTTCGTGAAATTTTGACAATTTTTTAAGAATGTTCTTTACTAAACACATCAAAACATTGAAAAACTACTTTTCGAGCCGTTTTTCGTAAAATTTTAATCGATTCTTTGGAGAGTTAGTAACACTGCTTCTTCAAAACACATAAAAAAATCGAAAAATTATATTTTTAGCCACTTTTTCGTAAAATTTTTACCGATTTGTTTTCTACCTTAACGATTTGCTTGCCTTATTCCCCTAAAAACCCATCAAAAAAACTCAGAAGTCTATTTTTTTCAGTTCTTCTTTATGAAATTTCTTACCGATTCCTTTTCTTCCTTGAAGATTTACTAGCAATCGAGGCGGCTCTCGTTGGAATATGCGGAATTTCTCCATTTGAAGTCACTGCCAACGTTGTGACGGGCAATAGGACAGTAGGCCTTGTTGGCGCTTCCATATTTTATATTCTAAAAAGAAATTTAATCAAAGTTATATTCAAAAATAAAACTTGATAAAGTTTCTTGGAAAAAACGTAAAAATAGGACAATAATAAAAAAAGCGGTTATTTCGCAATATGTAAGAAGAAAAAGCATAAATACTCTATACAGATGTTCATCGGTAATTTAAAAAAAAAAGCGATCTTCTATTTGAAAAAAACTGGTACAGAGTAAGTTACAGAACCGTTCAAAAAAGGATATAATGGTTTTAAAAAAAGTTCAATGGAACAAGAATTTATTTAAAATCAGTAATATTCAAATTAAATACTTTCAGAAGAAGCAGAAGTTCATGAAGATGGTCAAAAACACAAATAAAAAAAGAATAAAAAAATGGTGTGAAAGTCAAAAAAACTGTTCATAGCAGACGAAATAAATGTTTAAACTTCGTTTTCCAGAACTTCAGTTTCCGAAGGCAAAAAAATGTATCACAGCGAAACCTTTTTCTTTTTCAATAAAAAAAGAAAGAAATCAAAAATGGGCCTGTTTTCAAAAATTTTTTTATGTTTGAAATGAATCAATACGCGGAAAAAAATCAGGTGTTTTTGTGAAATTTGGCGTGCGTGTGCACGCCAGCGAGACATTCCAGGGCGAAGATTTACTAAAAAAATGCTTGCAGGCTCGCTTTTTTTCCTTGTAATGTCTATTCAAATATCTTTTTCATGTTTGTTACAAGTTTCAAGAGTAAAATGTATAATGAAATAGAAAAACTGGTGCTTACCCAAAAAAACGTTTTAACATTTTGAAGACTTTTGCTTATTTGAAATCTAATTTCCCGTTTCTGTTTAAATTATTGGTTCTTGTTATGTTTTCTTTTTTTGATACAAAGTTGAGAAATGTCAGAAGAAGAGATAAAAGAAATTCCTTGGAGGCGAAAAAATGGCCGTTTTCCAGATTTCTTTCTTGATTTTCGTCATTTCCCGTTCTTTTTTCACTTAATTATTTATTTCAGGTTCTTATGGACGATTCCGAAAACCGAGAGCAGGAAATCGAACTTCTTTCCGCAGTTTACCCGGACATTTTAAAAAATAGAAAGTCCGAAACGGCTCATTTTCTTTTTTTCGATCAATCGATCCGCCTCACCGTCGATTTACCCAATGATTACCCTTCCAGGTTATTTTATAATTAAAAAAATTATCAGAAATATTATTTTAAGTGCTCCACCGAGATACGAGCTCAGCGGGCCATCCTTAACGCGAAATGAACGGATACACTTGGAAAATTCTTTAAACGAGGAATTTTTGAAAAATCTCGGCATGCCAGTCTTGTACAACTGGGTCAACATGCTTTTGGAATTTGTGACGGTTTAATTTTTTTTTAAATTTTTGTTGAAAAATATTTTTAGGAAAGAGAAGGAGGTTCAAATGAGAATCAAGACGATTCGATGGATTCCAGGGATAGTCAAGATTCATTGGATGAGGAAGAAGTTGGTTTTTGACAAGAAAAATGAACAAAATTCTAATTTTGAGCCAAAAAATTGCTCAATCTGATTTTTGTGAATATTAAACTAATTTAGGGAAAATTTGGCTTGAAAAATTTGAAAAATTCAAGCAATCAATTGTATTTTAGCCCAAAAAACTTGAAAAAAGCCTCAAAATTTTGATTTTTCCTTTTTGATCGTATTGGACCTAAAGAACGATAGAGTGGTCCCTATAGGGATCCTTGAAGGTTTCTCTAGGGGTCATTATAGCGATAAATTGGCGTCTTTTCAATGAAAAAAATGATATTAGGGGATCAATCAATAAAAAAAATTTTTGAAGTACCCTATAGGGACCCCTTGAGCTTTAGGGGCTAAGAGATCAGACGTTCGAACCCCTGGGGGATCCACCTTAATTTTACCCCTTTAGGGATCACTTTTTCAATCTCTAAAGGCTCTGTTTCCCCCAATCCCTAAAGAGACCACTTTGATTTTTTTTTCTTTCCAGAAAGTCAATACTTTTGAATGAAGCTTAAAACACAAGATTTTATAAAAAAAGGATAATTTTCAGATCCCCCAACTAGACATCAAACACGGCGAGGTGTTTACGGACCGGAAAAGCAATTTTCAAGCTCATCTTTCCGTTGTCAAGAGCAAAAAAGACGTCTGTTTCGAAATCGATTTAGCTTCGAAAAACCAATTTTGAGGTCGAAAACATGCTGAGAACCTTGAAAAGCAACACGAAAATCATGCGAGCCACGCATAATATCTACGCGTATCGGTATACCGAAATCAAGGACGGACGAAATTTTCCGTGGGTTTCATTTTTAAAGGCGCATGGGGGTGATTTTAAAAGAGTCTTGAAGCGAAGAGCCGTTTTTTGGGCTATTTTTGATTTTTCAGCTCCATTTTTTTGAATAAATAAGTTTTTCAAGGGTCCACGACTGCGAGGATGACGGCGAAACCGGCGCCAGTTCAAAAATGTTGGATCTCATGGATCGAATGAGCGCTGATAACGTTATTGTAAGTTTTTACAGTTAAAACAGGTCACTTAGAGAGGCCAGAGTGGTTCCTATAGGGGCCACTTCAACTCCCCCTATAGGAGGCACTAAAACTTGCCAGAGTGGCCTCTCTAAGGGAGCACTTTAGTGGTCTCAATACGTCTTTAACTGTATAATCAGAAAAAATTGAAAGACCCCTATAGGGACCACTTGAGCATTAGAAGAAAGACCTTAAACTCCTATAGGGACCACCTTAATTTTAGCCCTCTAGGGGTCTTTTTTTCAAACCTGACCCCTCTAGGAACCACTCTGGCATATCCTATTGAAGCCTTGTTATAAAATTAAAGTAATCCAAATCTTTTAAGGTTAAAATCCTTAAGGTATCCTTTAAAAATCAGCTTATTTCTGCACATTTTTTTGGCTTTTTCAAAAATTCATAGATCCTTTCGAAATTTCTCGTTTTATTAAGGGGAAAAAGCTTAAAATTTTGAGTAATTTTTGAAAATTGAGGCTCTCTAAAGCTTAAAAAGTTGAAATGCTTAAGGTATCCCTTGAAAAATTGCTCATTTCTGCACATTTTTCCAATTTTTCTTCAAATTTTTGCATCAACACTTTGAAATCGCTCCTTTTATACAGAAAAAAAGATCACAATTTGAATAATTTTTTTCAAAAATTGAGGTACTGCTCAAAAATAGTCATAAAATATTTTTTTCAAAGATTTTTTTCACTTGTTCACTACAATCTTTCTTTTTTTCTAAAAATTCTACTGATTATTTCGATATTTTTTTCATTTTATAAAGGGTAAAAGCTCAAAATTTGGAGTATTTTTTTGAAAAATTAAGGTACTCGAAGCTTAAAAAAGTTAAAAAAATCTTGAGGTATTTCTCAAAAAAATCTATCATTTCTGCACATTATTCACATCTTTTTTTACGGTTTCACTGATCTTTTTGAAATTTATCTTTTTATAAAGGGAAAAAGTTCAAAATTCGGAGAATTTTTTGAAAATGAACGTTCTCTAAAGCTTAAAAAGTTGAAATGCTTAAGGTATCCCTTAAAAATCCTCTTATTTCTGCACATTTTCTTGGTTTTTTCAAAAATTCATAGATCCTTTCGAAATTTCTCGTTTATAAAGGGAAAAAGCTCAAAATTCGGAGAATTTTTTGAAAATTAAGATGCTCCAAAGCTTAAAAAGTAGAAAATCTGAGAATTAAGACACTCCGAAGCTCAAAAAGTTAAAAAAACCCTTGAGGTATCCCTTGAAAAAAACGCTTTTTTTGCACATTATTCACACTTTTTTTTGAAATTCCACTGATCCAAAAGAAAAAAGTTCAAAATTTGAATCATTTTTTGAAAAGTTACGGTTCTTCAAAGCTTGAAAAGTTAAAAACCCTTAGGGGTATCCCTTAAAAATTCGCCTTTTTGCTCATTTTTTTAAAAAAGGTTCGCTAATCCCTCCGAAATTCATCGACATCATCTTCAATTTTTACATTCTTTTTCAAAATGACGAATTTTTTCAGGTGGTTGTGACACGATGGTACGGCGGGATTCACCTGGGGCCTGACCGATTTCGACACATTAATAATTTGACTCGGGAAATTCTTGTTGCAAATGGCTACGGCAAAAAATAGGCCCAGATAGTGTGTTTTATATTTTTCTCATATCCCAACTTTCACGGGCAAAGTTCGAAAGTGCCTAAAAGGTGCTTTTAATGACCTTCCCATCGCCTTTTCGGGACCTTACTAAAGCCAGAGTGGTCCCTAGAGGGGCTTTCGTAGGTTCCCCTCAAGGGACCACTTTTCCTACCCCTATAGGGACAGCTAGAGCATGTAGTTTTTCTCAAATCCCAATTTTCACGGGCCAAGTTCAAAAATGCCTGAAAAGGATTTTTTAGAGAGTTTCCTAGCGCTTTCCGGGACCTTAGGAACGCCAGAGTGGTCACTAGAGGGGCTTTTGTAGGTTCCCCTTTAGTGACCATCTTACCTGCCCTATAGGGACAGCTAAAGCATGTAGTTTTTCTCATATCCCAATTTTCAAGGGAAAAGTCCAAAAGAACCTAAAAAGGAGCTTCTAAAAATCTTCCCAGCGCCTTTTCGGGACCTTAGGAACGCCAGAGTGGTCACTAGAGGGGCTTTTGTAGGTTCCCCTTTAGTGACCACCTTACCTGCCCTATAGGGACAGCTAGAGCATGTAGTTTTTCTCATATCCCAATTTTCAAGGGAAAAGTCCAAAAGAACCTAAAAAGGAGCTTCTAAAAATCTTCCCAGCGCCTTTTCGGGACCTTAGGAACGCCAGAGTGGTCACTAGAGGGGCTTTTGTAGGTTCCCCTTTAGTGACCACCTTACCTGCCCTATAGGGACAGCTAGAGCATGTAGTTTTTTTCTCATATCCCAATTTTCAAGGGAAAAAGTCCAAAAAGAACCTAAAAAAAGGAGCTTCTAAAAAAATCTTCCCAGCGCCTTTTTCGGGACCTTAGGAACGCCAGAGTGGTCACTAGAGGGGGCTTTTGTAGGTTCCCCTTTAGTGACCACCTTACCTGCCCTATAGGGACAGCTAGAGCATGTAGTTTTTCTCATATCCCAATTTTCAAGGGAAAAAGTCCAAAAAGAACCTAAAAAGGAGCTTCTAAAAATCTTCCCAGCGCCTTTTCGGGACCTTAGGAACGCCAGAGTGGTCACTAGAGGGGCTTTTGTAGGTTCCCCTTTAGTGACCACCTTACCTGCCCTATAGGGACAGCTAGAGCATGTAGTTTTTCTCATATCCCAATTTTCAAGGGAAAAGTCCAAAAGAACCTAAAAAGGAGCTTCTAAAAATCTTCCCAGCGCCTTTTCGGGACCTTAGGAACGCCAGAGTGGTCACTAGAGGGGCTTTTGTAGGTTCCCCTTTAGTGACCACCTTACCTGCCCTATAGGGACAGCTAGAGCATGTAGTTTTTCTCATATCCCAATTTTCAAGGGAAAAGTCCAAAAGAACCTAAAAAGGAGCTTCTAAAAATCTTCCCAGCGCCTTTTCGGGACCTTAGAAACGCCAGAGTGGTCACTAAAGGGGCTTTTATTGCTTCCCCTTTAGTGACCACTTTTTCTTCCCCTATGGGGACAGCTAGCTCATGTAGTTTTTCTCATATCCCAATTTTCAAGGGAAAAGTCCAAAAGAACCTAAAAAGGAGCTTCTAAAAATCTTCCCAGCGCCTTTTCGGGACCTTAGAAACGCCAGAGTGGTCACTAAAGGGGCTTTTATTGCTTCCCCTTTAGTGACCACTTTTTCTTCCCCTATGGGGACAGCTAGCTCATGTAGTTTTTCTCATATCCTAAATTTCACGGGCAAAGTTAAAAAAAATCCCTTAATGAAACATTAAAAGACCTTTCTACTGCCTTTCGGGATCTGAGAAACGACAGAGTGGTCACTAGAGGGGCTTTTATTGGTTCCCCTTTAGTGACCACTTTTCCTCCCGTATAGGGACAGCTAGAGCATATAGTTTTTCTCATGTCCTATTTTCACGGGCAAAGTTCGAAAGTGCCTAAAAGGAGCTTTTAATGACCTTCCCATCGCCTTTTCGGGACCTTAGAAACGCCAGAGCGGTCACTAGAGGGGCTTTTCTTGGTTCCCCTCAAGAGACCACTTGTCCTACCCCTATAGGGACAGCTAGAGCATATAGTTTTTCTCAAATCCCAATTTTCACGGGCCAAGTTCAAAAATGCCTGAACAGGAGCTTTAAAAGACCTTCCTAGTGCCTTTTTGAGACCTTAGGAACGGTAGAGTGGTCACTAAAGAGGCGTTTATTGATTCCCCTCAAGGGACCACTTTTCCTACCCCTATAGGGGTCACTAAAGTTTGCAGAAGTGGCCACTCGAGGGAAAAACTATAGCGGTCCCATAAGTCTTTCTACCTTTCGAATGAGAACAAAAACATCACTATAGTGACCTCTCAAACTTTGGAAGCTGGCACGAAACTCTTATAGAGCTCTCAAGGGATCACTGTAGGGCCTGTTTCTCCCTAACCCCTATAGTAACCACTCTGGAGTCTTTAAGGTTCCAAAAAGGTCCTTTACTTTGAAAAAAAAATTACCTAGAAGGATTTTTCGCACTTTTTAGAGACTAAAAAGGGATTTTACACTTTTTAAGGCCCTTAAGAGGTCACTTGGACTATGCCCGTCTTCTCTCTTTCATCCCAGAATAAAATAACCCAGAAAAAACCTTGTTACCCTATTTTTATACCCATTTCGTTCACTTCTTGATACTACTACTTGAAAATTTTCCATTGTCCCAGATTTTTTTATTTATTTTCCTTCAGTTTTCTTGTACTATACGAATTTATTTATATATTCATCGTTTAATAAATTAATCCACTACAAAAACGTGTATTCCACCTCATTTTTTTAACAAAAAATGAACATTTTATTCGAGTTGGGCGAAGAGGACAATGAAAAACTACAAGGTTTGAAAAAAATTTCAAAAAAAGAAAAGAATTTTTTTAGATTTTTTTAATTGTCTACACGTTTTTCCTGGCTTGTTTCTTCTTCCAAGTAAGATTTTATGATTTAAAGAAATCTGAATTTTTTTTTAAATTGGGAAAAATCTTTCTGGAAAAAATTTTAGTGGCCACTTAAGAGGTTCTTCAAGGGCTACTTTAAGTGGCAATTAAAAGATCAGAACCCTAAAGTGGCCACTAACCTCAAAACATTAAAGTGATCACTTAAGAGGTTCTTCAAGGACTACTTGAAGTGAAAATTGAAAGATCAAAACCCTAAAGTGGCCACTAACCTCAAAACATTAAAGTGATCACTTAAGAGGTTCTTCAAGGACTACTTGAAGTGAAAATTGAAAGATCAAAACCCTAAAGTGGCCACTAACCTCAAAACATTAAAGTGATCACTTAAGAGGTTCTTCAAGGACTACTTGAAGTGAAAATTGAAAGATCAAAACCCTAAAGTGGCCACTAACCTCAAAACATTAAAGTGATCACTTAAGAGGTTCTTCAAGGACTACTTGAAGTGAAAATTGAAAGATCAAAACCCTAAAGTGGCCACTAACCTCAAAACATTAAAGTGATCACTTAAGAGGTTCTTCAAGGACTACTTGAAGTGAAAATTGAAAGATCAAAACCCTAAAGTGGCCACTAACCTCAAAACATTAAAGTGATCACTTAAGAGGTTCTTCAAGGACTACTTGAAGTGAAAATTGAAAGATCAAAACCCTAAAGTGGCCACTAACCTCAAAACATTAAAGTGATCACTTAAGAGGTTCCTCAAGGGCTACTTGGAGTGGCAATTAAAATATCAAACCCCTAAAGTGGCCACTAAACCTTAAAAAATTAAAGTGATCATTTAAGAGGTTCCTCAAGGGCTTTTTAAAGAGGGAATGAAAAGATCAGTACCCTAAAGCGGCCACTAACCTCAAAACATTAAAGTGATCACTTAAGAGGTTCTTCAAGAGCTACTTGAAGGGGAAATTAAAAGTTCAAACCCGTTAAGAGGACACTAAACATTTTCCCAGTGAAATTTTTTTTTTTCAAAACTCGTGGTCGCACTGGGAATGGCTCAAAGCGTTGCGGTGGTCCGTAGAAAATTGCTCTAATTCTTCTAAGGCAATAAATGGAAACGCGCGAAAGAAGTATTTGGTCGGTTGCGGCCGACACGAGTCAAGCCAATCCGAGTTAGACCACATTTGAATTGAGAAAATTAAACTTTCTTGGAAAAACTTAAGTGACCCCTTAAGAGGTTCCTCGAGGACTACTTGAAGAGGACACTAAAACGTCAAGACCCTTAAGTGGCCACTAAACCTCAAAGCACTAAGGTGGCCACTTAAGAGGTTCTTTAAGGACGCCCTGGAGAGGACACTAAAACGCCAAAACCCTAAAGTGGTCCCTCGAGAGATTCCTCTTGGAAAGAACTTTGAAACGTCAAAATCCTAAAGTGGTCCCTAAAAATTTCCCAGGTAATGTTTTCTTCAAAAGCCCTGGTCGCACTCGGAATGGCTCAAAGCGTCGCTTTTGTCCGCAACATAATCTTGATTCTTCCGACAGGATAAAGGAAAACGAGCGAAAGTCGTTTTTGGTCGGTTGCAGGGGTCAAGCCATTCTAAGTGCGACCGTGAAGGCTTCCGAATCATATTGGGTGTAACTTCGAAACACTAACTTCGAAAATAAAAAATGTATCATATTCGCAACAATCTTCTTCTTCCTACGCCTTTGTACCGCTTGAACGGCGCCCCAAGTCGATTAGCCGAGGTCCTATCCTGATAATCAGTGAACTGGCTCCAGTGACATATCCGTCCTTGTGTGTGACGGCTGAGGATTATGAAGCCGTGGTTTCCCACTACCAACATTTCTTAAACCCCTTGGTTGGGTCGAGGCGGGGGTCGAACTCGTGACCCTGTGGACCGTAGGCAGGCACTCAATCTGTTGCGCTACGGCGCGCCCCCATATTCGCAACAAAAAATATACTTATTCAAGACATTTTTCGATTCTGCATGTTCTCAAATTTTTAATCAACCTAAGTCATTTCACTTTTGGGAATTTCTCGAAAATTAGCCAGAACACTTCTTGATGTACCAAAAAGTATCCCGAAACTCTGCACTTGCACAATTTCCGTTTTTTTTTCTGAGAAAGGGGGCTTAAAACCCCAAAATGGCCTATTTTTACGGCTTTTGGGGTTTCTTTGACCTTGAGGTGTGCTTTCCCAAAAAGTAGAAAGTCATGCAGGTTTTGACTTGCAGGATCTTTTTTCTGGTTCATCAAGGAGTTTTGTGACCTATTTTAAAGATTTTGCAATCGCAAAGTAAATGACCTCCCTTGTCAGAAACAAAAACTAAAAATGGTATTATTTCCAGATTTTCGATTTTAGCGGTTTACTACTTCTTTTCGCTGTCTACGGCTTCCTGAGTTATGCAAGTTTTGATTTTTTTTTTTTTAATTTTGGAGTGTAGGACAAAAGCGCCGATTCCAAGAGCGCCGTTCAAATTGAGCGCCAGTCCGCAATGCGCCGTCGCGTGTATGCGCCGTGTATGCAGACGCCGCTTTCTTTTGCGCCGAGTCCGTTTGCGCCAAATCGTTTTGCGCCGTTATTTCAAACTTTTATTTTTTCGCTCTTTTTCTATCATTGTTCATTGATTGTGTAGTACACACTCATATACAACTCGAATAACTTTCGCGCCATCTGTTAATATGGACTTTTCTGCCGCACTTTCGAAAAAATCGAACTATTGTTTCAAGAAAATGAGTTTAACGTTACGAAAAACGATTTTCTGCTGTTTCACGTCTGCTAGATTTGGAACTTTGCCTTACCTAACGCAGAAAATTTGCGACCCCAAAAAAAAATGACTCATTATGTCGTTTAAAGCAATAATTTTTTTTATCCATCCTATCGTTTTCTGTATTTTTCGATATCAGGGGATCATATTTGCTTTTTTATTCGTACTTTGAAAAGGAAAAAGGGGGAAAAATATTTTACCTGGACCAAAGTAGACCTAAAACTCATCATTAACGGATGGCGCGAAAATCATTCGAGTCGTATATGAATGTGTAGTAAACAATTATCAAAAAATAATATAAAAAGAGCGAAAAAATAGAAGTTTGAAATAACTGCGCAAAACGATTTGGCGCAAAAGAAAGCGGCGTCTGCATACACGGCGCATACACACGACGGCACATTGCGGACTGGCGCTTAATTCGAACGGCGCTCTTGGAATCGGCGCTTTTGTCCTATACTCAAATTTTGAAGGTCTCTTTTGTGACAACTTTTCAAAAAACTTCGAAAAAAAATGATCCAAATTTCCAGCTGAACCCCACAATCGAAAATACAGTTCCATTGATCGCGATTTTCTCGGCTTTTCTCACTTTCCCAACGGGGCCTCACGGGCTTTTCATGGTAAATCTATCAAAAAATCGATAATTTCTAGTGAATTCCAGGACAATGGGAAAACTCTTCTGACTTATTATATTCGTCTATATTGTATATTCATCTTCAGCCTCGTTTGGATGCTGTAAATTCGGAAAAAACCTTTGGAAAATTGGAAAATTTTCAGATTTTGCCTCATGGTCGAAGAAGGTTTTTTCAATTGGATGATGGGATGGATCTGGTTTTTCGTGGTTTTATTCCATATTTGGGGCATTTTCGTCACCCATCGAGCTTATGATTTCATTGAGAATCGATACAAGTTTGCCTTGAAAAATTGAAAATCACGAGGGAGGTCCTTTTACCGTACCGGGGGAGGGGGCCTGGAATTCACGAGGGAGGTCCTTTTACTGAAAATTGGCCAGAAAACTCTTTGATGTACAAGAAAAAAATCCTGAAAATCAAAACCCCTGTGGGGACCTATTTTGCAAGCTTTAGTGACCCCTATAGAGGCAAGTAAAGTGTTCTATAGAGAGGAACCTTCAAGGAACTTTGAGGTTGCCCCTATAGGGACCCCTCTGGAGTTCTTTTGAGCTCTTGTTCCTCGAAAACTAGGAAGTTTTGATGATTGAAACCTTCTCGTAAGTCTTTCCCGGTCTCATTTGGTACAATATGAAAAAAAATATATGGCAAATCAAAAAGCAAAACAAATTGACGTATTATAACAGTTTTGAAGCGTATCAGACCTAACACGGGAAGTGCGAAAGGTCGAGGTATTGGAATTTAATGAAACTTGGTATATAGGTACTACCGAACACCCTGAATCCAAAAAAGTTGAAAAAAAGTGCGCCTTTTTGGTTTTAGTCGAGTGAGGGCGCCTCAAAGTTTGCACGCAAAAAATGCATTGGAAGGGAGGAGGGAATGTGTTGCGGCGGCTAACTCTAGCTGCCAGCAGGCGGCGTGGTGTAGTGGCTAGAGGCCTTGCGCTGTGAAACCTATGATGCAGGTTCGGTCCCATTTTGGTGAAAATGTTTTTTGCCAATTGTAAGTTATGGATTAAAACTCAAAAAAGCTTGGTTTTTGGTCTCCTATAGAATTTTCAGTTAGTGGTCCCTATAGGGGAGATGCAAGTCAACTATTATTGGAGGAAAATCATTTAAAGGCCGAAAAACCACAGTGGAACTGATCATGTCTTTTGAATTTTCAAATCTGAAAAAAAAATATTAAGACCCTATAGGGACCACCTCAATTTTAGCCCTCAAGGGAGCACTATATATTTCCCTATAGCTGCTGCTCTTTCCAACCCCTTTAGAGGCCACTTGAGCGTCGCTAAGGAGGCAAAAGCTCAAAGGCTTATGGCCCGAAAATTCCTGACTTATCTTTAAAAATCTCTCATTTTTGCGTTTTTTTAATTGCACCCCTAGAGGGACCACTCTGGCGTTCCAAGGAAGGCCTTTTTTCCATTTTGCTCGAGAGCTTATGACCCGAAAATGCTTGATTCTGCTTATTTTTCGATTTTACCCCTCTAGGGACCACTCTGGCGTTCCTAAACAAGTTACCACTTGACCATGTGAACACCTTATTTTTTTAAAATCAACATTAGACCTTTCAATATTTTTTCCCTTAATTTTTCACCATTTTGAGGCCCCTGACCCCTCTAGGGATCACTCTGGCATCCCCAAGGAGAATTCTGGCCATTTTTCGGAAAATTCCAAACCTTGTGAAATGAGTGAAATGACCTCCCGTGTCAGAAAAAAATAATAAAAAAATAAAAAAATTCAGAGGCTACGATGACGTTGACCCAGAGCTACGGGTCACTTTCCAAAAAAATTGCTGCAAGAAAAATTTGGAAGAATTAGAAGAAGCTGAGGTACATTTCAAGTGCATTATTATCTTTATAAACTTTTTTTAAAAATTTCAGAAAAATCGAAGAGAAAAAAAGATAAAGAGAAGGAAAAAACGCGAAAAAAAGTCAGCAAGGATTCGTCGAATTTACCGAAAGATTCGAAAACTTCAAAGTGATTTTCATATAAATTTATTTGTTTATATGAGTTTATATGAATTTTCTAGTTAAAGTGTGAATTTCGCAGTACAAAAAAACGTTTAAAAAAAGTCCCGCCTTTGTCCCGAAAAATCGCCCGAAAGCCAAAAAAATAACCTGGAACAGTGAGAAGCCGTTTTTTTCCTGGGAAAAATCGCTTGAAATTCAAATTTTTTTCAAAAAAATTTTTTTTGTTTCACTTGATAAATTCTCCATTTTAAAAAGTCTTAAAATCCTTAGAAATTCCCGCTTTTTTTCCCGAAAAACTTCCCGAAAATCTTTAGAACATGTCGAAGGCCGAAAAATTCTCGAAAAAAATGAACCGAAATTCTCGTTTTTTTCCTGGAAAAAAATCGCCTGAAATTCCATTTTTTTGTTCCTAAATCATTTTTTTCATGTGACAAGTATTCCATTTGGACGAATTTGACGATGAAAAAAATTCAATTTTTTTAAAAAAATTTTTTTGTTTTATTTGATAAATTTCCCACTTTTAAGGGCTAAAAAAACCTCAAAAAGTCCCGATTTCCTCCCGGAAATCGCCCGAAAACTTTCGCGAAAATCTTAAGAACATGTCGAAAGCCGAAATTTACGAAAAAAATGAACCGAAATCTAAAAAAATTCTCAAAAAGTCCCGATTTCCTCCCAAACATCGCCCTAAAACTGCCCGAAAGTTAACAAAAAAATTTTTTTTTTTTAGTTTATAACATTTTCCATTATTAGGGCTTGAAAAAAATAATAAAAAGTCCCGATTTTGTCCCGCCTTTCTCCCGAAAAACTTCCCTGAAAATCTTAAGAACATGTCGAAGGCCGAAAATTTACGAAAAAAATGAGCCAAAAATCCTAGATTTTTTTCTGGAAAAAAATCGCCTTGAATTCAATTTTTTTCTTCTTCCAAATCCTTTTCCTGTGACAAGTATTCCATTTGGACGAATTTGACGGAATAAAAATTTTTCAAGAAAAATGAGAAAGTTTATTGCTATATCAGTTCGTTCGCGTACAAAAAAATGAGTGAAAAATAATGAAAAAAATGGGAAAAAAATCAGCACTTTTTAAGGTAATACTCGGGGTAATATAATACTAACAGGAGAAAAATCAATAGTTACGAGGATTTTATACACGTTAATGAATTTAATATTGTTTCTTACAAGGATGAGATTTGAATTGAAAAAAGAAGCTCAGGGGAAAAAAACCTAAAAAAAGAGGGAGATGGTCGCATTTGGAATGGTTCAAGGCATGGTGAGCCATTCCAAATGCGACCATTCAAATAAAGCAATATCCGGCCCGAAACGGAGATTTTTGGTCAGATTTAAGAGACAATTGTGAGTAAAGGGATGGAAATTCATGACAGTTTGAGCCAAAAAATTGATTTTTTCAAAATTGTTTTGAGATTTTTTTTTTTTCAAATGTAAGTGTTGTCGGCAGTGAATTGGATAAACATGGGTAAATTCAAGATTTTTCAGAAAAAGCTCATTTTTTAGAGGTTCCACTTTCAGAAAAAATTAAGCTCCAAAAAAAAAAAACCAACTGTGAAAATTGAGCCTCGGCGGTGAGTTAATGTGTGCTCTACGGATAATTCTCCCAGAATTTCTGATTTTCTCAAAAAAAATCAATCAAAATATTTTTTTAGCCGTAGAGCGCACTAGTCTTGAATGAAATATAGTTCCTGGGCGCAATTTTTCTAAGATTTAAAATTTCTGGGCGGTGTAGTGGTCTCTTAAGTGCACTAACGCCACTTAAGTGGTCCCTAAATGGAGCGTAATGAGCTATGAAAGTTGAGCCTAGGAACAGGAACGCATTTGGAATGGCTCAAAGCTTTTTTCTAGCAACCGACTGGAAGCGACTTGCGCTCTTGAGTATCTTGAACAACGCAAAAAATGGGATAGACCGCGACGCCCTGAGCCATTCCAAATGCGGCTCTCTACTGCCTGTAAAGTGCGACGGAGCGCAATTTGCTATGAAAATTGAGCGGGAACGCATTTGGAACCACTCAAAGCGTTGCAACCGACTAAAAGCGACTTACGCTCATGGGTATGCGCAATGAGCCATTCCAAATGCGGCTTTCTACTGCCGATAAAGTGCGACGGAGCGCAACCGACGCGTCGGCAATGACTGCGTCGCCGCTGCGGCGACGGCCCTTGTCGTCGTCGTCGTGGTTGTCGTTTCCGACGACGCGACGACGGATCTTCTTACGGAGGTTATGGTAGAGCCTGCGGAGGAGGCGCGTTGCGGACGGACGGCGATCCGTAATACGTATCTCTGCTTGTTCCGTCGCACCTACAACACCGACAACACTGATCATACTCCATTCACTGGTAGGCTTGTGGAAAAGGGTCCTGACACGATGGAAAGAGAGATAGCGCCTGATTGGTGGAGAGCGCAGACAGGCCACGCCCCCGTTCGCCACGACTTGAAACAGTCTGACCTGTCTGCGCTCTCTTCTCCCTCACCGGACATTTCTCCGCCGCTCTCTCATGTTTACCAGCTTATTTCACGCCTCCGACCTCGACGGTGAGGGAAAAGAGAGCGCAGACACGTCAGAAAATCAAAATTTAAGATATGAAAAATTTTTTGGACTACCGGTGAATGGAGTATGTTCCACAAAAATGGATAATCAAAAAAAAAAATGGAAAAAAAAACGGAGGTAAAGCGAGATTCGATCGACGATTGAAAGAAATCGGAAAATAAAGCGTAAATTTTCAAATGTGACCTACAGTACCCTTTTCGCTTCGGAACCCAAACAAATTGAGCTATGATCTTTTAATAGCAGAAAACTCAATTTTTCGTTGTAGGAAATCAAGAAATTACAAAAATCATTTTAACTCGATTTCGGTTCGATATTCTGGTCCCGAAGCGAAAAGGATACTGTAGTTCCAAAATGAGCAGAAAAAATACAAAAACAAGACAAACCGGACACACAGAAAATCGTCACGGACAGTTTTTTTATCAAATACGAGTTGAAAAACCGTGACCGCATTTGGAATGGCTCAACTTTTTCAGCCGACTTGGAACTGGTTCCGCGCGACGGCATTCTGTAGGCCGTATAGGGTATATAATCCGCTGGAAATCAGGCTCTAAAAAAAATTCAAAACTTTATTTTTGCCGCCAAAACCGCAGCGCAACCGCGACGCCTTGAGCCATTCCAAAATCACTTTTTCGCCATTTCAACTCGTGGAAAATTCAGGAAAACAAACAGAAAAAAAAATGAAAGAAAATCGGCGGAAGAAGAAGAAGAAGCGTGACTTTTTTCATCATCAAGTTGAGATTCGAAGCGTTTCGAGGCCTGGTTTTGAAGCGAAGGCGATTGGTTAGAGGCGTGTCTAAAAAGTCCACATTTGGCGGTCATTTGGATTGGAATTAAGGTTAGTTTTTCACTCACAAACACACGAAAACCAAAAAATTGATTGATTAAATTATGAGAAAAAAGAGCCGCGAAAAATAGGGAAAAGTGCGCTCCATGGATAAATCTGGTTTTTTGTCAAAATTCGCGAATTTTTAACTCGATATTTGCATGGGAGAAACAGAAAGTCTGAAAAAAATCATAATTTTCGAGAAAGTGCGCTCTGGCGCTAATTAATGGACCTTGTCCTTGTTTTCTAACTTGAAAGGCTAATAAAAAGAAGAACTTCTTATTTTACAGTTTTTTTAACTCGAAAAAAACCATCAAAAACTCCATTTTCGCGCCGATTATCCATGGAGCGCATATTCCGCGGAAAAATCGCCATTCTGGCAAAACATCTAAAATATGGATTAGTCTAAGTACACATGCAAAATCGGTTCAATTTGTGCTTTTTCAACTCAGAAAAAAGATATAAACTATAAATCAAACTTTTCATTCAATGTAAACGTTGAAAAAAATCAGAATTCGACAAGGAAATGGCGGGGAAAAAAAGAAACGAAATTCGGGGCAAAAAAAAGGAATTCACAACCGGATACGACCTATGCTTAAGCTATACATATATCACTTAATTTTAAGCGAAAAAAAATTGGGAAAAAGCTGAAAAATTCAATGGCTTTGGAAGCTTAGAAAAGCGAGTTTTTTTTATCAAAAAAGTTGTTTCTTATCATTTTTTTTTTCTTTGAAAATAGGATGGAAAAGGGGTTTCGAGCAGGCAAAATGATTAAAATATATAAAATAATGAAAGAATGTGGCCAAAAAGTATTGCATTCCAATTGAGGGAAAAAAACGAAAAATTTTTCAAAAATTTGGAAGATTTTTTTCTGAAAAATTTTCAAGAAAAAAACCTTCCAAACTTGTTCAAAAACTAAGTGATGTGATTACCAGGCACTTGAATAATTAAATATAGATAATATCAGAGAAAAAAATAAGCTTCAATTGGTCCCAAAAAAAGGCTGAAATGATGAAAAAAATATAAATTTACAGAGATTCTAAAAAAGTTTAATACTGTTGTATGTAGTGAAGCGAAATGAGAAATAAAAATAATTTCGAAAAAAATCCTCGATAGGTTGAACTAAATAAAGAAAAAGTAGAAAAAAATCCATTTTCCGATCAGAACAAAAAAATCATCAACAGATTGGAAAAATAGAAAAACCTCATTTTTTTAATTAGGAGCCCTATTATTCAAATTCTTGGGTTAAAAACCGAAAAAAATTTCAAAAATAATACCATTTTTTTCGAACTTTTTAAAAAAACGATGTTGTGTTTCCTTATCTTTTCAGTAAAAAAATAAAAAAATTCGTTGTTTTTGAAAGCAACTGCGCTCCATGGATAAAAATGGCTTGGTTTGATCTTTTTTGAGGTTTTTGTTGATTTTAGGTCTTCTTTATACTCTTTTACCTCAGTCTATCAATTTTTTGAACAAAAAATCATCGAAAAAGCTCATTTTTTCACTGAGAAACTTCAAGGGGCCCCTTAAGGGAAACCACTAGAGGGATCACTAGGAATGGTCAAAAACGCCTTTTTTTGAGCTTTTATCGAACTTGTATCTCGGTTGATCGATTTTTCGAACAAAAAATCATCAAAAAGCTCATTTTTTCACTGAGGAACTTCAAGGGGTCACTTGAGGGTTACCACTAAAGGGATCACTAGAAATGGTCAAAAACGCCGTACTTTTCGAGGGTTTTTTGAACTTGTACCTCGGTTAATCTATTTTTTGAACAAAAAATCATCAAAAAAGCTCATTTTTTCACTGAGCAACTTCAAGGGGTCCCTTAAGGATCGACTTTTCGAACAGAAATCAATAAAAAGTCTAAAATTCTTCAAAAAATCATCATTTTTTCAATGTTATTCCTTCACCAAGCCAAAATTATTTCCGACAATGTCAAACTAAAAAATTTTCAGTGCGAGTGCAGACGAAAAAACTGAGATTTTCCGGGGTTTTCAGTGCAAAAGCATAAGCAGAAGCCGAACATACGGTGAGAAAGGAAATTCGGACAGGGAGGAGAGAAAAAAAAGGGGGACGAGTGAAGAGAAGAAAGCACCCGGAGAACACAAAAGATTGGATTTGAAATGGGGGCAAGAAAAAGATCGAGACAAGTCTCCTCAGATCGAACGACCGGCTCCACTCACAATCTCTTCCGGCGACTCGTCCTGCTCCCGGAGCGGCTCGTTTTCGGGTCGGTTGGTCGAGGAAGGCGTCGCGAAGAGTCGTTCCACCTGAAAAAGGTCACAACTAAAAGCTTAGGGGCAGTAAAAAACGGTGTTTCAGTTCAAAGCGGTTATTTATAGAGCTTTTGATTGCGAATCGAACGGTGAACTTGAAAACGTACAGAAGTTCTTAGTTTTGGAGAAAAAAATGATTCAAAGTCGGAGGGAGGAAAGTTTGAGTTCCCGCAAAAAGGGCGCTTTGCAGTAAAGTTACTCTATGGACAACACGCTTCGCCATTTTTCGGATTTTTGCTTTTTTCTTCGTTTCTTTCAATTTTCAATTTTTTCTGTTATCACCAAAGTTCTTTTCGTCACAAAAACTTTCTATTCATGTATAATTTGCAAACTTTGATCGCAAAAATGCTTCTTTGGTGAAAAATGATGATTTTACACAGGTTTCGATTGGGATAGCGACATTTTGTGTTTTCTTTATTATCAATGTTTGTTTTTTGTTTGAGTAAATGATTTTTCAGAGAAGAAAAAATTCATTTGAAGCAGACATCCGGTTATTTCTCACAAAATGCGAGTCTAATGTGACGTCCACAACATCGCGTGCACGCTACTGTAAACAGTTGTCTGAGCACCGATCCAAAGCTTTTTTCAAAATTAAAGGCGGGAAAGCAAAATCGCGTTTTTCTTCGAAAGTAGTCAGATCTGTAATTTTTTTGATAGCACAGTTCGATTCGCAATGAAGAACTATACAAGAAACTGCCCTCACCTGAAACTCCGTTTTTTACTGCCCCTATGCTTTTGAGATTTAATTTATTTCATCAAAGAAAAAAAAGATTTCTTCTGAAAACAGTTTTTAGTAGATATTTTTTTCAAAATAGAAAAATATTCGTTGAAAACGAGCCATTCTACATTCGGCCAGAAAAAAGAAACTATGCAGGATAGTTCTAATTAATTACTTCCAAAATGACTGAAATAAAAAGGAAGAAATAGGTTTCAAAAAGACGATTTAGCGTGTAAAATGTTTGAAATTTAATAATTCAATTGTGTTCCTTCGTCTACAAATAACGTTCTACAATTTTTATTTTAAATACGACGAGATTAAAAAGATTTGTCTTGATGGAGGAAACAAAGTTGGCTTTTTTGTCGAGTTTCAATACATAAAATCGGAAAAGGGCATTAGGCGCATTGTTCTACGCCATTTGGTATTAGGCTGGGTTGGGAAAAAAAAAGGGCGGTATGATAACTTTTTCTCTGAATCAAATATGTTGTAAAACACGATTTTTAGGATTTTTTGAAAAAAAAAACTGAATAGCATCATTTGAGCCGTTTGCGAGATACGGTGGCTCAAAGGATTACGGTAAAAACCTTCGAAAATAAATATCTCGTCACAAAATCAACGGGTCTCGATCGAAGTTTGTCACAAGGTGCAAAATAATTTTATAGTCTGTTCAGATTTTTAATGTGAAGTCGTCGCTTAAGCTCCGCCCCTAATGGCCCTGTAAGCCAATCAGAGAGCGAGCCATCCACAGAGTGTTTCCGAATGACGACATTGCACTTGACATTAAAAATCTGAACAGACTATATTCAAATTTTAAAAATCTTACATCTCACGCCTTCTCATTATTGCTCATGTTAGAGAATTTTCCATCTATGACCCGAAAAATCCAAAAAACGTGTAATTTTGGGTAAGATTCCCGAATAACTTCTTTATTTCGTGTTTTCATGGCTCGAAACTAGCAAAGTCGTGATCAGCAAGCCTTTTCACATCTACTGGTCATTTCCAGATCGAAACAAAAGAAAGAAATTTTTCACCCAGGAAAAAAATTTCATGTCCTGGGATGGAAATTTTCGAGGTTTTTCGCTCATAACTTTTTTCAGAATCAAAGCGCGTTTTCCTTCAAAATTAGTCACATAACTTTTTTGAGTACACCATTCGATTCGCGAAGAAAAACTATATATAAGATAATGCTTTCACCTGAAACTCCGTTTTTACTGCCCCTATGCCTTTAATTAATCGAAACTTCTTCATTCTAATGGAAAAGGAACTGTAGAAGACAATTTTCGGGTAAAGTTTTAGATTTAAAAAAAACTGAAATCGTGAAAGTTTACATTTTCTTTTTGGTTCAGTCATGATCGGTCCTAAACGTGACGGCCTTTCAGCGGGTGTACCCGTAATAGGCCCGCTCTCATGATAGCCAGGTCCCTCAACGGGTGTACCCGTATTTCTAGGCTATTTGAGTCTCAGTTGGGCTAAAACGGGACAAAAACGGGTGTAAGAAAACTGGGTAACCCAGCTGTGCCGCACGAGCCTTGTCAGCTGGGGTGAAATTGCCAAAAGTTCTACCAGCTGTGCTTATACGGGCATACCCGCTGAGACCCCAGTAGCATCGCTCATCAGCATGAGAGTGGGATCTGTATGTCCGTTTTCCCGTTTTAGCCCAACTGAGACTCAAATAGCCTAAAAATACGGGTGTACCCGTTGAGGGACCTGGCTATCATGAGAGCGGGCCTATTACGGGTCCACCCGCTGAAAGGCCGTCACGTTTAGGATCGATCATGACTGAACCAAAAAGGCATTTTTCGAGAAATGGTTTTTTTAAAAATCTAAAATTCCCACCCCCTCCTGATCCAAAAAAATTTTGACTATCATCCTTAATTTAAAAAAAGCCGTTTAACCACTTTTTTTCTAGTGATAGATAGTTCGTAAAATATCGTCCGACATCTGCTCCTTAAAATTACCGGTGGAGCGCACATTCTCTATATTTTCTGGCCTTTTTTACCATTTTTTTATCAACCTATCTTAAGCTAAAATCAATAGAAATACCGGAATTGATGACAAAAAATTATTTCATTGTCTTTTTAACCTTTAACAAGGTTTTTACTGTCACTATTACCTTCTTGTCCCGTTTCTCGCTGCCATCGCGGTAGGACCTTCGCATCGGGAGTGCCCGGGCGGAAGACGGTGCCTGGGGCGTCGATGTTTGGGCGGTAGACGTCGGGATGAGGACCGGGACGACGTCGCGAGCTGATACCGGGGCCGTTGGGGCTGAAAAAATACTTGATCTTCTGAAAAACGTAGTACATCTATAGCTCATTCCGTCTCAGCTTTCAACGGTTTTTATCTACCTCCGAGCTTCAAAACCCGTGACCTATCTCTGTGCATGTGCCTTTAATTAAGCCTGAATTTCCGTCGTATTAAAGGCGCATACAGAGAGACAGACCGTGGGCATTGAAGGGAAGATACTTCGTGGTAAACGCGGAATGCAAAATTATAAAAACCTCGATTTTTCAGACCTCAAACTGTTCTACTGGCTGGAGAAAAAGCTCAAAAAAGCTCGATTTTTGAAATAAATTGCTCGTAATGCACGCGGGGTACTGAGAAAAAGTCAGCCTTTTTACAAAAAAAAAAAATCTTTTTCAACCATAAATCAACTAAATTTTTATATAACTCGATTTCTGACCCCTTTTCTAGCATTTTTAGACAAAAATAAAATTTTCAAGGGTCTTGAGGAGTTTAAAAAAATACCGTAAATCTACCGTAAACTTCCAAGAAAAAAATCTATTAATCATAAAAAAATAATATTTTGATAAGCTGGTTATGTGCAACTTGTTAGCATTAGAGTTAATCGAAATCGTTAAATTGTCCAAAAAAAGTGAGATTAATGGGTTTTTGTTAGGTTTTTGTAATATTTTTTTGTGAAGTTACAAATGAACAAAGTTAAAAATTGGAAAAACAAAGAGTAGATGGAAGCGACAGAGGAATCGAGGGGTACAGGGAAATGTGAGCTTTTGGAGATTGGGTGAAAAAAAAAAATGAAAAAAGCCGAAAAACCTTATTTTTTGCTAGCTTTCAAGCTGAAATCAGGCCGAATTCTAGGCTAAAATTTTCCAGAATCCAAATTTCTGACTTACAAGGCAAATCTAGTCAAAAATACCGTTAAAATTAAGTTCTAATCCTATTTGAGTTAAATTTTCTTTTCCTGGTCTTCTGACTGATTTTTCCTATCTGCTTAAGCCAAATCATTTAAATTTGTCTAATGGAGCGCCCTTTCCAACAAAAATAGCTAAAATTGTTTCTAGCTCCTATCGGGCTATTTTATTCAATTAAAACTATCTAAATGCTTTTTTAAAACAGATTTAGCGATGGGGCGCAAAACGCATAGAAAAAACAGCCAAAAAATGAACAAGCCACAATTTTCAGCCAGAAAGTTCATAAATTGGGTTCCAACTCATTTTTCATCATTTTTAAGGCTTCAAGCTCCCTTTCCAAGCACTCCAGATCGAATTTGGACAGGTAGGGCGCAAAAATGGTGAAACAAGCCATGACTTTCAATCAGAAAGGTCCAAAAAATCCACTTTTGAATCCATTTTTCTCATTTCTAAAAGCTTCAAGCTGACTTTTCAGGTAACCGAATCAAAATCGGACAGGTAGGGCGCAAAAAGTTGTTGAACAGGCTCTGATTTTCAGTCAGAAAAGCTCAAAAAGTCCGTTTTTTCGGCTCATTTTTCTCATTTTTGAGGCTTCAAGCTCATTTTCGTCATTTCTGAAGGCTTCAAGCTCTTTTTTCAGGTAACCGGATCGAAATCGAACAGGTGGGGCGCAAAATTGTTGAAGAAAGCCTTGATTTTCAGTCAGAAACGTTTACAAAAAATCCATTTTTCGGCTCAAATTTCTCATTTTTAAACGCTTCAAGCTTATTTTCCAGGTACCCGAATCGAAATCGAACAGGTAGGAGAAAAAAAGAAGTATAAAAACAGCAAAAAAATGAACTAGTTTCTTTTTCGCGTGATTTTAAGAGAGCTAAGACCTATTTCTTCAATTCTCAAAGCTTCAAGCTCCCTTCCCAGACACCCCAGATCAAACTCGGACAGGTGGGAGTTTTACCTGGGCTCGCCGAGGCGGCGACACTCCGAATGAGGGCGTCTCTGGCCGACTGGGCGACGACTTCCGCCGAGTTGAGCGGCGGGATTTCCTTGGCTTCGTCGTCGCCGAGGCTCTTGCGGGCGCCGGCGCGCCTCCGCGACGGCGACTGTTTCAACGCTGAAAAAGGGGCGAACGTGGGGGCGAAGGGGACGAGGTTAGCAGCGAATCAGAGGCTTTTATTTAGAGAGACAAAACAAAAATGAGACGACTTGACGGCTACGGAAGGCAGAGGGAGAAGCTTCAAACAGGTACTGACGAGGGGGTGCAAAAAATGGAGAGTTAGAGATTTGATAAAGTTTTTTTTTTCGGAGGTTAGGACTTTTTGCGTAGTTTTTCAGTGCTCAAACGGGATCCATTTTCTCGAATTACTGCATTCAAAAAATTCCAAAGGAGTCCCACTGAGATTTGAGACCCTTTCAGCTCTCCCTAATGCTTAAAAGACGCCCAAAAGCGCAAGTAGTTTCCGGTCGGGCGCACTTTTTAAATGTCTTATTTAGTCATTTCCCAAGCGACTACGTCTCAATGAAAGGTTTTCATTCAGAAGTCCCAATGTGATTTGAGACCTCCTAAGCTTTCCCTAATGCTAAAAAACGCCCAAATGCGCAAGTCGTTTCAGGTCGGGCGCATTTTTCAAACGTCAAGTTTGGTCATTTTCTGAGCGACCATGAACTATGTAACAAATTATGAGTTTAATGTCATTTTTTTTTTCATGAAAAAAATATTTTTCTTCTTTGAAACCCTCCATTATTTGCACCCTTTTTTTTCTGAATTTTTGAGATCCAAATTTTTTAGTGTTAACCCAGCAGAGCAACTAGAATTTTCGACATGATTCTGAACCTGAAAAATCGGGGAAAAAAATCTTGTTCTTTTGAAATTAGGGCAAATTTTTAAAGGAATCTTGCTCTATTTGTAAAAATTCGTAAAAATAAATTTTCAGGTTCAAAATCATGTAAAAAATGTCTCAATTTACGTTTTTCTAATATTCCTTCCAACCCAAAAACAACAATTATACGTTAGCAAAGCATTAGGAATTTTTACAGAAGCGTTAAAATTTTTTTTAGTAGAGAAACTAATTTTCTTTGACTCGTAGGTATTTAAGGAGTTGAACAGCTCAATTCAAACCGGAAAGTTCGCTCCAACGACAATTTCTCAAAATATGACGTCTCAGACCTCTTAAAGGCAAACCGAACGGTTAGGAGTGGTCGAGGGATCACTTAAGGGTACTGACGTCACTAAAGAGGCCCCTAGAAATGTTCAGAACCGTCCTGGACGTGTTCGGTTTGCGTCACTGTGTCTGTACCCTCTCTTTCTCTCAAAGTTCGTTGGAGCGAACTTTCCGAAAAAGCTCATTTTTCGATTTTGATCTCGGATTTGCAACCAAAAACTCAACCAAAACTCAAACCAAATCAATTTATGATTTTTCGAAATTTCAACTGCACCCACACACAACGAACACTTGACAATGGCGTTACGTAAAAAACCAAATATTTTCCAAAAAAAAGTTCATATAGATATATATCGGTACCTAGGTAACTGTGCACTAACGTGCGGAACTTGGCGCCCCGTTTTATGTCGGCTGCAAATTATTCACACGTTTAATCAGAGTCAGAAGTCGTCCTGCATCCGTTTCGCATTGAGAAATAGTTCATTCATGACGGCTTTTTTTGACTTTGAAAGTCTGCTCCAGTGAGAATGGAGCTTTAATGGTTGGCCACGCCCCTTTTCTAGCTTTTTTAAGCCAAAATGAAGCTCTAATGGAAAAAAGGCGTTTTTGAGATTCGAAAGTTTGCTCCAGTGAGAATGAAGCTTTATTGGCTGGCCACTCCCCTTTTTCGGCTTTTTTTTAAGCCAAATAGAAGCTCCCATGGAAAAGAGGCGTTTTTGAGAAATGAAAGTCTGCTCCAGTGAGAATGGAGCCTCATTGGCTGGCCACGCCCCTTTTTCGGCTTTTTTAAGCCAAATAGAAGCTCCCATGGAAAAGAGCCGTTTTTGAGATATGAAAGTCTGCTCCAGTGAGAATGGAGCCTCATTGGATAGCCACGCCTCTTTTCTTGTCTCTTCGAACCAAAACTGAAGCTCTCATGGAAAAGAGGCCTTTTTGAGACACAAAAGTCTGCTCCACTGCGAATGGGCTTTATTGGTTAGCCACGCCCATTTTTCTCAAAATAGAGCACTTTTAAAGCTTCAAAAGCTGTCATGAATGAACTAAACTGTTTTTTTTTTAGTTTTGTGCAGTGAGTGGCTTCAAAAAAGGCTGGAAAATGTGAGGAGATGCAAGAAATCGGTGAAACTTTGGAAACATCACTTTGCTGTTTCTAAGAATTTTTATTATTGATCATTATGATTTACATTCACTGCTTATAACTAGCAAGCTAGAAAAGTACGGACGTTCACAAAATACAATCGCTTTTTTGTGCTCCAATGCGAAATAATAAAAATACGGGCATTTTTTTGAGTTTTTTTCTTAAAAATAGAAAGAAATTTGAATCTTTTTGATAATTTTTCAGGTCAATATAGTGGTTTTTGTGACAATATCTTTTTTTAAAAATCATTTTTTTCAAAAATTTATTTTGTCAAATATTCTAATTTTTTCCACCTGCTTTCCGGTCTAATACAGATTCATGAACTGTAGAAAATCGTTTTTAAAGTTTTCTAATGGGCAAAAAAATTTGATAATTTCGTCGTAGTACTTTTTTTACAGTTCTTTCTCAAAGAAAGATGGGAAAAATTTAAATTTTGGAAAAAGTGCCAGGTAAACTGAAAGGAAGCCGTATTATATTAATTCGCAGTGGGGCACGAAAAAAGCGGTCGCGTTTTATAAACGTCCGCACTGAATAGCATGCCTTTGGATGGTCCGGATGAAATTATAAACTCAAAAAAAAAAATCAATTTTTCCTTCTCAAAGCCAATATTTTTAAAACTGAACTAATTCTATATGAAAAATTTATTTTTTTTCAAGCTTTTTCATAAGTAATTTTTGAACAAAAATAAAATGAGCATCTAAAAAAAGGTCTTGAGTGGAAAAACTGAACATTCTAAATACTTAAAAAAATGAAAAAAACTCGAAAAAAATGGTTACTTTTTTCAAAGTTTCACAGATTTCTTGAAAAATTCCTGTTTCAACATTTCCTCACACTTTCAAGCCTGGAAAAAAAAATAGAAATCATAAAAATTGTGCCTTTGTGTGTTTGTTGTGCGTGGTTAGTGGTGATGAGAAAAAAAAAATCAAAAAATCAAAAAATCAATCAAAAACCTATCGATAGTAGAGTTCCGAGTGGGTAAAAGGGTTATTCAGGCAAAACAATTTTTTTCATTTTATAGTGAAAAATTCAATTTTTTTCGAAGGCTTCTTATATCGAATTTTTTTCCCTTTGAAAGTATTATTTTTGACAAAAATAAAGAAAATTCATAGAAATTAAAGTTTTAATACACTAAACTGCTAACAATTCAACTCCAAAGCTACAAAAATAAGGAAAAAAAAATGCCCATTCATGGAATAAACAGTATAATAATCGGAAAATCAATGAAAATCCTCCGAAAAGTGACTTTTTTGGCCAAAAAAAAAAAACTAAATTTTGAAATTTCTAGCGATTTTTTTCGACCCCTAAACTTCAAAAAAACATTACTTTTCGATGAAAAAAATTCAGATTTCCACAAATTTTTTTCAATTTTTTTGACGTAAAAATGCCGTTTTCTGAAAAAAATTAGTCATGGAGCGCACTTTCCCCATTTTTTTCGCGGCCGTTTTTTTCCTCTTACAATTTTTTTGCTTTTTTTCTGTGGCTGGTTTTTGATAAAAATACCTCAAAAAAAGTATTTTTCCGCCTTCAAAACTGTTAAAAATATTCCACGTATGGTACCTAAAATCTAAAAATTTTAAAAACTACGACTATTGTGCACAAGAGAACGATAAGCGAGAAGAAATCTAACTCTAGGACTAAAAAAATGATCAAGAAAATGAAATATAATACCTGGTCCTTTTCGGAAAACATGATCTGTCATGAAAGACAGGAACCTCGAGGCGTAGAAATTCGGATTGTGTACTGAGATTGTGTCCTGAAAATGAAAATATTGTGTTAAATAAATCTCATTTCCGAATTTTTCCTTCAAAAATCCAGTGAAATTGGAATTTTACTGCATTTTTTCTGAACACTCTGATGCCCATAGAAACTGATTTAAATTTGCGCCCGACCACAAAACGACTTACGCGGGCATCTTCGCAAAAATATTAAAATATGATTTTCGTCTCGTTTTTTTCTGTAGAAAACTGGTCAAATCTGCAGCCTATGGAATTTCTCAACGCTCATGAATTCGCGCCCGACCAAAAACGACTTTCGCTAGCCTTATCTTAAAAACTAGCAAAATATGAACTTCGTCTCGTTTTTTCTGTGGAAAGCTAGTCATTTCGAAAATCTATGGAATTTCAAAACGCTCATGAACTTGCGCCCGACCAAAAACGACTTTCGCTAGCTTCTTCTCAAAAACTAGTAAAATATGAATTTCTTCTCGTATTTTTCTGAGCGCTTTGCAACCCCTAGAAACGCGTTTGAAATTGCGCCCGACCAAAAACGGCTTTCGCTAGCTTCATCTCAAGATCTCGTGGAATTGGAATTTTTCTGCATTTTTTTCTGAACGACTTTGCAGCCCATAGAAACTCATTCGAATTTGCGCCCGACCCCAGAACGACTTTCGCCAGCTTCTATGGAAAATTCAGTCAGTTCAAAACTGAGCCATCCTACCAATAAAATTCAAATAGAGTAGTTACTGTTGCATTAAGCGTCGTCGAATCAATTTTTCTATTAATGTAACTATCCAGAAACAGGAAAATGGTCAACTTTTTTTTTGTTAAATTTAACTCTTGTTAATATTTTTTGATATACAAGGTAATCATTGAAAAAGTCGAGAAATGAAATTTTGAAAAAAATCGCCAAGAAATATTTTTTATCTCACTCTAGAGGTGCTTAGGAACGCCGGAGTGGTCCTTGGAGGGGTTAGGAGAAAAACAGCAGCTATAGAGAACAATTTAGTGCCCCCCCTATAGGGGTTAAGAGTCTGACAACTAAGCGCTTGAACCTTAAGTGGCCCCTATAGTGGTCTTTCAACTATGGAACCCAAGGAGCCACTAGCCTGGTTCTCTTAAGTGGTCACTAACTAAAACCCCTCAAGTTGCCATTTTTGTAAGTTCAAATGACCCTAGAGGTGGAAATACGATGGTCCCTAGAGGGGGATCTTCAAGAACTGCTAAATTACCCCTCCAGGGACCACTCTGGGGTCCCTAACTAAAAAAAAAAACGAAAAAAACCAACCCCATCGTGCAGAATCGCCTTCCACGTGTGCTCAAACTTCTTCAGTAGTCGATAATTTTGTAAAATATCGATAATACCTGAAATCATGATCAATTTAAGGTATTTAAGGATTTTCTGATACCTAAATATAAAATAAGTCGATCTCCGTTGGCATTTCGGGCCGGAACACCGCCATGTGGGGTATCCGGGTCACTGGATTCCCAAACCGACCATTTTGGCTGAAAAAAAAATTGGGTTTTTGGTCGAGAATATTAGTTATAATCAAAGTATTGAAATCAGAAAAACACACTTCTAGAAATTTTTAATTGAGACGATTCGATTCTATACGTTAAAAACTCGATAAAAAAATATTTTGAAGCAAGATAAAAAAATTTACAAACGCGATTTTTTTCTAGTTTGCTTCAGAACTTCATAGGAAAGTCTAAAAACTTTTTTATTAGCACTTCCCAAGAAAGAACGAGTTTTTGAGAAGATAAATGTTCAAGAAAACCATTTTAACGATGTTTAAGGGGGGGCGTCAATTTCAGGAATAATAAAATAGGTATTTTCAAAAAAACAAAACAAAAGCAAAAAAAACTGGACAAAAATGATAAAGTTCCTTTTTTTCAACTTTTACGTTAGCTTTTCCTCGTAGAAAGAGTTTCTGATAAGAAAAACCTTAATGAGGCCTTATAACGCCTTTTAAATGTTTTTCCACTAGAGAGGTCACTTCTAAGAAACAAAAAAGGATCAAAGACGCAAAAAACAAGACAAATTTTGGAATTCTCCAACTTTTCTGTTACCTCCCTTTACTTCTGATAAGAACGAACTTCTGAGAAATCAAAAACCCTTGAGAAGACCCTTCGAATGTCTTTTTAATGTTTTTCCACTAAAGAGGCCACTTAAAAGAGACAAAAAAGGATCAAAGACGCAAAAAACGGGACCGAAATTGAAAAAAATGCTCCAACTTTTCTGTTAACTCCCTGATAAGAACTTGTTCCTAAAAAAATTTCAGAAAAGAACCCCCCTTTAAGAAGATCGTCCTAACTCTTTTCTGAAGACTTTTCCCTCAAGAGGTCACTTCTAGGAGACAAACAATTGATCAAAGACGCAAAAAACTGGACAAAAATGATGAAAATGTTCACAAAATGTAAATTTATTCAAGAATCCTAAAATTTCATTTTCCTTCAAAGAACAAGTTTCTGAGGAAAAAAAAACCTCCTAGCGTTTTTTTAATGAATTTTCCCTTAAGGGGCCACTTCTAGAAAGCAAATAATTAATCTAAAAGGTTGGAAAAAATAGTAGAATTCCTGAATTTTTCAAAAAATCCCCACACCTTCGGTCGTGCCCCGGAAGCATCGCCGTCTTCCACCCCTGCCGACGTCGTCGGATCATCTCCAGCCTTCTGAGAGGTTGCGGAAGACGTCGAAGATGTCGACGACCTCTGGCCGCCGTTCGCAGCCGCCCATTCGACGTTGTGGATGCCGACGAGCAACGAGTAATCCATGATTTTGAAGCTTTCCAGGACCTGGAAATCGACAAAATTCTTGGTCGCATTTGGAATGGCTCAAAAAGCTATGACCCTCAAAAAAAGAACGAAATTAGGTCTCGAAAAGGCTCTCTTTCCGGCTTAAAAAAAGCTCTTTGGTCGCATTTGGAATGGCTTAAAATGCTTCAGCACCCCCCAAAAAAGAAAAAAATCAAAAAAATAAGATCTCAAATTCACTTCTTCGGCTCGACTGAGAGCTACTTGGCCGCATTTGGAATGGCTCAAAACTCTATAACCCTCAAAAAATGAACAGAATGCGTCTAAAAAAACTCTTCATCTTAAGTAGGACCTCCCTGGTCGCATTTGGAATGGCTCAAAGAGCTGTGAAATTAAGTTTTGAAATACGTTTTTCCCTACAGCGTTCAAGGCCAAGAAGCTTTCATTCAAAAAATTTGAAAATAAAAGCTTTTTGGCCGCATTTGGAATGGCTCGAAAGACTATGACCCTTAAAAAAAGAGAAAAATCAGGTCTCAAAAAGACTTATTTCTTTTGGGCTTAACAAAGACCTTCTTGGCCGCGTTTGGAATGGCTCAAAAACGCTATGGCCCTCGCTTTGCCTAACGCTTGCTTAAACATTCGCGCGCAAGCCGTTTCGAGTCGGGCGCAACAATTTGATAGTGAAAAGGAACAAAAACCAACCAAGCAATCCCGACTGATCGTCTTGATGAGCGCGTCGAGAGCCACGGGTTCGATTAATAGTCCATCCCGGTGAGCTTCGTTGAAATCCAGATCTTTCAGGGTTGGATGTGCCTGAAACATTTTTCCATGAAAAACTGGTTTGATATGAAAAAAAAGTCAGATGAACTTTTCTTATAGTCTGTTCAGATTTTTAATGTCAAATGCAATGACGTCATTCAAAAACACTCTGTGGATGGCTCGCTCTCTGATTGGTTTATCGCGCCATTAGGGGCGGAGCTTGAGCGACGACTTGACATTTAAAATCTGAACAGACTATAGCAACGTCAGAGTGTTCCCTAGAGGGGTTGATGAAATAACAGCTTACTCCTGGAAGGGCTAAAATTTAAGTGGTCCCTATAAAAGTTTAGGGTTCGGCCTTTCAAGTCAGTACAGCTTGAGTGGTCCCTATAGTGATTTTTAAATGTTTTTTTTTGAGCGTTAAGGAGACGTATGGAGTCTACTACCAGGCTGCCCTAGAGTGGTCACTTTTTCAAGCTAAAGTGGTCCCTAAAGGGTCAGATAAAGTGGTTCCTAAAGGGGACCCCACTCTAGGGGCCACCTAAGACCAATTTTCTGGGATAAAAACCATTACCTTGGCCCTTTCCGCTTTATTGGCCATCCTTTTGTAGGTGGAGCCCTTCAGGTCGTACTTCTCGTGCATGGTGACCGTCTGTGGCAGCAAGTTGTTCATCACCAACAATCGGATATTTTTCCCGAGGCTCTGGTAGCAGAACAGCCCGAAGAACTTGGGGAGCAGTGTTCGAGGGTTTTGGTTCAGGTTCTAGAAGAAAAAACGTTGGAAAATCAAAAAAAATGTCATCTGCGCTCCACGGACAAAGCTGAATATTTTTCCTACTGTAGTTGATTTTTGGCAATTTTATCAGTTTCTTCGGGGATTTCTATCCAAATTTGACGTAAAATATGCCAAGAGCTCAAAAATTTGAGCTTATGCGCTCCATGGATAAGATCCGCCCTTTAAAAAATTACTTCAAAAATAGCCGCCTAAAATGGCTCAAACATCAGCTTCTGCGCTCCACTGATAAAATTCTTGATTTCTTCCGTTTTTCTTCAAATTTTGCCGAAAACGTGTTACAGTAATCTTGTCCCTTTCTCTTTTTCTCAAATTGTCCATAGAGCACAATTTCCCCCTACTACTGCGGCCTTTTTTTTCCCTGAATGAAAACTCTACCATATAATAGCCGGGGAGCAACTTTTGAAGAAATTCGGCTTCTTTGTGCTGTACGGTCTTGATGATGAACTGGTCGTCCTGGGAGACGTAGAAAATCGAGCCGGAAGCCCCGGCGTTGGTCAGCTCTTTCAGCGGTTCTGTACATATTGACCTCTGCAAAAAATTGACGTTGACCATCATTTTGATTCCTTTAAAATGAAGCGGGCTTTGCGCGGGCCGGCCCTCGGACATTTTTTAATCCCAGGCCTGCCCGGCACATGTCAGACCCGTCTATAACTCGTAGCAAGCTTATGCGAGGGCCGACCCGTCAAGCACGCTTATGCGAAGGCCAGCCCCGTCCCGCCATTTGCTGAGCCCGAGCCCGCCCGCTTCTGCTCGGGCCGACCCGTCCCGCCATTTGCTAAGCCCGAGCCTGCCGGCTTCTGCCCGGGCCGACCCGTCCCGCCATTTGCTAAGCCCGAGCCCGCCCGCTCCTGCCCGGGCTGACCCGTCCCGCCATTTTCTAAGCCCGAGCCCGCACGCTTCTGCCCGTGTCGCCCAGCCTGACGCTTATTTTAAACAAATTCCAAATGATCTCTACCTCTTTGAAAGTTTCACTTTACTAGCCGTATTTTCTGATTTTTCAAAAATCGATGGTCGCATTTGGAATGGCTTAAAAATCCAGAAACGTTCCAAAAAACTCAAGTTTCGGTTCAGGAAAAACTAAATTACGCTTCAAAAATTTTGTCAGTAGAATCAAGGCTTCTCAAAGTACGTTTATGATTCGTTACAAATTCAGAAAAAAAAGCCAAAAAAAGAAAAATCCGTGAAAAGTACTTCATTTCCTAACAACGATGGAAGAAGCAAGAGCGACGGCGAAAAAAACTTTCAATGAACTGTTAATCAATAATACGATAACTGTTAAATGCGAATGTAGCAGGTCAGTTTCGGGAGACGATTTCGAAGAGTACGGTATGTGAAAGTCCGCAATTGGCGTGTGCACTGTGCGTGTTTGCACAATTTTTCTATGTCACAATTTTTTCTTATAGTTTATGTTGCCCATAGTTGTGACCTTTTCCGATAAAATTCAGAGCAAAACTGCAGAATTCAGAATGTGCAAACACACCACGTGCACAGGTTAATTGCGGACTTTCACATACCGTAATCTTCGAAAAAAAAAAAAATCACATTTTGTCGTACCACCAGTCCGAAATTAACAAGAAATCTGATTTCTCTGTGCTCTCTCATGGCTACTTACTGTTTCTACGTTCCTCTAACCTTCACGGTGAGAGAAAAGAGAGCGCAGACAGGCCAGAGTTTCCTAATTCATAGATATATGAAAAAAAAAATTCAATGGATATGCGACAATTGTAGGTCAATCTTAAGATCAGTTTTTCACCAAAAATTGAAAATTTCTGATTTCTCTGTGCCCTCTCATGGCTACCTACTAGTCACACTATCTCTAATCTTCTCGGCGAGAGAAAAGAGAGCGCAGAAAGGTCAGAATGTCCTAACTCATGGGTGTTCAATAAGTTTCAATTAAGATAATTTTTTCACCAAAAATTCAAAAATAGTGATTTCTCTGCGCCCTCTCAGGGCTACCTACTATTTTGATGATTCTCTAACCTTATCGGCGAGAGGAAAGAGAGCGCAGACAGGTCAGAATGTCCGAACTCATAAATAATTGTTTCGATGGATATGCGACTGTTGTAGGCTAGCCTCTCAGTTTTTTTTTTCCGAAATTAAAAAACTCTGATTTCTCTGCGCCCTCTCACTTTCACCTACTATTTCTACGATTCTCTCACCTTATCGGTGAGAGAAAAGAGAGCGCAGACACGTCAGAATCTCCTAACTCGTAAAAAAGCAAATTTTCAGAATGGCCTATTCGCCAGCTACCTTCTACCTGAACTCCATCACTTTCCTGACGTTTAACATCGTATTTTTCGTCGTTTTTTACATTTTCGGCGATTCTTTACTTGCTCGCGCGTGGTCAGGTGGGTATATGAATATTTTATTTTCGACAATTTTTCTAGAAAAGACGTCTAAAACTCTCATTTTTGCATACTATTTCACTAAACTGCTTCATTTTTTAAATAAACTATGTTCTACTTTTCTACTCATGTTTTGGAACCCCTTGGCCGCATTTGGAATGGCTCAGAACGTTTCAAAAAAGCGCCCGACCCAAAACGAGTTACGCAGAATCCGCAAGACTTCGAGCCATTCCAAGTGCGGTCATTTAAAAATTGGGGCCCAGAAGGCGTGTTAGGACGATAATTTTTTTTTAAGCATAGCCGTTCAAACTAATTATTGCTTAAAAGCGTTCTCGCCATTTTTATTAGCCGATGTGAAACCGAAATATGATTTAACAGAATTTTCCAACTTTTTCCTGACTTCAGAATGATTTTTTGAATTAATTTTATCATATCTATTGAAATGTTCAGAAGAAATATATGTAGTGCTTTTTGAAAAATTCATGGCGTGTTTTATAGAATTCCTTTAGTGCGTTTTGAACGATTTACGACGTTTTTCGAAGTATATAACCCGGGAAATTTCAAATTAGCAATGGAGCACATTTTCCTGATATTCTTTAGAACATGTTTACCCTCTTAAACCAAAAAAGATTGACTTCAGGTTCAAAACAAACGTAAAAACATTATGGCGTGTTTTAGGAAGCCCCTGTAGTGCGTTAAAAACAAATTTATGGCGTGATTTCCTTTTTCATTTATTTCACCTGGGAAAGCTCAAATATGCCATAGAGCACTCTTTCTGACTACTCGCTTGAGAAATTAAATATTTTCCATCATTTTCATGCCAAAAAAGACCGATTTCAGGGTCAAAAACGGTTCGGGCGGCTCAAAAACCGGCAGAAAACGTGGATCAAAACTCATCATAATTTTTTTCTGGATTGAAAATTACCAAAAAATCGGCGGGTTTGATGTGGAAAAGATCGCGAAAGTATCGAAATGCGATTGGGGCGTAGGTTCGGAAACGGAAATCGCCGAACGAATGCGACGGCGTCGTTGGCGAGCCGGCTCTGAAAGCTTGATAAATGAATAAACTACAGGAAAATTGAGTTTCGAGGACATTTTTGATCGAAAAAAGTTCTCAAGGCTTCTAAAACTAAATTTTTCGCGGAACTCATTTTTCAACTACAATTTTCATCGTAAAACATTTCAAAGCCCAAAAAATTGATAAAACATAAAAAATGAGCTTTGATAACATTTTTGATCGATAAATGATTAGTTCTCAACGTTTCTAAAACTTAAATTTCTAATGAAACATCGAATTTAATGGCTCTATTTCTCTCTGAAAAAAATCATCAAACCTCGAACAATTAATAAAAATATATGAAAACGAGTGTTGAGAACGATTTTTTTGATCGTAAAAATGATCAGAAAAAAACGAATTTTAGTTGAAATAATGCACAAAAATACATTGAGAAAGAAATGTTACATTTTTTTCTCTATTTTTTTGGCTAAATTCACACCTTTTTTTCTTATAAAAAGCGGGAAAAATACAGGTCTCAAGGCTTCTACGACTCAAATTTCCAATGAAAAAAATTGAAAAAAATCGAGCTCTGAAAAAAATATTCAAACCTTGAAAAAAATGAAAAAAATATAAAAAAAGAGTTTCGAAAGCCTTTTGATTGAAAAAAATAACGAAAAAAACTGCAAAAAAATGAGAAAGCCTTGAAATTATGGATTTTCCTCAAATTTCGGTTTAATTCCTATGTTTCTTATAAAAAAAATAATAAAAAAACAGAATTCTCAAAAAAATGAGATTTACTGAGGAAATCGTAATTTAAAGATCAAAAACTGATTTAAATTCATTTTTTTGGAGAGAAAAAAAGACATTAGAAAAAGGTAAAAAAATATTTAAAAAAACAGCATCTTTTTTTCGAAAAACTTTCAAAGATTGAGCGAAAAATTATAAGGTTCCCATTGGCTAGAAGTTCATGAAGAATATTTGAAAAAAATAACTTTCCTTGCTGACATAATATAAAAAAATCAAAATTTAGAAAAAAACTAACGCCGGAAAATTGACATTATCGACTTTTTCAAAGTCTTGCAGGAGGAGGTCCCGATTCGGCATCGAGGCCAAACTTCCTGGAAAAAAATTCTTGATCATATTTTCTAGGAAAAAGTTCAAAAATGGTTAAACTAACACAATTCTTGAATGAAAAAATGATCAAAAACCTCATTTTTAGGTCCATAAAAACTAAAGACTTCAAAGAAACAAAAAAAAAAACGAACCAATCGAATTGGCGATGCCCAACTGAATCGCTTGCATAAGGGCATTGGTCGGGACTTTTTTGTAGCTGACCTGAGAAAAAAAACAATCAATTATTGTATTCGTTTCAAATTTTCATTGAACTTTTGATTGGGAAAACGCGAAAAAGTCATTTTTTTTTATTCCAACAGGAAAACTTTTCCGATTTCTGAAAATCTATGTATTTTTTGAAGCTCAGCCATCAGAAAAACCGCGTTATCATCGAAAAATAAATCTTGCTTCCGTTAAAAAAAGAAAGAGTTTCCTAGAAAGGAATTATTCAAGTTATCTAATACGTTCTTTTCCGATTTTTCAGGCATTTGTGCGCATTTATTTAATCAAAAGTAAACTTTCGAGATAAAAAACAAAAAAAGTTCCGTTTACTCGGGCAAAACGGCGCTTGGCGCTGGACTTGAGGCTCTAAAAAAACATTTTTCACTATAACTGAAAAATTTTTCACCGGAGATTTTTGTGGAATTTTCAGTAAAAAAATCACATTTTCGGGCCGGGTCGATCCTGCTTGTACCCTCCAACTCAAAAATGAGCCAATTAATCCGTTCATTTTTAATATTACGATTTTCTACCCCTTCCTTCTCTTATCACAAAGGAACCACATTTTTCCTATTTTTCCCAATCTACCTCTCCCTGCTTGTCGATCCTCCGATGGCCGAGCTTCTCCTTGTGCTGCTGCTCCCTTTGCTGGTTGGTCAGGGTGGTCGAGGACTGGGGTCCCAACAAGGGCGGCGGCAGGGGCATCTCCTTGGCCTCGTGGTCCGACGGCCGGATCACTCCAGAGGCGGCGCCGTTCGGCTCGTCGCCGCCGTTCACCGCCTTAATATACTTTCGTTATTTTTTTTATTCTTATATATTTATTTTTTTTTATTTATAAAAAAAATTTGGGTATTCGCAGTTGGCATGCGCAGCGGTCGCGACGCGTTTTTCACGCCAAGTCAAAAATTATCACTTTAGGGAACTCTTGAAGTTTGTTAATAAGGCATCTGCTCTGAAATCTATTTGCTATGGTTGAAACCCAAAAAAATCTCAAAAAAATGCCAAAATTTTTCAAAATTGGCGCCAAAACGCGTCGCGACCGCTTCGCGCATCAAATTGGCCGGAAAAATGAATTTTTTTAGGTTGGAAAAATTGTAAATGCACTCCCGTCAGAAGCTGATCCATTACAAAAAGAAAAAAACCAATTTTTTTATAAAAAAATCAAAGATTTTTCGAGAACCTGAACCAAGCTTGAAAAAGACTAAATTTCAAATTTACCATCCAAAAAATTAAATTTTTCCATCCAAAAACGGAAAAAAATGAGAAAAATTCTGTTTCAAGTCAATTCATCCCGATTTTAACCTAAAAAAATCACTGGGAGAACTGCTAGTGGCCCCTCTAGGGTTTTGACGTTTAAGTGGCCTCTATAGTAGTCAAATTAGTGGCCCCTTAAGTGGTTAAAGTAAAGTGGCCTCTTAAATAGTCTGACTGGCACTACTAGACCACTAAAAACTACTACAGTGGCCACTAGGACGCAAAATTATGGCTCCTATAGGGGTGGTTTTAGTGACCACTTTAGGGTCCTGTCCAACCAGTTCTTGAGGGACCTCTTAAGGGGCCACTCGAGTTTTTTCTGTTATGTTCCTCAAATCTGAACCGAAATGAAACTAATGGAAGTTCTACTGTGGACTGACGTGTAGTTTCAAGATTATTCACTTGAGAATATTCTAGTGGCCACTTAAGGGTTTTCAAGTTTTCGTGGCCATTATAGTAGCCTCTTCAGAAGCCTAAGTTTTCAGGCCAGGAAAACAGTGCAAAAGCGCACTTTTTAGCATTTTAAAAGCCGCCAAAGCTACTCAAGTGGCCACTTTAGGGTTTTGACGTTTAAGTGGCCCTTACAGTGGTCGAATTAGTGGTTCCTTAAGTGGTTAAAAAATCAGTGGTCTCTTTTAAAGTCTAAGCAATACTATTAGCCCACGAAAACTACTATAGTGGCCACTAGGACGCAAAATAGTGGCTTCTATATTAGTGATCACTTTAGGGTCCTCTCCAAGGAATCATTGAGGAGCCCTCTTAAGTGACCACTAAAGATTTTCAAAGACCACATTTTTTTACCTTGAACGTCACCACCGCCGACGACGACATTCCGCCAGTACGGCTATTTTTTCCTTCTTTTCCCTTTTTTCTTCTTTTCTGACCAAGAAGGGGTCCTTGTAGGGTAGCTGAAAAATTAAGTTTTTAGCAAGAACAAGATTAAAATAAGGTACGAAACAGGTAATAAATGATTTTAAGGGGTGTTTGAAGCAATTTGGCCGCATTTGGAATGACTAGAGTGATAAAATAAACCAAAAAAATGTCAAAAAATTGAACTTTTACGTTCAAAAATGCGATTAAAAGCCTAAAAATACACATTTTAACTAAAAAAATCGACTATTTCTAAAATTATTTCTGGGAAAAATTGAGGCAATAAATGGTTTTGAAAGCAATTTGACCGCATTTGGAATGGCTATAATGATAAAATGAACCTGAAAAATGTCAAAAAAATTGGACTTTTACGTTCAAAAAAATGCGATTAAAAATAATGAAAAAAAGACACATTTTAGCTTTAAAAAAATCGACTATTTTTTTCATTATTGCTAGAAGAAAAATGTACACGCGAAAAATCGAGCAAGGAAAAAAATGTAGCTTCATTTTCCTCCGTGCCGTTTCCAATAACGGAAAATGTTGTTTTACGGGAGAAACGAGAAGGAAAAAATGGCCGGAAGGAAAAAAAAAGTAGAACTGAAGGTGGTCGGCTAGAAAAAAAAACAGAAGGGAAATTAGGTCCATTCTCCAAGAAAAAAAGCCCCCCATTTTCTCTCGATTCTGCCAATTATTATCATCATCTTTATAAAAATCAGAAGAAGAAATTTTTCAATGATCAATGAATTTTTTTTAACGCTTCCTTTTCAAGCGAAAAAGTTAAAAAATTCGATTTTTTTCATAAGGTTTTTTTATGATAATTTTTTTACAAAGAATGAATTTTCCATTTTTAAAAATCGATAAATAATTATTTTCAATCAAAATTTATTTGAAATTTAATGATTTGAATTCTGAATAATGGTTCTTTAGTACAAGTTTTTGAGCTTATAAACAAAAATTCTTGGTTTTAAAAATTAAAAAAACTAATTTTTCAACTGAAATTTCGAAAAATGAAAAGTCTTTCCCGTTGAAAAGTTCAACCAAAATTTGATTTCAAGTAAAAAAACGGAAAAATCCAGGTTTTTTTCTGGATCTTTGACCACGTTTAAAAAGATTTTTTTCGAGAAAAAGCTTTTTGAATTATTTTTGGGGGGAATTTTTGAGGGGTTATAGAAAAGAAAAAAACACCTTCTTTCTTTTTCAGATTTTTTTCCTATATACAAAAAAAGTCAAAATTTAGAATTTTCAAGCTTTTTCCCTATAGATTTTTCAGCTTTTTCCACACACTTTTCCATGTAAATTTTCCAACACAAATAAATCTCCCAACTGAAAGAAAAAAACCTTTCGAATCGGAAAAAAATGGATTTTCGACTGATATTTTATTCAAAAAATTCAGTCATTTTCTGGATATTTTTACCACTTTTGAAGCTATTTTACAAGGAAAGACGCTGAAATTTTTTTCTGACTCTTTTTAAAAGCTTTTTTTATGGGGGTTATCTGTTTCAGAACTTTTTCTATACAAAAAGTTAAAAAAATTAAAAATTTTAGAGCTTCTCACTGGATTTTCCCAACCTTCCACACATTTTCATGTCAGCTTAGAATCGTCTAAATTCGCTCTTTTTCAGAGATTTTCTATAGAAAAAGTTTAAACTCAACATTTTTGAGCATTTTAAAGTATTTTTTTCGGCCCTTTCCACACCTTGCCATGTAAATTTTCAACACAAAAAACTTTTGAATCGAAAATAATGAAATTTTTTTCCTTCGAATCAAAAAAAAACAGTTAGAAAAATCATTCTTTACAGAGCTTTTCTATACAAAAAGTTTAAAAATAAGCATTTTTAAGCTTGTTAAAGAATTTTCGGCTCTTTTCAAACACCTCCATGTAAAAAGTTCTACACGAAAACGTTTCCAAACGCAAAAAAAAACTTCCGAATCGAAAAAAGTGGGTTCCTTGGAATGAAGGGGAAGAGATATGGGGGCTTATTAATATATATCGAAAAGCAATGAAGAATGAATAATGAATGGCTCGGAGGTAAGCCTTCATCGTAAAGGGGGAAAAAAAGAAAAAGAAAGGGAATAATTGAATCAGGAAGCCATTTTATAGCGGAGAAGTTGACTTTGGGGGAAAAAAAGTTGGGGAAAAAAATAATGATTTTGACGATTTTTTTAACCATTTTTTTCTGTACAAAATTTGAATAGGAATAATTAAAAAAACCACTAAAAAAATGCAAAACTTTTTATAAAAATAAAATAAAACCTGAAATTCTACTTCCACATCTTAAAAAAAGCAAATTTTAAGACACAAAAAAACTTCAATTAAACAATTTTTTTCAAATAAATATATAATTATAATAAAAAAATGAAATAATCAGGAAGCCATTTTATAGCGGAGAAGTTGACTTTGGGGGAAAAAAATGGCAAAAAAATACAGAATTTCGACGATTTTCGACGTTCTCTCTGTACTAAATTTGAATGGGAACAATTAGAAGCCACTAAAAAAAAATTTTTTTAACCTGTTCCAATCATTTTTTTCTGTACTAAATTTGAATGGAATTGATTAAAAAAACCACTAAAAAAATGAAAAAAATAAATTATTTCAACCTACTACATCCTTATAAAAGAAAAAAAAAACCGTAAATTACCATCCCAAAACCCTTAAAAGGCCACTTCACGCCAAAAAAAGATTCAATTGAACTATTTTTCTAACAAATTCTCAAAAGCGACAAAAGCAGCCAAGCGTTCCAGTTGATTGAAATTCGAGAAATCCGAAACCAGAGCTTTTTTTGTGCAAAATTTTTCTTTTTTTCGAGCAAATTTCATTGCAAATATCAACGAAAAAACGTCGAAATTTCGAAATTTTCGTCGAAAATCGGGTAATAGGCACCTTATTTTTTAAAATTCCGGACAGAAATTGCCAAAAAAATGAAAAAAACCTTATTTTTTTACTAAAAAAATTCAGATATTTTGAACTTCTACACTGCAAATTTATCATAGGAAATACGTTAAAATAAATATAAATAAATCCAAAAATTAAAAATTAACAAAATTCATAAAAAAAGCTTCATTTCGAAGCATTTTTCAAACACAAAAACACAAACATGAAAAATTATAAAAAAATTTTAAAAAAAGCTGGATTTTTTTCAAATTACCTCGAAAAAAAGCCAATTTTTTTATCTTTTTATTTAAAAAAGATTAAACGATGACATCTCAATTTTTTTCAAAAATTCGTTGAAAAATCGAAACGTGTTTAAAAAGGGCAAAACGATTATAAAAAGGCTTAGAAAAAGCCTTATTTTTTTCTATTTATTCGAAAAAAATACATAGTTTGGCTTCATTAGGCGCCTTTTGAAGCCAAAAAAAAGACAAAGGATTGAAAAAAATATTAATTTCAACCTGAATTTGCCGAAAAATTTATGAATTTGGCTCAAATTTATCAAATCAAAATCAATTTTTTTGGCTTTAATATCTCTTTTAAAACCGGAAAAAAATGTTTGGGAGGGTTTAGAAATACTAGAAAAGCTCAATTAAAAAATAAAACAATATACTAAAATCTCAATTTCGCAACATTGTGATTAGAAAAATGGTTCCCGGTCTTGCTATGCGCCTTTAAACATTGAAATACTCAATTTTACTTACATTAATCATTCTAAACACAGTTAACCCATGAAAAACCGTCGAAAAACGAAAAAAAATGACCTCATTTTTGCTTATAATAACTCATTAAAACCAACTAATGCTCAATTTCCGACATTGGGATGCTATAACTGATTCTTAGCCTCGCTATGCGCCTTTAAAAAAATTCGAAAACACTCAATATTAACTAATTTCACGGTTCTAAACACGAGTAAACCATAAAAAAACTGTTGATGAACAAAAAAATATCAAAAAAATACACATTTTTTTCTTCACTCATGCTTTTTTTAACCACTAATAAAAAAATTAGAAAATGTTGGGAAAAAGTTAAAATTTTAATAAAATTTATAAAGTATCGAAGTTCAATTCTAATTTCTCTTTTCTAAAAAAAGCAGAAATGTGTCAAAAAAGACTAGAAATGCTCAATTTTCGACAATCAATTGATAAAAAAATGATTTCCGGTATTGTTATGCGCCTTTAAAACATGAGAAATACTCATTTTAACCTAAATAAACCATTCTAAACACGAGTAAACCGTACAAAAATCGTTGAAAACTTCAAAAAAAGACGAATTTTTGCAATTTTAAACAGTGAAAAGATCAGAGTAAAAGCTCATAAAAATATCAAAAAAAGCTTCAATTTTTTTGTTCAAAAGAAGAAAAAAATCCTAAATACTTCTTATTTTCATGATATAATCAATTTCCGATATTGTTATGCGCCTTTAAAATCAAGAAATGCTCAATTTTACCTACTTTAGCCATTCTAAACACGAGTAAACCTACAAAAAAATCGTTAGTAAACAAAATTTTGGAAAAATACGAGCTTTGCTTCATTCAAAATATCAAAAAAAAGTTCAAATTTTATTTAAAAGAAGGAAAACTATGCCAAAAACTCTAACATTTCCTAATTTTATGATTTTAATGATTTCCCGCTTCGCTATGCGCCTTTAAAAAAACAAGAAATACTCATTTTAACCTAAATAAACCATTCTAAACACGAATGAACCGTACAAAAATCGTTAGTAAACAAAAAGAGAGAAAACCGAAGAATGGCGGAGAGAAAGAGGGTGGAAACCGATGGAAACGGCGGTTCGGCGGAAAAAAAGGAAGAAGACGTCAGAGAAGACGACGACGACGACAATAGATTCAGAAGGGATGACAAAAAAGAAAGAAAAAAAAAAGAGATGAGGGTTGAAAAAAGCGGGGGGAAACGAGTGAGGCGCACGCACTCAAAAACCTACGTACATACGTCCAGAAATCGATAAAAGCAGCCAAAAAAAAAAGGCCGAAGAAGAAAAAGTGTGCGCCGTTTTTGAGCCTCACCACTTTCGCACTCACGCTCTCGCTCACATTGACTGACAAGGATTTTCTTCGCTTTTCCGACGTTTCTCCCTCGTTTTTCTCCCTTTTTTGGAAGTTGACCCAAAGAGAAGGGACCAAGGAAAGTTCAAGGAATCGAGAAGAATTTTAAAAAATTGGTAAGTTCAAAAAAAAGCTTTTAGAAACTTATCAGGACCGTATTACTTATTTATAATGATTCATTAATTTTTTTCATGTTTATATAAATGTTGTGGAATGCGGAAAAATTCTACACTATACAAAAAAATAAAAATTTCAAACTTTCGGGCTGAGGGTTCCCTAAAGTGGTGTTAAAAATGGCTCCAGAGTACTCGAAATTTTTCCAATCAATAAAGTTCGAAATTCCTAATTTAATCTTTTTTTCCTTCACTTTTTCCCACGTTTTTCTTCATTTTTCTTCCTTTTTTGGAAGTTGACACAAAGAGAAGGGACCAAGGAATCGAAGGGAATTTAGAAAAATTCGAAAAATTCAAAAAAACTCTTTAGAAACTTGTTATGTTCTTATAACCGATTTATAGCGCCTATTTATAATATTTTAATATTTTTTTTGAAATTCATATAAAGATTTGAACTGTCGTGCTAAGGGACCCCTAAAGTGGCGTTATAACTAGTTTTCCAATCAATAAAGTTCGAAATTCCTTTCTTTTTTTCTCCGATTTTTCCCACGCTTATCTTTATTTTTTTCCTCTTTTTTTGGAAAGTTGACCCAAAGAAAAGGGACCAAGAAATCGAATAAAAATTTGAAAAAAACTTGGGAAAGCGATTTTCCAAAAAAATAATTTATTTATAGCTCTTATTTATAATATTTCTTTATTTTATTTTTCATGCTGATATGAAAAACTGTCCAAGGGACCCCTAAAGTGCTGTTTCCAATCAATAATGTTCGAAATTCCTAATTCATTCTTTTTTTTTCATTTGCAAAAGTTTGTAATGTAATAAAATTAAGAAAAATTATAGTAAGTGAGTGATTTTTTTCCAAGAAATACTTATTTATAAACTTATCGGGTTTATATAATCTATTTATAGCTCTAATTAATAATCATTCAAACCCATAAAAGTGGTCAATTTTCGCAATCAATAAAATTCGAAATTGCTTATTGCTTTTTTTTTGTTCGTTTTTCCGACTTTGACTCATCAAAAGAGACTAGAAAAGTTCGAGAATCATCAAAAATTAAAAAAAAATCATGTATTTATATTTTTTTTTTCTTGTTTTTCAAATTTGTATCACTTGTTTTATCATCGTGATGAAGCCCCTAATAATCCCAAAGTCCGAAAAATTCCAGAAATTCTAGAAAAAACTGCCACGTAGAGCTATACAGGAAGCAATGATTCAAAATTGAAAAAAAGGTCACGAAAAACCAAAAAAAACAAAGTAATAAAAACCGTCAAAAACGCATAATTTCTTTCAAAAAAAGCCTTCAGATTCCAAAAAAAAAGGGCTTTATCAAAAATTCATAGTATAATCAAAACCTGATAGTTAACCGTAAGTAATCAGCACAGTGACAAGAAGCGAGGGGAAGCCATTTCGGAGCAAATCGAAGCAAAATGAAGGGATTTTGATCGAAAAAGGGGCGATTTTAAGTGATTCAATTCAAGAAAAATCGCTCAAAACCTACTAAAATACATAAAAAAAGCACAGGAAATACAAGGAAATACGAATTTCACTTATTATTATACAACTTGTGAGACATGAGGAAACGTTTCGCGTCGGTAAATCCAATTTGGTGATAATTGGTCAGGATTGCGCGGGTTGGCGGGAAAAGGGCCTCTTTTCCGCGGTACCAATTCGCCGAACTCATCTGGAAAAAATTCTTAAATTTGATAAAAATAGACATTTTATATGTTCAAAAATGATCCAAAAAAACTTCAACAGAAAAAATAGCCGCAAATGCTCCAGAGGCTGTGAAAATCACCAAAAATTGTTAATCTCAATATTTTAGAACTAATTTTTTTCAGCCTTTTCCGTTTTTTTCTTATAAATAAAGTCACGAAAAATTTGAAAAAAATCGGCAAACTCCTGTGCGAAAAAATAGCCTCAAAAAATCTTCCTAATTGTGGAAAGTTTGCTCCACGGCAATGTCGCAATAAAATGTCTAAAAAAAATGAAATAAACTTAAAGAAAGCCAAAAAAACTTTTTCAAACTCTGTAAAGTATGCTCTATGGCTAACTTCCGAGAAATAACGCCAGAGTGGTCTCCCTAGTGGTCGGCGGGGAAAACAGCCTCTATAGGGGCCGAAAAAGTGGTCCCTAAAGGGGTTTTCATTGTGTGGGTCCTATAAAGCTTAGGGTCCAGGCTCATAAGCTCAAGCAGTCCCTTCAGGGGGATAAAGTGGTCCCTAAGGCGTTGAAGCCTCAGTGCTCCCTATAGCGGTATTTATTGTATGGGTCCTATAAAACTTCGGGTCGTAGCTCCATAACTTAAGTAGTCCCTTAAGGGGGTTAAGTGTTCCCTAAGGCGTTGAAGCTTTAGTGCTCCCTATAGGGATTGAATCTTGGTGGTTCTTATTGCAAGCTTCAGTGGCCCCTATAGTGAAGCGGTCCCTTTCTTAAGACCCCTCTAGGGACTTCTCTGACGTTCAAATTTTCTCACTTCCCCCGTGTTCATCAACCCACAAAGCCATGAAAAACACGGACCCTCAAGTTCTGTTTCCCAAAGGAGAACATCCAGTCACGGAACATCATTTCCGAGTCCTCCGGACTGATATCGGCGTCTCCGCTGAACGGCGAGCAGGTCACCGTCCGACGGTCCGTAAAAATCGGCAGATTGTTCGTGTAGCCACCGTCGATCAACGTCTGCAAAGTGCGACCTTTTTTTGAGAAGAACTTTCGAGAACTAATAATGAGATGTGGATGGATTTTATGAGGAAATTTCATTAACTCCTTTAATAATAAATAAATGAGTTCAAAGTGACCGCGCGAAATTCAAAATAGCCGTTAAAAGAACACTTCAAAATAAAGATGTAAATTTCAATCGGCACAAAAACGCATATTTATTTCATTTATAGAGTTCTGATAGATTGGCATACATGGGATGAGCATGACTGACGACAGCCAAAAAAATCGTGCGCTTTGAAAAATTTTTTTCTACGGTTTGTGCCAGTCCCCCCCTTTTTTTTTCTCGTTTTTTTGCCAAGCCCCCTTATCCAGGTGCCACTGAGACTCCCATATGTATGTAGATTGGTCTTACGAAGAAGTGTGTGCGAAAAAAAGTTATATTTTTTTCATAGATCTACTGATGGCTCTGTATTCAAAAATCACCAACCCCTCACATTGTCAAATATGTGACCCTCAGTTTGACATTTTATTTTTGAAAAAAAAGAAAGAACCTTTCCGTCGACGACCGGGGCATTCGCCGAGTAACCCATCGAGTACATTGGAATATAGCAACTGGCCAGCAAATAATGGACCAAATTGGTTCGGCTAGAATAGTGGGATACGACTTCGTTGCTGTACGGCTGAAAAAAATCAAATTTGATCTCTTTATCATTATTAAAATGAGACCTAGCCCTTCAAAAAGTTTCATTTTAAACCCCCCAGTCCAGATTTGGCTTGAAGGGGGCGACTCTTGGAAAAAAATTCCTAGACATCCTAGAATCGGTCCCCACCTAGCACTGAAGGTAGGGGGGGGGGGGCCAATTTCAAAATGAGAAGTTTCCTTTTGAACCCCCCCGGATTTCGAAAAATGCCTTGGCATCCTAGAATCGGTCTCCACCTAGTGGGGGGAGGGGGGGATCAATTATAAAATGAGAACTAGCCCTTCAAAAAGTTTCATCATTTTGAACCACCTCCCCCCTCCCCCCCTCTAGTCAAAAAATGGCTTGGAGGGGGAGGACGAAAAGGGAATAAATATTTTGGCGGGGTTACCAAAAGGTTCAATTTTCAAAGCCGCCCCCCTCCCCCTTCATTTTTTTGGCGTTATGAAAGCCCCCCAACTAAACGAAGGGGAAAAAAACTGAAATTCTAGCTTTCAATTCTAAAAAAATCCTGTATTTCAAAAAAATTTTTCCCATTCAAAAACTCACATGAAGATTGGTCACAGAAATGAACAGTCTATTCTGGGCCCTCGATATATTTTCCGGCAGGAAGGCATCTACAACCTTCAAATACCACTTTTAGATAACGTTTCCACCTTTTTTTCACAAATTAGTGGTCCAAAAATACTCATTTATAACTAATTTCCTCCGCCAAATTTCATTATCCCACTATTTTCCTTATCCAGGTGGAAAATTTGTGGGTTCGGGTTCTAAAATGGAAAATTTTAGCAATAAATGTTCATAAAACTTCGAAAAAATAGTTGTAAATCGAAAAAAAGCCTCTTATTTGCTCAATTTGAGGGATAAGATTCCCATTTGAAATGAAGAAAAATTGAATAAATAAAGAATTCTTTACTATTTTAGGTTATATCAGAGCTTGGGACTTGCTTGGGACTTGAAAATTTGATGAAAAATGGGTTATTTAAAGAGAGGAAAAGTCGGAATGATGGATAAGGGCCGCTAGAAGGGAGAGGCTCGAAAAAGGTAGCAAAAAGGTAGCAAAAAGGTCGCAAAAAGGTCGCAAAAAAGCAGCAAAAAGGCCGCGAAAAGGCCGCAAAAAGGCAGCAAAAATGGTGCAAAAAGGCAGCAGAAAGGAAGCAAAAAGGCAGCAAAAAGGTAGCAAAAAGGCAGCAAAAAGGCAACAAAAAGGGAAGCAAAAAGGCAGCAAAAAGGTAGCAAAATGGCAGCAAAAAGGCCGCAAAAAGGCAGCAAAAAGGCCGCAAAAAAGGCAGCAAAAAGGCCGCAAAAAAGCCGCAAAAAGGACGCAAAAAGGCAACAAAAAGAGAAGCAAAAAGGCAGCAAAAAGGTAGCAAAATGGCAGCAAAAAGGCCGCAAAAAGGCAGCAAAAAGGCCGCAAAAAGGCAGCAAAATGGAAACAAAAAGGGAAGCAAAAAGGCAGCAAAAAGGGTCCCTCTATCGAGCCTTCCATTTTTTCTGGGATTTTAAAGGCTCAAAAAATGGTGGAAAAAGGGAGAGGCAGCAAAAATGGTCCAAAAAAGCCGATTAAAAGGTGCAAAAAGGCAGTAAAAAGGACCCTTTTTCCACCCTTTCCTTGCCTATGTTCACTGAAATTTACAGTAAAGCTGGTCAAAATTCAGGTTTTCAAACACCTTAAAAATTATCTAAAATGCCTTTCTAACTATGTATAAAGATTTAATGTCTTCAAATTATTCAAAAAAATGAAAAGAAAGTTGTTAATTGGGTTAAAAAAAATCGAAAAAAACATAATTTTCAGGTAAAACCAATCAAAAAAAGCTCCCAGAAACTTACTCCCAAAAAGCTTATCATTGAGGAAAAAAATCCGGGGGTCAGGGCTCCAAATCGTAAATCGGCCACTTCGTCCGCCACCTTGTACAAAAACTTCAACGCCGTCGTCGATTCTGAGGAATTTTATATGATTTTCAAAAAGTAAAATCCAATCTTTCGTCGAATTTTTTTGAATGAAAGCCATAAAACTTCATGCTAAATCTCTAATAATTCAAAAGAAAAAAAGATTCGAAAAATCCCAAAAAAATTGAAATGAGAAAAAAATTGACCCTGAATTTTTTTCAAAGAGAAATATGACAGGGAAAAAAAGTTCAAAACTATGTAATTTTTTTCGACGAAAATTTCGAAAATTTTGACCGTTGAATTTTAAAAAAATCGCGTCAAAATGTGTTTCTGAACTTTTTCAAATAGAAACACGACAGTGAAAAATTTCAAAACTTACGTAATTTTTTTCACGAAAATTTTCAAAAATTTGACCGTAATATTTTTTTTAAAAATTGCGTCAAAACACGAGCTAAACTTTTTTTCAAAGAGAAATACGACAGTAGAAAATTCAAAAATTGTAATTTTTTTCACAAAAATTTTCGAAAATTTGACCGTTATAGTTGAAATAAACTGCGATAAAAATAAACCCTGAATCTGAAGCGGAAAAACGACTGGAAAAAGTTCAAACTATGTAATTTTTTTCACGAAAAAAATTTCAGAATTTACCATGAAAAACTTTTTCAAATAAATTGCGATAAAATGGACCCTGAACTTTTTCAAAGAGAAATACTACAGTAGCAAATTCAAATAATGTAATTTTTTTCACGAAAAAAATTCAGATTTTAAAATGTAAACTTTAAATAATTTTCAAAAAAATTGCATCAATATTCAACCTGAATTATTTCAAATAGAAATACGACAGTAAAAAAATTTCAAAAAAATTAAATATTTTTTTCTCACGAAAAATTTGCAGGATTTAATCCCTTTAAAAATTTGAACTTTTTAAAAATTTTTCAACTCTTACAATATTAATTAGCAATGATAATGATCCTTAACAATAATAAAATAATCACTTTTCAGGACAAAGGGCCAATAAAGAGGCGACCAAACTGCCGGCGGAAGCTCCCGCGTATCGGTCGACTTTTTTCAAAAGTTCCTGGAAGAATGAATAAATAAATTAGTTTTTATTATTTTAATGATGTCTAGAACCAATTTAAAGCAAGAATAAACTTTTCCGTGGTCCAATAAACATCGGGCAACGCCGAAATGATACGCGCCAATGAATCCGCAGCCACTAAAGGACAGGCAAATTTTCGTAACATCTAAAAAAATTCTTTTTTTATATCGATTTTGTTAAAAAAATAAACCTTGTAATGAAGTTTTGGCGATAGTTTGCCGTGAAAACCACATCGGGACAAAGGGAATATTGTGTGAAACGTCGACTTCTGAATCGGTTTTCTGAAGAAAAACAACATCTTTTTCATATTTGAAAGAAAATGAACCTTTTTCTGCTGGTTGTTCCTATCAGAGTCGGAGCTTTTAGACCAGGATTCCTTACTAAAACAATTGAAAAAAGCGTTGAAAATGAAAATGAGAAAAACCAACCGTTTATCGAAAGAACCTTGTTTATTTTCGATAAAGTTGTGTTGTTTCGCATCAAAACAATAAACAGATGTGGAATGTGCGCTCCGTTGACAAACCATCTCATTTTTTATGGATGGCTGAAATGAAACATCACAAAGAATAGGGAATGCTTAATTTTGAAAGAATGTTGCGAAATAATACACTGCGCGTCATAGTTATAGACGCACCCCCATTTTTGCATTTTTCAAAAGATACGTTGAACTTCTTGCAATCAAACCTATTTTATGACGAACCTTAGATCAAACAACTAACATTGGGAAGAGAACTACAGAAGACTCAGTACAAAAAATTTTCGAAATCCGTCAAAAATAGTTTTTTGACCGGGTCATAATTATAGACGCACCCTGGGTCAGGGCTCATTTTTTACTTGTGTTGGAACTTTCGCCTTTCTTATTAATTTTAAATAAACATCAAAGTTAGTAGGAGGCCACAGCATTTTAAGTAATTTTGAATCAAGCAACTTTATTTACAAACCATGCGAAAAGCGAACAAAATCGAAAATTTCAGAAAAATGGTTTCTTCTGGAAATATCAAAGAATTTATATCGGAGTTTGCGTATTAAATTCTCAAATTACGTTGTTTTGAACAATAACTGAAAAGTTCGAGAAGAAAAAATGTTTCTGCGGTACGAAAAATATCTTTGAATTAGGTGGATTCGCTGTTCATAGGTAAACTCCGATATAAATTCTTTAATATTTCCAGAAGAAACCATTTTTTCTGAAATTTTCGATTTTGTTCGCTTTTCGCATGGTTTGTAAATAAAGTTGCTTGATTCAAAATTACTTAAAATGCTGTGGCATCCTACTAACTTTGATGTTTATTTAAAATTAATAAGAAAGGCGAAAGTTCCAACACAAGTAAAAAATGAGCCCTGACCCAGGGTGCGTCTATAATTATGACCCGGTCAAAAAACTATTTTTGACGGATTTCGAAAATTTTTTGTACTGAGTCTTCTGTAGTTCTCTTCCCAATGTTAGTTGTTTGATCTAAGGTTCGTCATAAAATAGGTTTGATTGCAAGAAGTTCAACGTATCTTTTGAAAAATGCAAAAATGGGGGTGCGTCTATAACTATGACGCGCAGTGTAGAGTTCTGGGGTTTTTTTTTTGAGGATTCTTTTAGAGATTTAGCACTGCGGGGTACATAAAAATGCTTCAAACTTTTTTTTCGTAGTTTTTGTTATTTTTGTGAAAACTGTTATAAACTTATGTTGCAAAAAACCCTAGTGGGAAGTGAAAAAAGGAGATTTAAAAAAAAGTTACCAAAAAAAAATTGAAAAAGGTCCTTTTTGTTGTGAAATTACCTTTTAAAAAAATTCTGTACGAATTTCTCAAATCTTCTCTTATTTATAGGAAGATTTATCAAAAGGTCTTACTTGGAAGCATTTCATAACGATGAAAAAAATTTAAAAAAACAGCTTTAAAATAGCGAAAAATCCGCAAAAAAATATCCTTATTTTTTTCTACTTCAAAAAAATTTGGCAAGATTTAAACCTGTATGTTTCATAATTCATTTTTTTTATACTCCTATCGCCAGACACTTCAAGTAAAAACCAATAAAAAACTATTTGAAAAGAAAAATATCCCAAAGTTCCCCAAAAACCAACCCTTCCATCATTTTTCCCCTGTGATCCAGTATAATTATCCTCTCTGCAATTTTTTGCTTCTCTAAAAAAAGCAAAATTCCAAAAATAACTTCGAAAAAAGTTACAAAGCCGGATCGTAGCAATAGAAAGATTGTTTCAGAGACAGAGGCTTCAAATTTGCACTGAAAATTTGAAAATTTTCGAGTAAAAATATGAAAAAACCTTCGAAATACTCGATTTTCGTCCATCGGCTCCAAAAAACGAGTTTTCAAGCTTTTTTTGTATAGAAATGGGGCCGATTTCACGTTTTTTTCACTGATAAATATGAAAAAAAGGACGGGTAGAAAATGAAATTATGATACAAAAAGGCATAAAATGGACATAAATCGAGAGAAAAATAAGAAAAATAAGCGAAAAAGGCTACAAAAATGGACAAACGTTGTAGAAGTTGTACTTGGAATTAGGTTGAACTTCGAAGAATAAGATTTCTCTTTATAGTTACAACTATAATTCTTCAAAAGACTATCCACAAAAGAAAACAGACGAAAATCCAAAAAAAAAGGAATTTTTCATTTAAAACGCCATTTTCCTGCGTACTTCCTTTACATATACCCCTTTATTTAGATTTAAAAAATAAAAACATTAGAACATTATCCTTCGGGTCTGTTTCTGCAGTATACTTCCAACATTAACGCATTTAAAACCACAAAACTCGACTCTCAACTCCGCGCCCCTATTGCAATAAACCTTGCCGCCGTTGCAATCAGCCACGCCTTCTGACCACAGGGCATGGGAACACTGTGAAAACTCGAATAATATTTTTTTAACGGTTATGCAGGCTTGTGCGTCAGGCCGGGCGGGCCGGCCTAGCCCGGGCCTTAGGCCTACAACTTAAAAAAAAGCCTGGTGGGCTCGGGCCAGGCCGAGCTTCGAAGAAATCTTAAATTACCTTTTGAAAAAATTTCACGGAAAAATTATTTTTACTTATTGAATCATAGTTTCTAATAACTCTATGAGAAAAAATAAGCAAAAATCATTTCTCTCGTTAAAAAAAGCGAAAAATTCGACTTGTAGAATTTGAGTTTTTTGGCCGGGCCGGCTATTTTTGCTTAAGGCCTCCCTAGGGCCGGGCCGGGCTTGGGAAGTGGCCGGGGGGTTGACGGGCCGGCCCTCGCACAAGCCTGCGGTTAAGAAACAAATCATTGAAACTTTCTTTCTCGACTCGTCCATTTTATCAGGTTGATAAAAATATTTTCACCCCTTTAATAGTCCCTTGGGAGTTTTTTTTTTCCAAATTCCATATCTCTTCATATCATGTTATCAAAGATTATTACGAAAACAGCGGCCCACGGAAATTTCGCAATAATCAACAACGCTTTTCCTCCAACGTGTAACCGGACAACTTGGAGCTTTTTGGGGATATAAATACGGCGAAAAATGGAGAAAGAGACCAATATTTCTCTTTTTTACATCTTTTCAAATCATGGTCTTTGATTGTACTGTGACTCTGAACGTCGGCGGTCAGCTTTTCTACACCCGAAGGAGTACCCTGGCGAACCGGGGTGAAAATGAACTTTATAAGGTGAGAAAAATCGATTTTTCAATGGATTTTCGTACATTTTTGAAGATTTACTCTGGACAAACTATGGCCGAATCGAATGGGACCTATTTCATTGATAGAGATCCCACGCTTTTCCGCTACATTTTGAACTATCTACGCGATGGCCGTGTCATTTTCCCCGACGATCCTCTCATCATGGCGCAGCTGTTCCAAGAGGCCAAGGTTTGAAGATTGAATCACAAAAAATACTCTGAATATCACAATTTTTCAGGCATTGGGTCTTGAAGAACTGGCCGAGAAAATCAGTTTGTCGTCGAAAAACGCCACCGGATACCACGATTTCAAATTTTGAAGCAATATTGTACAAAAATGTAATTTTTTTCTTGTGTGATAAATATTTTTTTGTGAAAACAATTTCAAAAATGAATTAATTTTTTTGTATAATCAAAAATTATTTCAATATGGTTTTGCTGGGGAAATGTGACGAATAAACAATTGAACGAAACGAAATTTAAAAAAATTTATAAAAAAAGGTCGAAAAATACTCTGAACGTCGCTAAAAAAAGATGTATTTATGAAAAATTTGATAGTAAAAAGTAATGAAAAACTCCTTCCTATTAAAATATTCGCGTTTTTAATTGGAAAATGAAGAATTTTTCAAAAATCAAAAAATTATTCGGCGCCAAAGTGTGCCCGGAACAATACTGAGTTTCGTTTAAAAATAACTTTTTTTTCACGTTTTCGAGCAATTGAGCATTCTTCCACTGAAGAACACACCGATTTAAGTTATTGCCGTGTTCAAAGTAATTTCCGCGAAATGCAAAATACCCGTTAGAGAAAGGAAAAGATCACTAAATTTTGGAGAGTCAGAGATCATTTTGCATTTCGCAGAAATTACTTTGAACACGACATATGGAATCGCAAATAAAAAAACAAAATGAAAAATAGAAAAAAATTTTTAGAAAAATCCGCAGGAAAAATAGGTCAAATGCGCTCCATCGATAATTTGCGTCTTCTGTAGTTTTCAAATAATTTTTCCAGTTTCGTTTTTTTTCATTTCTGTTTCTCTGAAAGAGTGGTCCTGCAAGTTGCAACTTTAAACGAAAGAAATTATTGAAAAAATGCGAAATATTTTAACTTATTCTCAAAGAAGAATTCATTCAAAATATTGAAATTTGTGTATGTTTAAATATCAATTTTCACCTGTCTGTTCCAATAAATCTCACTCATCACCACATTAAACTCGTAGAAAGTGGGAAAAAAAAACACAGTTGCAACATCTGAGCAGTAAAAGAACAAAAGGGCACGATCCATCGATCATTCGGGCTTCCGCGGGCGTCGGTGGGGGGAAAGCGTCCGTTGCTCTGTCGGTGATTTATATGATTCTGATGCACACAACAGGCGAGAGCGCCTGTTTAGTTCGTCGCGATGACAGAACCGTCCCGAAAGCTTTACCAGACCTCTTATTTTCAAATCACGACATCTTCCCTCTTTCTCGGCTTCTTAGTTATTTTTTATAAGTTTAAAATGGCTTTTTTTCAAATTTTTTTCGGAATTTCCAACAGAATAGGGAATTTTCTGACCAGGAATTTCTTCAAAGATTTTTTTTTTGCTGAAATTTCTGATTTTTTTTAAATTTTCAACGAGCTCAAGACGGATTCTACCATGTTAATTCACTTTTTAGAAATTCTTTTGAGAGGTCAGGTTTTTAAAAAAGCCTTTACAGCATTTTCAAAGCACAGATAATTTACCAGCATGAAAAATAGCTTCTAGTGAACCTGATCTCATTAAAAAGTCCAAATTTTCACTAAAATCTGAATTTCAAGATTTTTTCTCGGTTCAATTTTCATGGAAAAGCTTCCAAAAACCTTAACTTTGTTCTTATTTTTTCCTCTTATCAAGTTCAGAGTGGTCCCTATAGGGGTTAGAGGAGAAAAATAGTACCTAGGGGCCGAAAAAGTGGTTACTATAGGGGTCTGGCCCCTTAGCCCCTAAAGCTTAAGTGGTCCCTATAGGGGTCTTTCAATTTCATTCAAAAAAATTATTTAGTAGTTTTTGCATAGAAAAAGCTTCATAACAATTACCGACTAGCATGTCCCCTTATAGGGCCACTTTTGCAAGCTTTAGTGGCCCCTATAGGGTTGGTAAGGTACTCCCTAAAGGGGACCCTATAGGGACCTCACTTAAGATCCTAAGAACGGATGAGTTAATGATATTTCTATCTTTTTTTGAAGGAACCATGGATTCTATAATGATTGGTATAGACGTTGGGGGCAAAGTTTTCAAGACGCTTCTTGGAAATTTGGCCAAAGCCGAGAGGACCAGCACCCTTTACATGGTAAAAGATCGATTTTACAAATAAAGAAAAAAAGTTGCAGCTCTACACGCAGATCATCACCGGGACGATCCGTCCTGACGAGCATTTCAACTATTTTCTCGACCGAGATCCCAAATGCTTCCGTTACATTCTCAACTATCTGCGGGATGGCCGTCTGATCCTACCCAATGATGGTCATACGGCCGCTCAGCTTTTCGCCGAAGCCGAGGTTTTTTTTTCGCCAAGACCATCTTGTAGAGCTTTTCATTGCGAATCGAACGGTGTATTTGAAATCCAACAAAAGTTCCTAGTTTTTGAGAAAAACTACTCCAAAGTTCAAAGTCCGCGCCAAAAGTGCATCTTGCAGTAAAGTTGCTCCACGGCTAAAATGAATCCTTGTTTTTCCTTGTATTATAGTTCACGGCGTTTTTGTTAGGGAAACCAAAATTTTTTTGGAAAATTACTTTGAACATGGTGTGTGCTAAAGCGCCGCAGTGCTTGCACACTACACACTATACTTTACGGGAAAAAAATAGGAGCAAAAAACGCCGTGAGTTTAATACAACATCAAGAAAACCTCCGATAAAATGGGAAAAATTGAAAATGTTGATGAAAATTAGGTTACGGTAAGCAACTTTGTGTACACCGACCCTATGGCGCGAATTGAGTTTTTCAAAAAAAAAATACGGGGTTTCCGGGATTCGCAAGTATCCCGATTGCGATGGAAAGCTTTAAATCTCAAACAAAAAACGTACTCTTTTATTTTCAGTCTCTCGGGCTAACCGGACTGGCAGGACGCCTCAGCAATTACGTCAAGAGAAACCCGGGAATCGTGAAAATTCCCTTGTGATGACCGAATACTTCGATTGCCTTACTTGTGTCATTTTATTTCTTGCAAGAGTTGGAATAAATTTATTTTTCTCTAGAAAAAAATACCATGTGACTATTGAAATTAATAATTTTTTGAACCTGGTGGGAAAATTTTTAGTGATCACTATAGAGGCTCGCTAAGGACTTCTTGGAGAGGGACACTAAAGTGGCCACTAAACCCACCTCTATAGTGGCCACTATTTTTCCGTTTTAGTGATCACTATAGAGGTTCTCTATTTAAAGGCCACTTAAGTAGTTTTTCATCCAGTATTCCTTCCAGTAACTTTGATAATTCTAAAACAGATTGGACCAGTTATGTTGATCCAGTGACCCCTAAAGTGGCAACTAAAATTTTTAGTGGTCTAGTAGTAGCAATTAGACCTCTATAGTGGCCACTAATTTGACTACTATAGTGGCCATTAAAACGTCAAAACCCTATAATGGCCACTAAAAATTTTCTTATTAGTGGAAGGAAATGCAAAAACCAAAAAGGAAAGGGGCGGAGTCAAAACCTCTGCCGTTCCCCTGTGACGTCATAGGAAAAAAGCATCAACAACAGGGAATATTAAAGGCGCATGTTCAATGGGTCATGAGACGATTCGATTTTCTCGTTTTAAAAAAACAGCAATCTGTTTTTTTTTCTGTTACCGTGTGCAAAGTGATTCCGCGAAATTAAAAACAGCTGCCAGTGAGTGAAAAAAATTCAACTGAATTTCAGAAATTCAGAGCTTTTCATTTTTTTGAATTTTACGAAAATTTAATTTGAACACGGTATGTGCGAAAGCGGCGCTGTGCATGCACACGAAACACTGAACTTTACGGAGAAAAAAAATGGGCGGGACCTCGTCACACGGCGTTTTTGTTAATTGAAGAAAATGAGAAACCAAAAACACGGTGGGCGGAGCCAAAATATCCGCCGTTCCCACGTGACGTCATGGGAACGGCAGAGATTTCGGCTCTAAGAGCGTGAATAACTGGGGCATATTAAAGGCGCAAGCCGCCGTGTTGCCAGAGGTTTTCAAGAATCGATTATTTCTCTACATAAACGCAATTTTCTGCGCGAAAGCGCCGCAGTGCATGCACACGACACACTAGACTTTACGGAAAAATATGGGCGTCGTCAAAAAAAAAAAGCGCCGTTCAATTGACGCAATATCTGAACGGAAAAATGATCTCGAAATTTGAAAAATGGGGTAAGTGACCACTGGAGGGGTTTTGCTTTTGAAATTGTAATAAACTTCAAAATTCACAGAGTATCTCACTCGAGAAAAAAAGATAGTAATTTACACTGAAAAAAAATATTTTCGAAAAAAATTTAGGCGAAAGAACCTACTAAAAAGGTGCGAATGAAGGATAATTTATGATTTTGATACAATTTTCAGTTTTTGGAAAAAAATTAATTTCCTCTCTAACTCTATAGGGATTGTATCAACTAGATCTCGTTGCCGTTTTAGAAAAACCAAAAAAATGATCAAAAAAATGGTTTTTGCTATATAGTTCTACGAGTGAATGACTCATGAAAAATAGTTTGCTATCAAAAAAATTTTTTTTTGCATCGATTCGCATAAAATGACGTTCAGTAAACAGTTGATAACGCGTCGAAATTGTTGTTTCTTTCATTTTTCTCCTATTGATCGCGTTTTTTTTTTTGAACGTAGGAGTTGAGCAGAAGACTTAAGATCGACAGAGTGGTCCCTAGAGGGGTTAGGGAAGAATAGTCATTATAGGGGGCCAAAAAGTGCTCCCTATAGGGCTTAAATTTAGGTAGTCCCTATAGGGGTTTAGGGCCTGACTTATAAGCCTCTAAAGCTTTCAAGTGGTCCCTTAAGGGTTCTTAAATTTTTTTCCTGGTCTTCAAGTTGCGCATTAGGAGTACTAGCATGCTTCCCCCTAGAATGACCACTTGTGCATTCCGAAGTGCCCCCTATAGGAGTAGGTATGATGATATTTTGAGGGGAACCTATAAAAGTTTCTCCAGTGACCACAAGAAACGACAAAAATGCTCAACTAAAGTGGCCACTTTTGCAATTTTTAGTGCCCCTATAGGGGTGAGTAAAATGATCCCTAAAGGGGCATCTCAAAGGTCGCTAAGAATATCCCTTTAGGGACCACTCTACCTTTTCTAAGGAGGAGACTCTAATCTGTCTTTTTAACTTTGAAATCTGAGAAAAAAATTAAAAGATCACTAAAGGCACCACTTAAGCTTTAGAAGCTTGAGTACGGACCTCAACCCCTATAGGGAGCACTATTTTGTCCCCTACAGGAGCCGTTCTCCCGAATCCCTTTAGGGATCAATCTACCGTTTCTAAGGAGTATTGCGAAACATTTGAAAGCTGTTTTTTTCCTAAAATATTTTTAAATTTCGGGGTTTTTTGGCGCTTTTTTCGTTTCCGCTACTATTGGAAAAAAATGGAAAATTTCATTATTTTTCCTTTATATATATATATATATCGTTAATCTTTAAAGTTTCTAGCTTCTCGACCCTAAAAGTCCTATCATAAAATGCGATTTTATGGTCCCTTTTTTCAATTTACGCAGTCTTAACCCAATTACTGACCTTTTCCTGATGGATTTGTACTAAATATCGATTTTCAAAGGTCCATAATTATGGTTGCTGACTGGATAACAATTCTTGACGTTCGCGGTACAATTTTCCACACTCATCAGGGAGACGCTAGCCCAAAGGAGGGCAAAAAAACGAACTTTACAAGGTGAAAATTTGAGTTTCGGGCCATTTTTCCTGTGAAAATCGTATTGGGGTTCGAAAAATTTTGCTTTTTTCGGATTAATTTCACTAAATACGTTTCAAAAAGGTGCTCTGGCGTTTAATAAAGAAAGAGTGGTCCCTAGAGGGGCATCTTAGAAGTCCCTAAAGGCTCCACTCCAACGACCACCTTACTGCTCCTTAAGAGGTCACTTAAGCTTGCAAAAGTGGCCACTCTAGGGGAGTATGCTAGCGGCTCTCTTTCGTCTCTTTAATTTTAAAACCTGAGAAGAAAAAAAAGAAAAAGCCCTTAAAGGGACCACTTAAGCTTTAGGAGCTTGGGAGTACGGACCTCAACCCCTATAGGGAGCACTTTTTTTGTGTCCTACAGGAGCCGTTTCTTCCAAATCCCTCTAGGGAACACTCTGGAGTTCCCAAAAAAGATCACATTGAAAAAATAGCTCCACACATGAACCCAGCCGTTTCAAGGCAAAAAAAAAAATAACTTACAAAAAAAATTTTTTTTTTGAAGATCTACATTGGAGATGCCATCTGCGACGATAATTCCCACTATTTTATCGATCGAGATCCCACGTTATTCCATTATATTCTCAATTATATGCGCGACGGTCGTGTAATCCTACCGGATGATGGTCATACGGCCGCTAGACTTCGCGTCGAGGCACAGGTTAATCAAAAAATCGAGAAATTAAACAATCTTTTCAATTTTCAGGCTCTAAATCTTGACGAACTGGCTGAAGGCCTTCTTCCGTTCATGAGCAAAAGCACAGGATTCATAGAAATCAAATTTCAATGAACAATGATAAATCACTGACAGATTAACTAATTTGATATATTCAAAATTGTTTTTCTGTAATCATGTTCCATGAAAGTTCGAAGAGAAGTACTGGGAAAATGTTTAGTGGCCACTATAGGGTTTTGGCGTTTAAGTGGCCACTATAGTAGTCGAATTAGTGGCCACTTAAGGGATTAACAATTAGTGGCCACTAGAGAGGTCTAAATGCTAGTACTAGACGACTAAAAGTTTTAGTGGCCACTTTAGGGGTCAGTGGATCAACATAACTGGTCCAATATGTTTGTTTCAAAATCACGGCTGGCTTCAGCCATCGAAAAACGGGTCCTGACACGATAATGCACGAGACAGCGCCTGGCTCGTGGAGAGCGCAGACAGGACACGCCCCTTTAGCGTCCCAAGCTGGCCGTAAATCAGCTATATATACAAGCTTAATTATTTATTTCCTATGACACTGAAAATGCGCGCCACTGCACTTTATATTCCCACCATTTCGAGGTTAGTATGAGCAAGAGCTAAAGGTATATAATGCAAGGGCTATTGAAATTACCTGTCATTCGCTTTCGATGAGGGTTTTCTCAATCGATACATGCCGTACTCAAAGTAATTTCTGAGAAATTCAAAATTAGCTCTGAGTCTCCGAAAAGCTATTTTGTACGGCCGTGTTCAAAGAAGTCTTAATGATTTCAGTTTCGTTTCGTTTGAAAATTTTTTTTTGCAAAATACACGACATTGGAATTTTGCGGGACCTACAAAGATATATACGGTGACTTTTACGTGAGAACTCAAAATTTTCGTAAAAAAATGTTCAAATGATTGCGAAATTTGAAATTAAGTCGCCATCTAGGTGTACTTAGGAATTCCAGAGTGGTCCCTCTAGGGTTAAAATAAGCTGATCCCTATAGGAGTTTAGGATCAGTCCCCTTAGCCTCGAAAGCTCAAGTGGTCCCTATAGGATTCAAAAAATGCTTAATTATTCAGTTTTTCGCATCGAAATGCTTCTTCGCATTGAGTTTATAACAGTTATCGACCAGCATGTCCCCTATAGGGGCCACTCACTAAAACTTCTGGAGTGGCCACTTTTGCGAGCTTTAGTGGCCCCTATAGGGGTTGGTAAAGAGCCCCTAAGGTTGCCCCTATAGGGACCACTCTGGAGTTTCTAAGGGCTCAGATTTTCTAACTGCTCCCGGAGTTCCAATTTTGCATATTTCTCGAAATCATTTTAAACAAATACCGCGTCCGTTTAGAAATGACCACAATGACTTTGGACCCGATTAAAAAGAATAAAAAGATCAAGCAGGATTATTGGATAAACGCGATTTTTATTAGATCCAGGGCTTAACGAATAATGTATTAAGTTCAACTTCTCTTGGTCTCGAAATGTCGGACAAAAATCCGATTGTAACCCTGAACGTTGGTGGTCAACTCTTCAACACGCGACTCGAAACTTTGGGTAATCGGGGGCGAAACGAACTATACAAGGTAAATTGATTTTTATTTCAACTTTAACTAGGGACCGCAACCAAATTTTCAAAAAGCTTCAATATTACTATGGTTGGATAGCTGAGTGTAGGACAAAAGCGCCGATTCCAAGAGCGCCGTTCAAATTGAGCGCCAGTCCGCAATGCGCCGTCGCGTGTATGCGCCGTGTATGCAGATGCCGCTTTCTTTTGCGCCGAGTCCGTTTGCGCCGAATCGTTTTGCGCCGTTATTTCAAACTTTTATTTTTTCGCTCTTTTTATATTATTGTTTATTGATTGTGTAGTACGCATTCATATAACACTCGAAGAATAATTTTCGCGCCATCTGTTAATATGGACTTTTCTGCCGCATTTTCGAAAAAAAAACTCGAACAATTGTTTCAAGAAAATGAGTTTAACGTTACGAAAAACGATTTTCTGCTGTTTCACGTCTGCTAGAATTGAAACTCTACCTTACCTAACGCAGAAAATTTGCGACCACAAAAAAAATCACTCATTATGTCGTTTAAAGCAATAATTTTTTTTATCCATTCTCTTTTCCTATCGTTTTCTGTATTTTTCGATATCAAAGGATCATATTTGATTTTTTATTTGTACTTTGAAAAGGAAAAAGAGGAAAAAATATTTTACCTGGACCAAAGTAGACCTAAAAACTCATCATTAACGGATGGCGCGAAAATTATTCGAGTCGTACATGAATGTGTAGTAAACAATTATTAAAAAATAATATAAAAAGAGCGAAAAAAATAAAAGTTTGAAATAACGGCGCAAAACGATTTGGCGCAAACGGACTCGGCGCAAAAAGAAAGCGGCGTCTGCATACAGGGCGCATACACGCGACGGCGCATTGCGGACTGGCGCTCAATTTGAACGGCGCTCTTGGAATCGGCGCTTTTGTCCTATACTCGTATAGCTGCTCCAATTTACTTTTTCAAAAACAGTTTAGTTTTTTTCAAAAAAAGGTTGAGAACAAAAAAAGTTATAGTTAAAAACAGTAGTGAAAAAAAGTCGCGCAGTTTAGTACTGAAAGTTTAGATTTTATTGAAAACTTTTTAAAACTTTTATTTTTTTTAGAGATTCAGTTCAAAGTGCTTCCGTTTTTTTGGCGCTTTTTTTCATTTTTTTATGTTGGCTTCAAATTAACAATAATTAAACTTTTTAGATATCGTAGAAATTTTTATTTTTCTTTTTATTGATTGAAAAATTGAGATACGTTAATATTTAAGAAATAAAAAAAGGCGCCAACGACATCTGACCATGTTAAAATGAATTTCGAAATTTTCACCGTCCATTTTTTTCTCAAAAAAACAAAGCTTTCGGAATCAGTTTTATACTAATAAAGTTTTGGTTATAATTTAATTCACAAGTTAAAAATTAAAATTTTTTTACTTACACGCACTCGAAACCGAGTAAATAATTTTCAACTTTGCGCGGCCTCACGAAGATTAGACACCGTGGAAATTTTTAATTTTTTTATCTTAAAAGATTTGTTTTTTTCAATTAAAAAAATCGAATTCGAAAATAAAAAAAGGCGCCAACGACATGGAACTAGGTTAAGAACTCGAAGGAAAAAAAGTAGTTTTGGTTTTTTGTACGACACTCCGCTAAAACGCTACGAAAATCGGGTGAAAAGTATATCAGATTGAAGAGGAAGGTTTTCTCTATGTTACCACTAATTTTCTTTGTGTTTGGTTCAGTATTGCGCTTTTGAAAAATGTTAAAGTCTTCAACATTTTTTTTTTGAAGATTTACTCTGGCGAGACTAAGCCGGAAAAAGATGGCACCTACTTCATCGACCGTGATCCTAAGCTCTTCCACTATATCCTCAACTACATGCGAGATGGTCGTATTATTTTCCCGAAGAAGGACCTCATCACAATGCAGATTTCCCAAGAAGTCGGAGTAAGAAGCTTAAAATTCTAGTAAACAAATGATTGTATTTTTTTTTAGGCTCTTGGTCTCGAAGAATTATCTAAAAATCCTGAGGTATTACCCGGGGGAGCGGCAGAGAATATAATGATCACAATATTCTCAAATACTATTTAAATTCTATTTAAAGATATGGTGGCTTTTTTCCCGTTATTTTATATATTTCTTGAAATCAATTGTTGCAGCAATATCCTCACATTACTCATCTATGGCTTTATGTGGTACAACGAAAAAAAAAAAATGCAAAATCACGGCGAAAGTGCCATCAAAGGCGAATATCATCGAAGAAAAATTTCGCGATGATAAAATTTATCATAATGAACCAAGGGACCGCTAGAAGGTTTCCTTCATTCGATTACAACAAATTTCATCAATCGCAACAGCAAATACAAAGAAAGGGAATGAAGAAAAGCTATTTTTGGTTTTCGAAGAAAAAGAAAACGAAAAGAGCAAAGTGCGCTCCATTGATCATTTGGGCCTCCTGTAAAGTTTATATCGATTTCTCTCTTTTTTTCATTTTTATGATTCCGTTTTAATTAAAATTAAATTTTCTCTGACTGAAATTGTTGCAAAAAAGGCACAAAAGAAGTTCTTCGAAAAAATAAAAAAAGATTTCTGGAGAAAGCGGTCTTAATTTCCTTTTTGGTACGATTATCTGTCTCCCTTTAAGGAGCATTCTCGTCATGTGATGTTTCTCCTGATTTTTTTGTTTTATTTTTTTCTTTCGAATTTTCTAATGAAAAAAATATTAGAAATAATGAAACTGTTGCATTTTTTGGAAGTCAATTTTTGGCTTATTTTGGGAAATTATTTTCGATTTTTTTCAGCATGGGTGGCGGCGGCGATCAAGATGAGCGAATGGAAGAAAGTCACGGGGAATCTTCGCAGAATAAAGTTTGTATGGAGGAGGGCGAAGGCCCGTCATTAAGTCATCATCATCACGGGCAAGATGTTCGTTTTTTTCATGAAAAATCTGTGATTTTGATTTAAAAAGTTGGGCATTTTAAGTAATTAGAGATCAATAAATAGAACATGAATATAGGCTTTAAGTCATCTAATACAAGAAAAATAATTTTGAAGTAAAAAAATACATGTTTTTTTTGAGCAGTTTCTCACTGAAAATGCGCAATTTTTTGATTTTGAGACATTTTTTTATTCGATTGAATTGTTTTGAAATCGAGCGAAAACGATTCGTAATGCTTTTTTTCTGATTTTTTTCCGTCTATTGAGAAAAATATTTTAATCTCGGAAAGTTTGCTAAAAAAAGTTGTAAAATGGCCAAATTTAGTGCTTTGAAGCGAAAAAAATTGCGATTTCGGGCCACTTTTACTGGCTCAAAAATGCTTATTTTTTTGTTTATGAAATGAAAAAAATGCTTTGAAATATGAAATTAATACATTTTTTGAGCATTTAGCCCACAATACGGACGTAAATTTTCATTTCAAGCCGTTTAGAAGATCAAAAAAAAGTTTAAAATGAAAATGCGGGATTTTTGAACCCTATCCCAAGACAAAATTACATTATTTCGCAATTTTCAACATTTCAAATGAAGGAGATGCTTCAAAATAACTTTATTCCCACAAAAAGCCTCGAAATAATTAATTTTTAGGTCAAGAAAAATTTTTTTCAGCCCCCTGAACCTTGGTTCCAAAACCAATACTCCTGTGGCCCTCCGCGGCGTCTTTTTTCGTCTCGTAAGCTTGAAAAAAAGATTTTTGGTGAAAAAATGGAATTTGAAGCGCCGGCCAATCACAAGACCTACCCATCGGCGTGTGGGGCCGAAATCCGGAGTGATGAGCAAAATTTCTCGAATCAAATAAGGAAAGGTTGGTTTCAAATGGACATTTTCAGAGGTTCAAAATACATGAAATTGAGAAAAAGGGACTTTACTAGCTTTTTTTGAAGCTATTTTTCGTCGAAAACTTTTTTTGGAAAATCAAAAAAAAATTAATTTGCCCTAAAAATGTATTAAATTTCGATATGGAGGTCCTGATTTTTGGAAGCTTCAAAATTGACATTTTCAGAGGTCAAAAATACTCAAAATCGAAAAAAAGGGACTTTACTAGCTTTTTTGGAGCTATTTTTCGTCAAAAACTTTCTAGGAGTGGGAAAAAAATTTAAATTTTTCGAAAAAGTATACCAAAAACCGACAGAAAGGTCCTGGTTTCTGGAAGCTTCAAAATAGACCCTTTTATTGGTTCAAAAATGAAGGAAATTCAAAAAAATGGGGACTTTGTGCCGTTTTTATAACTATTTTTTTCACAGAAGTCCTTTTTAGGTAAAAAAAGAAAGGTTAAAAAGAAGTAGATTTGATAAAAAAATGTCATAAAAAAAGACCCTGAAGCTTTGAAAATTAACATACTCAGAGGTCCAAAAAAATGCGTAAAATTTGAAAAAAAGGGTACTTTTTCAAGGCCTTTTTTTAAGGGGGTTTTTCTGTAAAAATATTTTTTTTTGAAAAAGCTGAAAAAAAGTTGAAATATCGGAAAAAGTGTACCAAAAACCGACAAAAAAGGTCCTGATTTCTGGAAGCTTCAAATCTGACATTTTCAGAAGTTCAAAAAAACACATGAATATCAGAAAAATAAAGAAATTTTTTTCTTGAAAAGTCTTTTTTTGCTCAAAAAAAGGAGTCAAAAAAAGTTAAAAAGTAGTTGATTAAAAAAAGAATTTTTTTGAGAGGCACTGCAGCTTCAAAATTGACATTGTTAGAGGTCCGAAAATGCAAGAAATCCAAAAAAAGGAAGTTTTTTTACGGCAAAAAAATCTTTTTGTTGAAGAAATGAAAGAAAGAATTTTTTTGCAAAAAAATGAACTAAAAAAATCGATGAGAAGGTCCTGATTTTCGGAAGCTTCAAAATCAAATTCTTTATAAGAAATTTCCGAAAAATATCTGAAAACGAAAAAAAGGGACATTACAAGCCATTTATGGCTATTTTTTTTGTAACAAATATATTTTTCGAGAGTTGAAAAAAATAAAGTTTTGAAAAATTGAACTGAAAAATTGATTAAAAAAACACTGATTTTTCGAAAAAAAGGTCCGAGATTACCCGAAATCGAAAAAAAAAGAAACTTCACTAGTTTTTTTTAAAATTAGGTCCTGATTTTTAATAGCTTTAAAATCAAATATTTGAAGGAAATTTTCGAAAGTATCTGAAGTCGAAAAAAGGGTCTTTTTAAGCCCTTTTCATGGCTTTTATTCCTATGAGAATTTAAAAAAAGCCCTGATTTTTGGAAAAGGGGGCATTGGCCTTTGATCAACATGAAAAATAGGCTTTTCGGACTTTTTCAATGAAAAAAAGATGATAATTCCTCAATTTTTCAGCCGAGGACAAAACGGTCGGGATTATAAAACTGAATATCCCTCATATCGGACAGCTCCGCGGGAAAATCAGCACTTCTTATCACTACATCGCCAATCTTCCCTGGTTCGTGGCCAAAAATTCAAATTTGAAAAAAAAAACAGTTGGTACACAATCCATTTACTAGAAAAAAATCTTGAAAATTGCAATTTTATCTTAAAAATTTAGCGGTTTCAAGTTAGTTTCATATCAAGAACTCTTCCAAAAATTGGCTCCAAATCCAAAAAAATACATCAAAAATTCAAAGTGAAGAATTTTCGGAATTTCATCAAAAATCTGACGAAAAAAAGCGTAAAATTAAAAAGACTTTCAACTAAAAATTTAGACAAAAAAACTACAAATTTTTCTAGCTAAAAAAATGTCGGTTTTTGGCTAGTCTCCCTTATGTTCGCATTTCAAAAAATCCAGGACCTGAAAAAGTTTGAAAATGTTTTTGAACTTTTTCGATAAGATTAGCTTGATTTTTTTCTAGCAAATTCATATTTTAGGCCTTGAAATGCATAAAAATTAAGGGGAGACTTTGAAAATCTTGAAAATAGTCGTCAAAATAAAAGAAAAAAAGAGCTTTTGAGGGCCCCCAAGGGATTTTTTAAACGTCACTTTTGCATCTTTCTCACGTCCTTTTTTCAATATTTTTCAAGTCCTCTAACAAAAATATGCTGAAAAGCTACTTATAAATATTCCAGGGGGTTCGAAATCCCTGACGCTATGAAAAAGGAGCTCAAAAATATTTTTTTCGATAATTTTTAGGGAAACTTTTCCAGCTCCTTCTGAACCTTTAGCGATGCCTTAAAATTTGAAGGAGACTGGCGGCGAAAACGGAAAAGACGAAACGGACGTCGGACGTCAAGTTCTTCTCGGTCTACATCGACTGCAATCCGGAGAGCGAGAGCACGTTGTGGGCCTGCGACGCGATCGTCGAGTTCCGATTGGTCTCCCTTCGGAATGATCACAATCAGAACTTCACTCGGGAGGTTCGCAATCGGAAAAAATGTAGAAATATAGTCCGTCCGGTTTTCAAGTGTCAGAGGAGTCGGTGAGACTTGAAAACGCTTAGGAACGCCAGAGTGGCCACTAGAGGGGTAGCCTTTGCGACTCTTCGAAGGTTCCCTCAAAAAACGTTTAGCCTTCCCATATAAGGGACACTAGAGCTTGCAAAAATGACCACTCTAGGGATTTCAGTTAGCGGCCCCTCGAGGAGAAAGATAAAGGTTCTTAAACGCCTTTTTATCTTTCGAACCGGAAGATCAACTAAAGGGACCACTTAAGTTTCAGTATTTTGAAGAGACCCCTTAAGCGCTCATGAGAAACGAGGAGTGGCCACTAGAGGGGCTCTTGTAGGTTCTCTCCTCCTATAAAGGACACTAAAGCTTGCAAAAATGACCACTCTAGGGTTTTTAGTTAGCGGCCCCTCGAGGAGTAAGATAAAGGTTCTTAAACAACTTTTTTTTTAACAAACCGGGAGAAAACATTCAAAAACCACTATAGGGGCCACTCGAGCTTCAGTATTTTGAAGAGACCCCTTAAGCGCTCACGAGAAACGAGGAGTGGCCACTAGAGGGGCTTTGGAGGCTGAGATTAATGTAGCTTTTAAAAGTGGCCACTTTAGGGGAGTAATCCCAATATGTCTTTTTTTACTTTCAAACCAAAAAGCACTATAGGGACCGCTTAAGCTTCAGGGACTCAAAAATTAGACCCTAAAGTTCTATAGTGACCCCTCAAATTTTATTCTTCTAGCGATAAATTTCCAAATGTCAACTTGATTGGGGTTTTGAAGCCTTGAAATTCTCTAAAATGCACATTTTTTTTTCGAAATATCGACCTTTTTTTCCAGTTCCGCAACAAATTCAACTTCAACTCGAACAACTGGGGCTTCCCGTCGTTTATGGAGTGGAGTGAGGTTAATTTTCACCTTTTATATTGGAATTTTTAGAATTTTCGGTCATTTTGCAGGTTTCAAAACATTTTAAAAAGCTCAAAGTACGATTCTTCGATTTCGAAACACGTTCCCCGAATAAAAATGCTTCAAAATTAAAAAATCCATGGTTTCGGACCATTTTAGTAAGCTCAAAACCATCTTTTTTCGAAAAATAGGTATTTGTGACAATTCTCAATCATCTGGTCGCATTTGGAATGGCTCAGGGATTTTTTGAAACATGTTTTCAAAAGAAAATCGTTTCGAAATTCGAAAAATGCGTGATTTTGGACCATTTTAGTAAGCTCAAAACCATCTTATTTTCAAAAAAAGTGTAATTGTGACAATTTCACTAATCTGGCCGCATTTGGAATGGCTTAGAGATTTTTTGAAACATTTTTATCCCAGAAAAGTGTTAGGAAAATGTGAAAGTGCCTCGAAATTCAAAAAATGGGTGGTTTTTGACCATTTTTATGAGCTCTGAACCACCTTTTTCGGAAAATAGTGTTTTGTGACGATTTTCAATCATCTGGCCGCATTTGGAATGTCTTAGAGGTTTTTTGAAACATGTTTCCAAAAAAAATCGTCACGAAATTGGGTAAAAATGCTTCAAAATTTGAAAAATAGGTGGTTTTGGACCATTTTTACGAGCTCAAAATTATCTTTTTTTGAAAAATAGTGTATTCGTGATGATTTTCAATCACTTGGTCGCATTTGGAATGGCTCAGAGATTTTTTGAAGCATTTTTATCCCAGAAAAGTGTTAGGAAAATGTGAAAATGCCTCGAAATTCAAAAAAGGGGTGGTATTGGATCGTTTTTGTAAGCTCTAAACCATCTTTTTCGGAAAATAGTGTTTTGTGACGATTTTCAATCATCTGGCCGCATTTGGAATGGCTTCGAGATTTTTTGAAACATGTTTCCAAAAAAATCGTCTCGAAATTGAGTAAAAATGCTTCAAAATTTGAAAAATGGGTGGTTGTGGACCATTTTCGTAAGCTCAAAACCATCTTTTTTTGAAAAATAGTGTATTCGTGATGATTTTCAATCACTTGGTCGCATTTGGAATGGCTCAGAGATTTTTTGAAGCATTTTTACCCCAGAAAAGTGTCAGGAAAATGAGTAAAAACTCTTCAAAATTTGAAAAATGGGCGGTTTTGGACCATTTTTGTGAGCTCAGAACCATCTTTTTCAAAAATAGCGTATTTGTGACATGTTTCAATCATCTGGCCGCATTTGGAATGGCTCAGAAATTCAAAAAAAAAAAAGAGAAAGAATTCAAATTTCCATACAGCTTCTGAACCCCGACCGCGGATTCGTCAGAAGCGACAAAATATCGGTCGAAGCGCGGATTGTCGTTCAAAAAGTCGTCGGTGTACGGTAAGTAAAAAATAATTTTCGTGGTGGGACCAATTTTCCTTCGCAGAAATAACCCACAATTCGACTTCTCCGAATGTCAGCCCCACACTTCGGACGCCGTACTGATTATCGATGGGAAACGGCTTCATATTAGTCGCGCGGTTGGTTTTTTGGACCAGTATAGGAAAAATTATGGCTTTGAAATGAGAAAAAACGGATTTTTTGGAGTTTATTTTATGAAAAAACGTCGAAAAATGAGCAAAAAATCGTCAGTTTCGAAAGGAAAAAGGGTATTTTCATCATTTTTACGTATTTTTAGTTTTTTTCAACGATTTTGAGACAGAATAAGATGTTGTGAAATGAGAAAAAACGGGTTTTTTGGAGTTTATTTTATGAAAAAACGTCGAAAAATGAGCCAAAAGTCGTCAAATTAGTAATAAAAAAAGGGTGTTTTTCATCATCTTTACGTATTTTTTTAGTTTTTTTAACAATTTTGAGACAGAATAATATGTTGTGAAATGAGAAAAAAACGGCGTTTTTTTGAGTTCTTAATGGAAAAAAAGTCGAAAAAAATGAGCCAAAAGTTGTCAAATTCGTAATAAAAAAAGGGTATTTTCATCATTTTTACGGGCATTAGTTTATTTCAAAAAAATTGTTGAGACAGCAAAAAAATTGTGTAGAATGAGAAAAAAACATATTTTTTTTGAACATATTTTTTTGGGAAAAAGTCGAAAAATGAGCCGGAAGTCGTTAAATTCGAAGGGAAAAAAAGGGTATTTTGATCATTTTTCGCGTATTTTTTTAGTTTTTTTAACGATTTTGAGACAGAAACATATGGCGTAGAAACAGAAAAATACGGTTTTTTTGAGTTTTTATGTCATGAAAAAAAGTCGAAAAAAATGAGCCGAAAATCGTCAAATTTGAGGGGGAAAAAGGGTATTTTCATCATTTGTACGTGTTTTAGTTCTTACAAACAATTTTGAGAGACAATAAGATGTTGTGAAATGAGAAAAAAACGGGTTTTTTTGGAGTATGTTATAAAAAGTCGAAAAAAAGAGGTTTTCGATCGTTTTCACGAGTTTCAGCTTCTTTTTGAACCGTTTTAAGTATTTTCTAATATTCATACACGAACTATGGTCCATTTGCAACTTTTTGATGGCCTTTCATAAGTGAAATTCAAAAAAATGAGCTGAAAAAAATGGCCGAAAAATCGTCAAAAGTGAGGAAAAAAAAAATTTTTTTTTGGTCATTTCTCCGAGTTCTACTTCTTTTATACAATTTCGGAACCTTTTTTGAGATCAAAAAATTATTTGATAGTTGATTCGCATAAACTTTATGGCATTTCAAAAGTGCTATTTGGCAAAAAATCTTCAAAAAATAGCGAAAAAAGGGTCAAAATTGTTCCGAAAGTGTCAAAAAAATGATCTGAGTATGTTCAAAAGTTCTAAATAGTCATTTTCAATGATACTCTGACAATAAAAAAAAAAGAAAATTTTCTCGAAAAGGGTAATATTTTTGTTCAATTCGAGTTTTCTTCACTTTTGGGAAAAATAATGAGATTCGAGATTTTTGAAGACAACAAATTACTACAAAAACTACCTACTAATCTTGATTTGGATATAAATTTTGTTACAAAAGGCCTTACCTCGAGAGAATTTTCATGAGTTTGGGAAGAAATCGAAAAAAAATAGGGTTAGCTTCAAAAAACGGGACTAAATTTGAAAATTCCCAGTGAAAGAGTCATTTTTTGTTTTTGCAGTACCTATCGCTCTACTCCCGGGTCTTCTACGCCATGTTCAACTCCAACTTCAGCGAGAGGGAAATGCGGGAAATTCCGGTGGAAGACGTCGTCTTCGAGGAGTTCGTCGAGCTCCTCAACGTCGTCTACCCCAGTCACAAGCCCGTTTCATGTCCGTCTTATTAGGAATTTATTTCAGGAATCTTCAATAGTATCTTAGTGCTCTACATAATCATACTACTTGAGATAATTTCGTATTTTTCAATTTTATTCAATTGATTTTTTTATCGATTTTATTGATCGCAAAAATTCAAAAATTCAGTTTTTATTGATTTTTCGAATTTTGGGAAGTTCAAAAATCCGATTTTTTTATCGATTTTATTGATCGAAAAGTTCAATTTTCATCGATTTTATTGATCTGGGAAGTTCAGAATCCGATTTTTATCGATCTTATTGATCGCGAATTTCAAATTCCGTTTTTTATCGATTTTATTGATCTGGAAGTTCAGAATCCGATTTTTATCGATCTTATTGATCGCGAAATTCAAATTCCGTTTTTTATCGATTTTATTGATCTGGAAGTTCAGAATCCGATTTTTATCGATCTTATTGATCGCGAAATTCAAATTCCGTTTTTTATCGATTTTATTGATCGCGAAATTCAAAATCCTTTTTTTATTGATTTTATTGATCGCGAAGTTGAAAATCCGATTTTTTATCGATCTTATTGATCGCGAAATTCAAAATCCGATTTTTATCGATTTTATTGATCGCGAAAATCGAATTATCTCTGATTTTCCAAAATTCAGTTATCTTTCTCCTTTTCTGATTGCTATTTTGAACTTCCCTGAATCATTTTGAACACGGAAAAAAATGTCATAAAAATGATTTTTTCAAAAAAATAGGTGAAGAATCAGGAAAAAAGACCAAAAAAATCGCAAATTTTTTTTCAATTTTTTTCAAACACTGGATTTTTCTTGTGAAGGAAAAAGCTGAAAAATTTGAAAATTTATCGATGAATTTTTCGATCTAATCTGATATTTCGATTCAAAAAAACTCTCCAAAAACCGAAAAATTAAAAATCATTGCATTTTTAAGTAGAGTTTCACTGTTCTTATAAGGTTTTCGTGATATTTTTTCAGCAAAAAGTGGAAAAATTCACGTAAAATGTGGTTTTTCAAAAATTCATTTCAAAAAGTGCTGATTTTTCGAATTTTTCAGCTGAAAACGTGGAATTCCTGCTGGAATTGGGCGACAAATTCGAAATTCAGTACGTGATCGACCTGTGCGAACAGTTCCTGATCCGTTCCGATGAAGTTTCGACGATAACCAAGCTCGTCTGGGCCGACCAGTACTACTTGGCTCAGCTACAGGTCCGGAAAAAAGCCTTCCTTCGGGTTTTTTGGGATTTTAATCGAATTGTTATCAATAGAGCAACCTTTCTAGAATCATAGAAGTCATTTTTGGGATCTTAATAGACTTATTATCGGTAGAGCAACCTTTCTCAAATCATGGAAATCATCTTTCAGATTTTGATCGGTTTATTGTCAATAGAGCAACCTTTTCTCGGATCTTACGGATCTTAATCGATTTGTTATCAGTAGAGCAACCTTTCTCGACTTATAGAAGCCATTTTTTGAATCTTATCGATTTATTATCAGTAGAGAAACCTTTCTCAGATCTTAAAGGTCATTTTCCGACTCTTACACGATTCATTATCAGTAGAGCAAGCTTTCTGAAATCTTAAAGCTCATCTTTTGGATTTCAAACGATTTATTATCGTTCGAATCTTAAAAGTCAATTTTTAGGATCTTAATCGATTTATTATTACTAGAGCAACCTTTCTCAAATCCTAAAGGTCATTTTTTGACTCTTGAGCGACTTATTGTCAGTAGAGCAACCTTTCCCAAACCATATAGGGCATTTTTCGGATTTTAATCGGTTTATTTTCAATAGAGCAACGTTTCTCGGCTCGTAAAGGTCATTTTTCGAATCTTACACGGTTCATTATCAGTAGAGCAACCTTTCTCGGATCGTAAAGGTCATTTTTTGGATCTGATTCGATTTTTTATCAGTAGAGCAACTTTTCTCGAATCATAGAAGTCATTTTTCGGATCTTAATCGATTTATTATCAGTAGAGCAGCCTTTCTCGTAAGAAAGAAGAATTTAGAAAGGTTGCAGATTTTTCAAGGTTTCAGGAGGGTTTTTATATCTTTCCTTATGCATTTTTGAAACTATAGAAAGGATATTTTAAATATAAAAATTTTTCAAAAATTTTTCAAAATTTTAAGCTCTAGGACCCGAGTCTCCTTTGAAACCATCATTTACCCATTTTAAAAAGAAGAATTTTCAGAGGCTAGAGATTTTCCAAGGTTTCAGGAGGGTTCTTATATTTTTTTCCTCATGCATTTTTTTGGTACTGTAAAGGAATTATTTTAAATATAAATCTTGAAAAAAATTTTCGACTGAACCCCCCTTAAAAAAACCCTTTACCTATTCTCAGAAAAATAATATTATTTTTTTCAGCACACCTGCATGAGAACCTTCAAACAAGTCTCGGAAATCAAGGCCCTGAAACTGACGGAGGAGTACAAGAACCTGAGTGACGTCACCAAGGCGGCGCTTCTCGAAAAAATCTTCAAGTTGTTGAAAGATTGATCAATTTGAGTGGATCCTTTTTCGGCGCTGAAAAAAATTCCCACATTATTTTTTTTTCTGGTACTTTGAGCATATTAATAACGATTTTTTTCAATTTTTTTAAATTTATTGCATTATTCTTTTTCCTGAGCTCTGGAAGGTGGAAGGAGACACTAGGATTACAAAAAATGGTCATTTAAGTGGTCACTTTAACCTTTTTCAGCTTTTCTTGACTTTGAACTGTTGGAGAGACTTTTTAAATGTTCAAAATTGAAAAAAAAAACTTGAAGATGTTCGAGTGGTCATTTTAGGAGCCCTTTAAGGCGTCATTCTATTTTTCAAAGATTCCTTAAGTGGACACTTCAGCTCTTTTTCAGTTTTTCCAGACATTAGACTGTTAGAGAGACCAGAAATGAAGCTTGAAACTCTAAGTGATCACTTAAGTGACCTCTCCAACTTTTCCAGATCCTTCTAGTGATCCTTTCAAAGTCTCTATTCCCTAGAGTCTTCTACAAAAATCGAAAATCCGATTTAGAGCGGACAATGATCACTATAGTGGCCTCTCTAACTTTTCAAAAACCCTTTAGTGACCACTTTAACTTTAATTTCCTCCAAGAGATCATTCTAGGGCTCAGAAATGGTAAATAGAGCAAAAACGCCTTTTTTATGCATAGTTCTGAGATTTGCAATATTTTAAGATAATTCATTTTCAAATTAGAGATTATTTTACTTAATCTTGAAATTTTTGTCTAATTTTTGCTTGCCTCTCGATATTTTCCTTACTTACTCATAATATCACAACGAGAACACAAAAAAACAACGTTTCTTTCATTTTTCCCTTGAAATTTTGGTTGTATATAGCTTTTTCTTCTTCTTATTATAGTTGCTATGCGATTTTTCCCCCAAAGAAACAACCTTTTTTCTTCTTTTCTGAAATTTTCACTTTTGCATCATTCTTTGTGAATAAATTCATTGCTGTCAAATTTTTGAGTATTTTTTTTCTATGCGTACTCATGTCACAGTGTGTTATTTGGTTTTCAGAAAAAAGTTGGAAAAAAGCAGTTTTTGCCGATTTTTTCAACATTTGTGTTACTGCGAAAATGTTTTGTGGGCACTATAGTAGTCAAATTAGTGGCCACTTAAGGGGTTAAAGTTAAGTGGTCACTATAGAGGTCTAAGTGCTACTACTAGACCACTTAGTGGCCACTTTAGGGGTCAATGGATCAACATAACTGGTCCAATCTGTTTGTTTTAAAATTATCAGAGTTACTGGAAGGAATACTGGATGAAAAACTACTGAAGTGGCCACTAAATAGAGAACCTCTATAGTGACCACTAAAACGGAAAATAGTGGCCACAATAGAGGTGGATTTACTGGCCACTTCAGTGTCCTCTCCAAGTAGTCCTTGGCGAGCCTCTATAGTGGCCTCTAAAAATTTTCTCAGTATTTTGTGTTTTTTGAAAATATTTTTTTGTGAATTTCGACGATTTTTTTTAAAGGCGCAGGGTTAATTTCTCCACCTTTTTTTCAACTTTTCCCTATGCTCCTTTAAGATATCCCAGCTTTTTTTCGGTCTTAACTCCTCATAATTTATTCATAACAGTTTGGGGATGTTCCTCTATTATTTTTTGGGCATTTTGTTATTTTTTCTGTGCAATTATTATCATATTAGTAATTCATGGAAACTGTGTGCGAATTTAAACAAAAATCCACGCAGGACCCGTTTTTGAAAGCGTCCCTGCGCCTTTAAACTTCCCTCAAGTGGTTATGAATGCACTATACCGCGTAATTTGCTGTTTGAACCGAATTTTTCGGCCTTTAGTGGCTCTAGTCTAGCGTTAAACCCATTATTTCCAGAGGACCCGTTTTTCGAAGCGTCCCTGCGCCTTTAAACTTCCCTCAAGTGGTTATGAATGCACTATACCGCGTATTTTGCTGCTTGAACCGAATTTTCGGCCTTTGATGGCACTAGTCTAGTTTTAAACCCATTATTTTCAGAGGACCCGTTTTTCGAAGCGTCCCTGCGCCTTTAAACTTCCCCCAAGTGGTTATGAATGCACTATACCGCGTATTTTGCTGTTTGAACCGATTTTTTTGGCCTTTGATGGCTCTAGTCTAGCGTTGAACCCATTATTTCGAGACTAGAGGCTCCAAATTACCAAAAACTTCCTTATCACATGTACACATGCCAAGAAAATGGTCATTAACGATGTCGTTTCGTCTTTTTCCAACATTTTTTGTTCTCGTTTCTTTTTTCCTTATTTTTTTAATGATTTCAGGGTTCGTATCCAATAATTTCAAAGTTCTTGGGTTATTTATATTCAATATAACTGCACCGTTACCTTTTTTTAAGACCCTTTCTTTTATTTTTACAAGTTTGAGGTACTTTTTGCTCTATTGAACTGGATTTTGCCGCGTTTTTTGAATCTAGAAAAAAATGCTATACAATATTTTGTTAGTTCAAAAAAAGTACAAAAAAATTCCCATTATTTTTTTAGTATATTTTTTTCGAATTTTTTTCTGTTCTTAAGCATTTTTTTCTAATGGAAGAGACGCTATACAGAGACATTTTTTTCCTCATTTTTTTTCTTGGAAAAAAATTTAAAACTTGATGGATCATTTCTCTGTTGGTATCTTTCCATCCAAAAAACGTCAATTTATTAAAATTTTCATGGAAATTTTTTTCTTCTCATAAAGTTCATCACAATATCCCCTATAGAGGCCACTTTTGCAAGCTTCAGTGGTCCCTATAGGGGTCGTAAAGCTGTCCTCGAGTGGGCACCTTCAAGAACCCCTTTAGGGACCACTTTAACGTTCCTAAACTACTTTTTTTCTTCTACTCTTTTTTCGAACCTTCTCTCAAGCTTTCGATCACTCATTTTTTAACTTCACTAATTTTATCGAGGTCCTTAAGTGATCACTTCAGTTTTTTT